AACTGTGTGTTACTGTAGTAATAATATCTTTCTGGAAAGGAACTGGAACTTAGCTCTCATATATGCCAAATAGCTTAGTCGTTGTTCATTTGCAAATACTTTTAAGTTATTCACTGAGTGCTCAGACTTGCTCAGTTCCAGACACTAGTCTTATTGAAATTAACTTTTTGTTTAAATGATGGGTTTCTGACAATTGTTTTGTTTTCAAATTCTATCCTTAGTATTCCCCAATGGTTATGTGGTTAAACACTTTTAAATGTTGTAGTACTGAATTAGACACAATGTGAATGTCAATGTTCTGTGCTGGACTAACTGATTTCAGCTGGGGCGGCAGTTATCTTCAATATCGTTGGGTAGGGAGAGGACAAACAATAATGCTATAATTATCTTTGACAGTCAGATAGCCACCACCATTCACTGTTTACCAATAACTATTGGACAGGTCAGTCAGTGGTATTCTGGAAGAGTATTTGGCTTGGGTACTTGTAGCAACTGTTACATTTTATAATGTTGCAAGGCAAATGTTCACACCTCTTGATTTCTGTTTTGATTGTCTGGTGTCTCAGTTTCTTTTTGTCTTTCTACACAGCTTTGAAACATTTTTTGAACATGCTGTCTCGTTTATCTTGTTCTGGGACACCTCAGTGCTTTATGTCCTTTACTGTTGGGCAAGTTTCCTTACTCCACATTCCTCTGTTTACCTAGCAGTAGGTAAGAACCTGGTTGTGAGTCGATTGGCAGATTGCTTTTTCACGAGTAAATTCCTTAAAAAAAATTGGTCACTTCAATCTACGATTGTTTGTGAGACACTGCTGTACACAATGGCTGCCACGTTTCACCTATAAAAATACAATTTACTTTATTCTGTGAAGCGCTTTGAGATGTCTCGAAGACGTGATAAGGCACTGTATCAAAATGCAAGGATTATTATTGACACTAAATATTTCTGCTGTACAAGCTGGTTTGGAATTTCAGTTTACTATCAATCAAACAATTTTGGAAAACTGATGGAAAAATCTACAGAAATATTTATTACAAGATTCAACACCAAATGGTGCATCAGTACAAATAATTACTATCTGGGATCACTTTGATACCACGTGACTATCAGCAATGGTAGCCTATTTGTAGCAGCAAAGATCACATTTCTGTGCATACCTAGGCAGTAGCTTTGATGTCTAAAGCGTGGCTGAGGAAAAAGCTCAGCACATCTGGCACCATTGGGACTAATGGTCAATCATGAACACATCTCCAATTGTATAACAAGTAAAGCGCTTCTGTATTTAACCAGATTCCAAAATCTCTACCTCTGGGCAAATTGAGAATCCATATAATGTTAGCCTTTCAGTAAGCATATTGGTTATATTGAGTTCTTGCATTTACGTTAAAACAGGCTTCAGACATTGAGAAGTTAAATGATGATAAAAGACACTGTAATCAGGTGTCATATAAGATAATGATTGGGAATGATCCATGTCATTCGATGCAGATTTTAAAGCTAGGTTGTTGGCATCAGCTAGTGGCTGAAGCAGGGTTGACTGGAACTTAAATGATCAGAGGAGGCCTTGATGGGCCCATAGCCAAAACAGTTTTAGGGAAACAGTATGGAAACAGTTTTAACTTGGGAGTAACAAACAAAATCCTCGAGAAAATGGAAACCTTAACAGGAGTCCTCTCTATGGGTTACAGTTGTAGGAAGAAGCTTTTAACTATTATTAACCTAATAAATGACTAATACTCAGCTATTATATTTTGTTTGGTGTAAGAAAAAGGAGAGCGAAATTGCACTGCAGCAACCACATTGCATGACAGTCCTAGATTGTGCAGTAATTTTATTGCCAACCAATCTGTATTGTTGAAATTGGGCCAATCTATGACCTGTTGCATTCCACACTGAACATGAGCACTGTATACAGCACATACAACTGCTGCTCCAAAGGATCTCTCGATGAATTCTTTTTCTCCAAATATGGTTAAGGTGCATAATATCTGTGATTCAGCAGGCACTGGCCTGCTTCATATCCCCCGCCCCACCATCAGCAATCTTCCTACTTCTACTCTTTGGAATTCCTTCCTGGAGTCCTTATGACTCGACCCTTCCCTCACTTCATTTAGGGTCCAACTCAAGACCTACCGCTCTGATTGTGCTTTCACCCCCTCAGTTCCCTCCCCCAGCTCAGGTGCCAAGCTAGTATTGTTAAGACCTTTGGGACATCCTCTCTATATGAAAGACACAATATAAACGCAAATTTGTATTGCATGTATTAAATCTCTAATTTTCCTTCCTGTACTGTTGAAGAGTACTCAACAGATAGTATACTAGTTCATATTCAAGTGCTTTAATCTGTGCTCCAAGACACTAGTGTGTGAAGGGCGCTATAACTTGCATTTTATAGGTGGTGTTTGCTAAACGTGGTAGTTGTCCAAAGTATCGCAGTCCATACTCCCTCAGTCTTCAAATGCTTCCTGAAAGCCTACTGCTTTGATTGTGCCCTTGGTAACCTCTCTTCACTCTACCTGTTCCATCTGGCACCACCTTTGTAAAGCACTTTAGATGATTGGCTAAGTGAAAGGTATATTTTATGATTATAGATACCAGGCATGCCATTCCTAATGGTACCAGTTATTTTCAGAATTCCACCTTTTCAAGTCTTCTTCACTTCTGTTTGCCTAGCACAGACCAATGTCAAGTCAAGGATTTGTAACTAATGAAAACTTAGAAAGTATAATGGCTGAATGGTCATGCTCATAAGTTGTTATATCACTGCAGATAGGTCCAGGATTTTCCAAGCAGAGGATATCCAAGGAGAGAAATAAAAGCAACAACCTTGTACTCACAACTGCAGTGCTACAAATATAGCATATAGGATTTAGATTGCCATTATCTGACATTTTACATTATTGTACATTGATCTGAAACTTACCAGATTCAGGGCAGAATGTCTATCAACCTCTGCAACACTCTCCAGGCACAATACTGTGCACTGAACTGGTTTCCATTCCTCAAGCCTTTCTGGTCTTGAATGCTGGCATGCTATGGATTCTCATTGAATTCCTTTGTGGGCTTTGCAGTTCTATATATTCTCTTCATTGTTACATTTCTTGATCTACCAATTGTACATTATGCTGCAATTGCTGCATTGATGTGATGTGGTTTCATGTTACATTGACACAGAAAGATCACTGTATAGTACTGTAATTCTAGCTTGTGTGAAATTCAAATTTTGCAAAGTACGAAACCACCTTAAGGAGGTAGTCTCACATTACTCAGGCTTCACACCAGCTGCAGTATCATTCAACTGGTGCAAAGCCATCTTTTAATATGTTAAGATCCCATCTAAGCAGCTGGACTACCTTTATGCTTCAGAAGAGATGTTAAAAACAGATATTTTGTTGGGCTGCAGTGATTGCAATCCAATATATCCAAGAGCAGGGAGTACTGGGATCCTGGTCAATATCCCTCCCTCATCCCAATTCACTTAAAACGGTTTAACTGGTCATTGCGGGATGTTGCTGGCAAAGATTAGCCACCCCATTTGCCTCCAAAACAAGTCGTTGCACTTCAAAGGAATATGTATGTGAAGCCCTTTAAGACATCTTAGCTTGATGATTACTTGACCAATCACAAGTATATATTTATGGTTTCTTAGAAGATCATCAGCTCTAGGCTAACAGGCAGAAGGTTTAAGCTGGTACAGTGAGAGTGAGTGCTTGTTTCACAAGGGAGGCAACCATCTCAAAACAGAAGAGGAAAAACAGATTTTTCATCCACAAGTGAAAACACTGAAAGATTCCAGGGAGCTACCCTCTGGAGCCAGTACATATAAAAATATATCAGTAGCAGAACACAGGCTCTTCAGAAATCACTTAGTATCTTGCAGAATTCAAAATCATTTTCTCCACTACTGGAAATAACAGACCTACAATTTCAGTTGAGTTGGTTATTTTGCAACACAACAGTGACAAGAACAGTTTGTTATTTATGGAGCTCCTAAAATATTTAGAGTCTCACTTATTTCCTGCGCCCATTTGATCCAGATGGCCTGGACATTTAATGATTTGGAATTTGTCCAGTCTTCTATCCACCTTCAGATCAGTTGTTTATCCTCTAGGCACATCCCCATCCCTGGCTCTTTGACCTCACAAGTATAGTAGGAAAAACTATGTAAAGTTTGCAACCAAACAAAAGTTGGCTATATTGACACATTCTTACTAAGTTTCAGATCAAATGAAGAACTGACAAACAATTGAAAATCTAAGGGAATATTTCCATGGTTGTAAGGATTGAAGAAAGAAGCAGAAGGAACAAAGTTTGTTTGCATCCACAGTTGTGAAGTTCTGGATTAGTTTCAGCATCAACTACACGTTAGAAACTCACTGTGAAGGGCTGTCATTAGACTTGCATGTTTTATGTTCATTAGTGAAGTGTCTACATTGGTTCAGTTTTGGATTTTAGTCACCAGCAGTTTCAAATGAAAAAACACTTGGCTGAAAAAGTTTCCTGAATAGTTCATTGCTCCTTTTACTGACATGGCCACAAGGTTAAGTTCAATGAGTGTTGTAATGAAAAAAGTATGTGAAATGCAGTAAGCCTCAGCTAAAATGTAAAAGTATCTCAACTATAGCAGTGTGACATTTCTATTACCAACACCAGCCAACTGCCTTTGTGGCCCACCAACCAACTTAAAGCCAATTAGTGTCAACATTACTGGCAGTTTCCTGCTGTGAGTTCTTATCCCAATTTAAAAATTCACAATTACAGTGGACCCTTTGGCAAAACTAGTTGCTTTAAAGAAGTGCAGACTTGAGAAACAAACATTTATTATTGATTTCAGAAATGTGACTGACGGTCCAAGTTTTTTTTTGCAGTGATATATAGAAAGGCATTTTGTGTTCTGGGTGAGCAAAAAGATGAACCACACTGATTTTTGTTGATAAAACATGTATTGAAAATAATCAAATATAAACACATTGCCTGTATAAGAATACTTACAAAGTTATTTAGTACAAAACTTTATTTGTCAAATACTTTTCACTCTCAAGTTTATCTTTAACCATAAAATAAATAAATTTCCACAAAACAAGATTGCACATAAATTTTGACCAGCCTCAAGAACTGATGCACTGACATGCATAAATTTTAGCGTTTCAACTTTCCCACTGCAGGAGGTTTTGTCTTCAAGTATGTTACAGACACAAAACAAAGAGTCCCTGCAGCAGCAAGTCCACTGAACACACAAGAAAGGGCAGTAATGTAGCCCCCTCCTGGAATCTTCACCTGGCAGCCAGTCACTTCAGACTTGGCACCATGGCAGTAACACTTTTCTTTTGAGACCTGCTGCTTTTGAAAACCTGCAATAAAGAATCTCAACAGAGGTTTAAAGAGAAAAATAAAATAAAAATGTCTAATTGTTCTATTCCAAGTGCATAAAACTGCACTAAAAGAGCCAATTTTACATGCATCAGTTTGAGTGTCAAGAGTAAAGACAACACAACACGAAGAAAGAAAAAAGATTCATCATTTTGAGGTACCATACTTACGGACGTGATGTTACGTGAATCTGACAGGGCCCAGACAGAGGCCAAGTAGGAGTCAATTGATCTTGCTTTGGGTGGCTGGTTGGTAAACTCCCAAGGATTTTGACCACGTAGTAGAGAGCCGGTCGGCAAGTATTTTGCCACTGATTATTATCTGCATTTGCAGACGTCAGCTAGAGAGCAGCCAAGTCTTGAAGTGCCACCTCTCTTTATGGAGGGGGACGTGGAAAGATTTTTATGCTCTGTATCACTGCCCTCTGTTCTGGGAAGGGCTTAAATTTAAGAGCTCATCTAAGCTGACGCCAATCGCCTGGCACCTGGTAACTAGTTTTCTGAGATTATCAGTTTTACCTCCTTCTGAAGCTTCAAACAAGAGTTGCTGAAAAAGACAGGGGAAATACTTAAGTAAGATCTAGTCACCAAACAATACTACCTTGTCACTGGAAATGTTTTTTTTTGATAAAACATCTGTATTATCTCGCTTGCAAACTACAAGATCTCAAATACTGTCTGTCGAACACCTGAATCTCTTCTGCACAAATTTAAAAATACAGAATATTAACCAATAAGGAAAAAACAGAAGTGGGAAACTTTACATCTTTCCAAAGTGTTGCACAAAGGGGTAACTTCTGGAGAGCTCTCTGGTAAAGATGTCGAACCTGGAAAAAANGCAAATAGCAATTGGGAGCACTATATGAGCACTGCGTAGACCAGGGAAACAACACAGAACTATAATGGCTTTAATTAAGATTGGGGAAATTCACACTGGGCAAGTGACATTAGGAGAGGACCCAAATTATGAAGCGGGGGGGGGGGGGGGTGGAGAGAATAAAGGGGCAAAACAGTTAGAATCATAAACACTTCAAAAACAATGTTGACATACAGCAGCTATATGGTCCATTCATTTGAAACTCCTTTAACTGCAAGATGCATTCATAGAAAGATAGTAGGGTTGATATTCTGCAAGGATGAGACCAAATGGCCAAAGGGCCTTCTTCATCCAAAGACTCATGGTGAAAGTTTACCTAAACATATGTAATTTTTTTAAAAAAAAACAATCTTTCAGCGTACAGGATTTAGATCAGTAAAAGTATGGAAAAAACCCACCAAATAAACGCTACTTAAATTTGATATTCGAAATTAGCAACAGTAAACCACTGAAATTCTTTATATTTACCCACCCTAAAAGTTCAGCACCGAGGAATACATTCACGTACCAGAACATTAATAAGAGTGTAAAGCATAGCTACTTACTTCATTCTGGCCCTTTAACATGGTTTCAACGGCAATGGCTCTAATGGAAAGAGGAATAAAGTTCACATTAGTAACAACACATTTTCAGGTTTATCGATGCTATGCAAATGAAAAATAAATATTTTGGTTAATATTCTCAGTCTGGTTAGAAGAAACTATTCCAAAGTTGGGGTTAGGACACATTAATGGAGCTTCACCCTACATCTGACTGTACCTGATGTGGGACCGCTCGGTGATCTTTTTTTAAACAATACAATCAAGTCAATGAGTATTTTTTTAAAATGAAAAATGGAACCACTGTTTAAACTTTTGAACTGGCAATGCCCAATTGCTGTATAACAAACAGCTACAACTTCTAATCTGAGAATTGAAATTTAGGCCAACACCAATTTAGAGTGGTTAGGAATCAAACTGTACAAATTAAAATCAGCAAAAATATGCAATTACATTTTCCAAATTGGCAAGCAGGATGGGAGGCACTGTGTAAACATCTTGGATTGAAACTTGAGGTGCTGGATATTGCCCTCTTTCCATTCATGCTCAAGTATCCTGTATCAAAGACAAACCAAAAGTTCAAAATAACTTCTGCCATATTAAAATCCTTTAGCGCACAAGAGAAGTAATTACTATGGATAGGTTAATATATGGCCACCAAATGATCACTTTAAAGTCTGCATGAATATTAAATTTCCACATTTCTTTATTGTAAGGAAACGGAGGAGAACGCCGCTAAAACGTCAACCATGCTAATTCTGGATGTTCACAAGAAAAATATTTTCATACGGTACCAAAACTTAAAAGAACTTAAAACAGTTGCGCATCTACCTCAATGCCAGTCCTGCATTAGAAGGCATAATGGACCGGAATCTCTCCAAGGCTTTGGAATGTTCAGATTGAGGGAGGCAGCTCAGATAAAAGGAAACCACCTACAAAATTGTTATACAAATGTAGTTAATCTTTAATATCCATGTAAAGCACACTTCCAATTTTATATTGCATAAGTACAAAGGATGTATCGAATACAGTTGTGCTACCTCTTATCCTGCCTGCTTCAATTAAGATTGAGAGCTACAGAACAGTTATAAAATTCCTGTGAACTAAAGTCAGGATTACTCATTGTGTTAAATCCTATTAAATGGAATATGCCCTCTGTGACATTTGGGCCTAAAGCACTGGACCCACCCAATTAAGTAAACGGCTAAATAAAGACTCAAGCAGATTGAAATGTTCCCATCCCATAGATCGTGATATGCCTTTTATTATTTTTTTCCCCCACCATATCAGTCTTTATCCATTTCTGAATATTCTCTGTTTCCATGTGCTTTTGATTCTCTTATAAATCAGTATTATACTTTGGAACATAGGAATATATAGGAGCTAAAAAGGTTATTGCAGTCAGACAAGTTGGCCACAGATAAATGATACTAAATAAATAATTCTAAACTATGCTGCCTCTCATACTCCACAATCAAATCCTTTGTCAAATACCTACCTGTCATAATTTGCCTCCAATGTCTTCTTCGGTAGTTTAGTTCTAAATATTCATCACCTCTGCGTAAAAATAATTAATCTAAATATACTGTCCAATTTCTCTCTTCCTAGCTGGAGTCTGCGTCCCATTGCTCTGGATTTTTTAATACAGTGAAAACATCAGTTAATCTATACCTTTTAGGATCATGAAATCCTCAATAAGATCACCCCCGAGACGTGACCTTTTGAAATTTCTTGCCTGATTTTTGCCATAGATCAAATGTAACTTGAGGTGCTAAGGCTATGCAACAGTGCCTCAGAGAAGGAATCTTAGGAACTAAAAGAAAGTCCATTACCTGGTTATGAAACTCATAATTGGTCCAGTAATTGGCAGAGCTGAATGGGATAGGCAATCTAGTGGGTACAGTGACCAGGCATCTATTTACCAGGTCAGTAAACAGTTTAAAGTCTCGAATCTTGTTCTTGGATCCAATGAGCTGGCTACTGGTAAAAACAAGATAACTGCGGGCGGAGAAAACATCCATCTTTATTATCATACTGAAAACAATGGCAGTCATGAAGAGAACTATTCCAGACACAGTAAGTCTACATTAATCAGGTTAGGAAACAGAAGTTGGTTTTGTCATGTTCTACTTACTCCATCCAGATTTTCTGAACTACTTCATGCTGCATAACTATGCCCAGAGATGCTTCAAAGGTGTCCACAGTTTCACTTGTGCTTGCATTAATAGATTGCCACAGGCTATTTTTCATAGGTAAAATATGAAAATAGAGGAAAATATATACTAAGATTTGCAACACTTGCAGTAAGACAACACTGTTCAGGTATTACAATGGTACTTAGTATTAAATCCAGAGAACATTCACAGCCCTCCTCCCCATCACTTATAAATAGATTTATTGTTCCATGTACATTCTTTCATGGTAAAGCCAACTTTGACTGCAGTGGAATACAGCCTAGTTTTCTCTCCTTACTCTCTGGCTTAACACAAGGGAATTACAATTTGAAAGCAAGAGCATCCCCCTTCCACAAAACAAGTGAAAAAGCTCTATTAAAACAGTATCATTAGTTCTGTAGCATTCTTCCGCTAGCTGTGGGGAACTGCTAGCTATTGCCTAAAGTTGAACAGCTGAAATCAAGTTCTTAATATTTGAGAAACTGAAGTACAGATACACTTTCCATCATTCCATGCTGGTGTGTGACCTTTGAGCTTGCTATTAGGACGTAGACCTCACTATCAAGCTAGTGAATAGTACTGATGTATCAGATAAGTTAAGGGTGGGAATGTTTATCTTGTAAAATTCAAATGCATACAGAAATTTATCATCTGTAACAGTTTCGGGCTTGTTCAAAAGAAGGCATTAGTAATAGCTAGACATTTATTAAAGTTTAATGCTCTGCTTGAGAATAGGCCAGTTAAGAGGATTTCTCACCAGAAGATTAGCCACAGATAGGGGATCTGTGTATTCAGTAACTCCCCATTCAACAGTTCCTTTTGTGACGGTGCTCTGAAGTCATAAGGCATGGGATAGTTCAGGATGTGGCTGACAAGAGAACAAAAAGAGCCTTCAAAACATTGTACTTTTTAAAGTCAGGTCTCCTAGCTTCTCATGTGCAACAGTAATTCAGCAGATAGCAAATCAATACTTGTATCAAAAACGCTTGTTTTAAAAAAATAAGCGGAATCATTTATTTTCTAAAATAAATGCCCTTCAATGGATGAATCACTTAAGCATAAGCAATGAACCTCACTATAGGTTTAAACTAAACAAAACTAATTGAGTCTTACTCATTTCTTCTGGTCTTAAGCCAAGGCAGGCACCAGAAAATAAATCTAGAAATATAAGCATGTGATTTTGTAGACAGACGTCTATTCAGACATCTGGCATCTAACAGTACATAACTGAAAAATTGCAGCTATCTAATCATTCAACCTCCCGAGCGCTAAGACAGCTGAACTTTCTGTAAGCAATTCTCAAATAATTTAAAAGTTGATCTTAGATGTTTATGGACTTTAGATTTGAGCTATATATTCTGCTTTTACTTTCAGCACAAAAACAAGCTTACTTTGCCAAACATACTCTAAACTAAGCTCAGTTCTAAAAGTGATTTCCTTATTTCAAATACTACATCCTATGCACAATATTAAACATGAGGTTTGGGGGGATTGATTACATGCATAACTTATGAAAACAAACAGTAAGTGTACATCTCCTGTAAATATGGCTTGAATAGACCCCAAAAGCACTTTTCAAAAGGAGTTTGTCGTCAATGCTTCTCGCGCAGTCCAAGTCACTCCTGAAGAGATCCATTTCTGGTTCACATTACGTTTATACACTTACAAAACAGTACACGAGCAAACCCACTTTGACATGGTCTCCCTTAATCATTATTGAGAGGCAAACTCCTTATAATTCAACCCTGGCTTAATTCAAACATGACGGTTTGTGGGACACTGCTGTGCGCAATTGGCTGCCGCGTTTCGCCCACAAATATACAGTCAATTCACTTTGCAGTATATTCTGTGAAGCGCTTTGAGACGTCTAGAAGATGTGAAAAGCGCTATATCAAATGCAAGGATTATTATTATTAGTCGTACCACTTAAGCCATCATACTATCAATATCCCAGCTGCATTTATTTATGTATTTATACATATGCCTAACTCGCCACTCAGGATAACTTGTCACAGAGCTCTTTCCCCATGGACTGACAAGTTATCAGGAGTTTACTGTTTTAACTTCTAGAAGCAAATGGGGAAAAAATACCCTAATCCTTTAGGAGCTTGGCATCACATTAGTCACATGCCTTTCACCACCCCTATTGTTTACAGTAGCCTTATTTTGTAAGCATGACTCCCAATTCGCTCCTTTTCTGAAGATATTAGCTCATACTGGGGCAAGGTTATTTAAGAACTAGTTTCCCTCTGGTACCTGGCAGCCTTCTTACAGGCCTATCTAGCATATTGGTATCAATAAGCTATCGGGGTGGGGGGGGGGGGGGAGAAAAAAATACAATTTGTTTCAATATCCCAAATACTTCTTGGATTTGTCACTTCAAACTGCTTACAACAACCCTAACCCTCACATAGTTTAAAATGGTGATTTTTAGAAACAGTTCTGGATGGGCAAAATCTATAATTGCATTGTATGGCACTTTGCTTAGTTCCAAGTCACCACAGTACAAATATGTCTCTAACCTACCATTAAGTTTAGAGGCAAGATTCAGAATTTACTCTCAAATCTTGTGTGTAATCATACATGGAAATGATATCAACAACAACAAACTGCATTTATATAGCGCCTTTCACATCAGGAGGAAGTCTCAAGGTGCTGGACAGTCAAACGTTTGCATCCGAGCTGGGGATTGGAATCAAGAGGGGTGGAGGGCAAGGGGGTGGAGGAGGGAAGATGACCAAAGGCACGGTCAGAAAAAAAAGTCTTGAAACAACCTTGAAGGAAGCATGGCGAAGGGATTCCTAGATGGATTTCAGAGGGTGAGGACAGAAAGGCTGAAGGTCCGACTTACAATGGTAGGACAGGCAGGATGGGCGAAATTGAACAGGCCTGCCAAGCAGAGAGAGTTCAGTATCTTCCAAATGCAGTGAATTACTCTTGCTCTGTGCTTGATTTTTAGGTGAAATAGCCACATTGTGATCATTCTGTTACTGTAAAGTTATGACTTGAGCACTGGATTTTATTTTAACCATCTTACAATTCAAGTTAAAAACATACCGTAAAATATCTGCAGGTTGGTGTTCAGAGGCATCCTCGTCAAAGAAAGACATGATAAATTCTTGAAACAGACCAGGAATGATATCCAATCGTTTCTGTAAGAAAGAACACTAAACTAAGGAGAGTTTTCCCTGCAAGTTAAGACTGCAATAATTTGAGATACCCGTTCATTTCAAACAGAAATATTTAATAATCCTTGCATTTTGTTCATGCAAGACTCAATGTACAAATGCAGCTACAAGCCCCAATAATTGGCATTTGTAGTAAATATTCAGTTTCTTTAATTTTTTTCCATCATAGATAATAATCAATAAAATTCTACACATATGCTTCCCAGCAAACAAAACTAAACCAAATTGTAGATGCAGGTATAAAAATAAAGTTTTGTTTAATTGGAACACATTTCAGTAAACATCCCCTAAACTCTCCTTTGAATTTCAATCAGTAATAAAATATTGTAAACCCTTGCTTACATCGACTCCAATCATAGTAAGCAATCTGGAAGTGTTCTATCAATTTGGAATGAAAAAAGACAATTACATACCACTGAAATGAAGAACTTGATTGTATAATAGAAAAAATGAGCATTGTGAGGGTTCCTTCGAAATGCATGAAGCCATACATTCACAGCATCATCGGTCTGACTTCTTTCTAAATAGAGGTCAGCAAGCAGTTCAAGAAGCTTGTAGCAGGCTGGGCAGGACTGTAGGAGTGCCTTGCAAAGATCCTCAGCAGCTTCCCACCTATGAAAATATATCAATCAAGTCACCTTGGTAAAATAGAAACAATGCACTAAAATCAGATTTCACACAATTTCGATAAAAACAACTTAAACCCTCCAAACTGTTGCTGTATAGCACAGAACATTAAACAGCAATACCACCAAATTAGACAATTTATATAGAAACAGTCAATTTCCTTACCTTCCCAGTAGCTTTTGGGCTACAATCATATTTCGGTAAACTGGAAGACACACAATGATCCTCTCCTCCACTGAAAGACTGTCATCAGAACATTTGTGGACAGCGTCTGAAATATGGGAAGAAAATCAATAGTTCATCTGCAATGTGTTGAGCAGAAAATAATAATTTTAAAAAGCAAACATATCTGAATTACCTTCAAACAATGCAAGTAATGTGTCAGGATGGGTCTTTATGTCTTTTGATGTTTGCCAAGGGACCAAGAACTCTTCCTTATTTACCATCTTAGAAGGAATGGCAGTAGCTGGATTGAAGAATCGATTGGGGAGGCTGTTGAACTCAATGAGGTGAATGTAGGCAAGCCATGCCAGGCAGCAATCATTTGCAGTCAAATATTCGGCCACACTTCTGTTACCATCAGAGGCTTTCAAAGCATTCTGTAAAACATGTCAACAATGGTAACTGTATTCCACCTCACTTTGTATGATTGAAGAACAGCCACCAATATAGGAAGTGAATAGCTGTATTCATATGAACTCCCAATGAGACCAACAAAATCTTGATATTAAAATAATCAAATGAATGGTCACACAATTACTAATTTCTGCACTGAGACTTTCAGTAACTGGTATCTCAGGTAGAGACATGAAATCTGGTGAAGTCAGGAGTAGCCCCGATGGAGCTGCATCTGATGGACCTTTCAATGGTTCAAATTTGCTGGTCTCAACTAGGCAACAGGGGTAAGGTAAATTCACCACAGCTTCCCAGGGTGCAGGAGGGGAAAAACTGCCAGGGTTCCTGCTCCTGGTCTCTCTACAGCACTCTACTTGGGAGTGTGTATGCCAGCGGGGGGGAGGAGAGGTCAGTCTCAGATGTGCTGCGTTCTACAGTCAAGTGGCCTGCTGACACTGCTAAACAAACAATGGCTATTTGAGTGGGGCTCCAGAAGACAAGCAGCACCAGGAGAAAGCTGGGGACGTGGAATAGAGGCATATGCCAATGGGAAGACAAAAATTGGACCACAAATCATTTTTAAATAATGGTTAAGGCGAAATCACATTTCAGAATATTCTAATTGGTAATATTAAAGAAAAGAACCTTGCAAATGTATATCAGTCACTCGTGAGATTAATGAGTTTAAATTATACATTAGACCCCCAAAACTGGTCATGAATTAAGACACACACCTGGAAGATAGCCAAAGCATTCTGTTGCCTTCCAATAAACAGGCTTAATTGTACCCGAAAAAGGAGGGATTCAAGCAGCTGGAAGGAAAGAAGTTCTGTTTTTTGGGATCCCTCTACTGTTTCGGTGAGGAACTGCACAATTCTGCTACACACGTAGTCCTTTCCATCAAACGAGTTCTCCAGCATAAGATACTGTACAGATTGGGGAGGGGTGGGGGGGGGGAAAGAGAAAGAAAAGTGAATTAATATGAATTTTCTGGGCTTCCAGCATGCCATTGTCTAATGTTTATTTATTTGTGAATTATAAATAGTGATAGTAAACTTAAAAACTCTTTCAAACGAACAAATATTGATAAACAGGCAGCAACTCAGTACTTACAGTCCACCAAACATCGTAATCAGGAGCGTATTGTACAGCAGTCTCACACATTTCCTGCACCTCTTCCTTTGTGCCACGCTTTGAGAATAAGTTGAGGTAATGGCACCAAATCTCAGGATTTCCTCGATTAATTTCAAGGGCTCGAGCTAAAGCGTTCAACGCGGAATCCAGACATTCTGTCGGCGACCTAACAGAAAGAGACGAGGAGAGGTTTTGGTGAAACCATCAACATAAAATACCTTATTAAAATTAAGCTTTGTGCGTCACCGAGCAGACAGGCTCTTTGCTAGTTATTTATCACATGATCTGAATATTTAGCTGGAGATGAATGCCAAGCAAAGGAGAGAGAGAGAGAGAGAGAGAGAGAGAGAGGAGGGGTTGAGAGGAAAGAACCCAAACCCTTGAATAACCAGTTTCTATTCCCACTCTCCCTCTGTATTTTATTTATTTGAAGGGGAAACGAAGAAAACATTTTCCGCACTCCCACCCATCTAAAATCAGTATGTTTTATTTCAAAGCAAGAGAAGCATGAATAGGAAAGCAGCATTTTTATTCAGCTTTTCTCCCATCCCTTCCCAGAGATACAATAATTTACTCGAACACAAAATTCAAGTTACAATCAAAAGGGCATCAGTGCCATCTACTGACAAAACACCTTGTACTACATTTTAAAACACACAGTATTTGGGCAAATTTAACTATTTTATGGATTTGTTTTAAAATTAGAAGTACACAAAGACACTTTAAAAGAAAGTTCAGTTATTTCCTAGAATGTTTACAGAATAGGAAGCCATTTGGTTTTTGTAGAACGCCTAAAAAGGAGTTGCAAGTTTCCTAATTCATTGCATTAAATGCTGAAGTGTGGACTGGAATCACAATCGCATAAGATACCTTTCACAACTGTTATTAAGTTTACATTTTTATCTCCACACTATTTTTTGTGGCAGAGACTACAATATTTGATTTTAACCTCACAGCCTTATTGATAAATGTTAAGGTCACACATTCAATGCCAGTTCTGGGTTAAGAAGAATCTGAAGAATGTGAAGGAGACAAATTACTGAACCTTAATTAAGGCCACAGTTAAAACAATTTTCTCAAACCAAACGAACGTTGAGCATTCTACTACTAAGTTTCTAATTAAATTTTGCAGTAAAGTTACATTACAGCAAACGTGTGGTATGATAAGAACGTGGTTATTCAGTAGTGCGTTCAAAATTTAAAAACACAAAACATCTTTTTCCACTTATTTATTTTACAATTCTTATCTTGTACTTGGAATTATTTCAAACAGTTTAGTTAAGCCTTGAAATAAAATCAGCCCTGATATTTCACACTGTTGCAACTTCACTACCCCCACACTATATAACTTTAAAAATACATTCTGTTAATACATTTGTTTAAAATTTAGTGTCATCCAATTATTTTTCTAACTCCCCCACTGGCATATGCCCCTCTACTCCTGATCCCCAGCTTCCTCACGCTGCCGTTTGGTTTGACAAAACACTGGCTGTCCTCTGTACCCATTGGAAAGGCTGGAACCGATTTAGACCCTCTCCCCCACATGCAGCCCAGGCTGAAACCAGCAAACTCAGCGTGGAGTTAACTTAATCTGCAGATCAGAAAGAAGAGGATAGAACTGCAATTGGCCTCAGGGATAAACTGGGTTGGAAGGCAAAGATGCAGGAACCAGGCTTACTCGTCACTATTTTGCAACTCCTGCTGGAGGGTATATGAGTACATATTTTGGATGGATCAAAGCACAACCAATTTAGCTGCGATATCCCACTCAAGTCTTTGAGGAGAGAACTAGCAACATTTTTGTATTGGTTTACCTTATAACAAATGTTCAGCTTTCAGACCATGTTTAAATAATTTTAGTAATTTGAATTTAGGGAATAGCTCCTTTAGGATGTGGTTTCATAAAGCACCAGTTGCTGGGACTTTATTGGATTTTTTTCTTCTGGAACCATCCGATGTGGACATGTTGTGTCACTAAGAGAATAGCATCTTTAAACAGATCAACAATTAAGACAAAATACATTTCAGTCTCTAATTCTTTCTGATCTAAATCAGTCCTGAAAACTGCTAAAGAAAAAGCACTCACCCTTCCTTCTGATTCATATATTTGTATGTAAGTTTAATCCAAAGCTGCACATCTTGAGGATTATCTGTCACACTTGTTTCTAAATTGGCAATGTCATCCGTTTCCATTGTAAAATACCGAACATCATCTGGAGTAATAACTGTGTCCAAAGCTTGCGTCTTACACCATGGATTTTCAAGAGTCTTAGCTGAAAGACAAAATAGTGTTTACATTAAAAAAAAGGACTCAAAGCAAAAAAGCATCAAGACCACAGTGAAGAATGATGACTGAAGCATACAGGGAATGCAAGCTATGACAGAAATCAGTTGTTCACAGCAATGACATCCTGGTTGAGGTGCAAAATGTAGGTCATGGATTGACAGTCACATATATGATGCAGCTTTGAATGTTGAGGACACCAAGGGGATGGCTTTGAATAGTTAAATCAGAATTCTCTAACATTTCAAATCCGGTCCAATAGCAAACTAATTTGAAGAGAGCTTAAGCAGGATCACAAAATATTAACAATATAATAATAGCATTTGATACCCAATCTGCATCTCGTAGGTGCAGCCATTTTGTGCACAGTAATGTCCCACAAAACAGCCATGAAGTGAACGCTCAATTTTATTTTCGGGTATTGTTGGCCAGGACAGGTCAAATTAGTTTGATTGAATTGCTTAAATGGTTCAGCAAACAAATCTGTTGTGCCAACTATTCATTCAGCTCTGAAGCATACACTGTTAATTATATAAGATAACATTTATTGAAGATGTCCTGATCTGGTTTCAGTCCAGCATTGATTTTGACTCACCTTATTTTTTTAACCGAGACTATTACTCATACACTGCCACACCTTCTCATTAATTGCCCATGAAATGCATACTCTTTTGGTTACACACGCTCCTGTCACCACTGAACTTTAGAAACAGAATTCAGTCGGAATGCAAATTTATAGTCAAATACACAGTTCAAGGAACTCAGCCATTCTTACCCTGCTAAATAAACAGAAACTGCACGATTTTCACATGAATATAGGTGAATACTAGGTGTCCTGTTGATGTTTTTCTTTCGCCATTACGTGGAAAACATGTTGAACAAGGAGTGGGAAATTTATCATATACAAATAAATATTGTACAATTCTACTTTATCAGGATCGTGTACTATCAGAGGCAGATGAAAGACCACACTTTTAAAAATCACACCATAAACGAAACAATGCACAGATGAGTCATTTTGTTTGTGCAGTGCTTTATAAATGAACCACCATGTCTGTAAAAAGAACTGATGCCTTTGTATTCAATCAAGATAAAATCTCATCACTGAAAGATTACAAAACTAAAACGAATGCCACCGTTGCTACATTTTTAGCAGCCTGTTCTAATCTTATCTACAGAAGCGTTATTCATACCATATCTTATTGATCCAGAATTTTGTTCGTCGTCACTGTTGCTACTGGTACTGCATTCAGAAACTGGCTTTCTTAAAAGCTTTGGCCTCCATTTCCTTCGGTCTTTGAACGTTGTGAAAGGAGGTGCTGAAACAAGTCCAACAGCATTCTTTTACTACAGCGCTGAATTATAAACATTCAAACTTTGTCCTTTAATTATAAACCTTAACATTCCTAAAGACCTAGAAGAGATCAGTTTGGGAAACATATGTAGGGACAACGTTCAGCAAACGAACTTCAGTTCAATTCAGAAACCAGACTGGCTCATAATTCACAATGGATTACATTTTTGCCTTGATACACTTTTCAAAATCATTCCAAAGCATTTTAAATCTGAATGATCCAAATGTATGATGATACTTTTCTGATTATTCAAGCATGAAAGTGCAATTCGGTGAATTATAGAGATTAATTACTCCACACGCCTGATAATAATCTCTCAAAAGAAATAAATTGGTTATTTCAATCCACGACTGTTTGTGGGACACTCCTGTGCGCAATTGGCTGCCACATTTTGCCCACAAATATACAGTCAATTCACTTTACAGTCTATTCTGTGAAGCACTTTAAGACGTTGAGAAGATGTGAAAAGCGCTATATCAAATGCAAGTATTATTAATTCAGATTATTTACACATCAGTCCTTATATTAAGATGTAGGAGCTGCTATTTCCCCCTTACTCTGCAACATAGTAACTCATGCCAATCAGGAGAGAGAAGTAATCTACAAATTGAGTAGGAAAACAACATTCACTAATGAACACCCCATGGTAGGAATCAGGATTTATTTCTACTTTGCATTTGAGGATGAAGAGGAGGTATAATGCTCAAAGCCTCTTTCTAAACATGGAATTGTGTTGCATTGCAATGGTCTTATAAAGCAAAGGAGATTCTTTAAAAATCCCTTGAAGGAATAAATGCCCCTGCAATGTTTCTGTTGACTAAATTATTTACCTCTGATATATGAAATATATTAAAGAAAAACTTCACTAGGTATACATAATATTTAATGATTAGCTACAGTAAAATACATGTGCAATACTTACTATGGCCAGAACTCTCATTTACTTTGCTGACGAGCAAAACAGCCATCTCATCAGTAGTCATACGATCTTTGTTTTTACCAAATTGCTTGTCCACATAATTTTCTTTAAATTAAAAAAAGTGATGCACAATTAACTCTGCTCTTTACACATTTTATCATGCGACATTCCTCAAAAAACTGGCATTAGAATAACTTACCATGCCACACAGTACATAAAGCTTTTTGACAAAAGATTACAATAAGACAAAATCAAGCAACATTTCTTATGGAACATTCAGATTCTAAATATTTTGACACATGGATTAATTCCTTTTAAATAATACCTATTTAATAACTAAAATTACCTGCTGCAATCCTAATCTTTTCATCTGTACTTGAATCTGTACATCCAACCAGAGATAAATCATATGAAAGAAGATCCTGAAAAAGCTGGTTTCGGCTCAAAGTGCAGTCTCGCATGTGTTGCCTAGAGCAAAGTAAAATATTCCAGATTGCCAATGTGTTTATGAATCTCCCTTTATTATGTTATCGAATACTAAGTTAAACGTCACAAAGTTCTATTGTGGTACACACTGCCACAAACAAACTAGTGCTTGCAATGTGATTGAATGGTACAATTCTTAAATACTTCTAAAAATAAACACCAGCTTCAGTAATGACCATCCATGTTAGCCTGATGCATTCCATTCACTTTTAAAATGATCAAACTCATAGCTATAGCTGGGGACCACAAGTTACAGCTTGACAGAAGACTGCAGCATTCGGCAACCTCATCCCTGTGCTATTGACAACTCTTTAAAGGTTTAAATATACTATTAGAACTTTAGTCTAACAGGAAATTTAACCATTAAAAGTTTTCACCGCCATCTCCCCCCTTCAAAAAAAGCTATTTGTGAAAGAAAAATCTATCACATATTAAAAATTGGCATTATTATAACATTCTATCAGAACACATCTTACCAAATCGCACCAATTGCCTATTTATCTCGCACTATAACAACTTTTCTAGAAAAAAGACCATTACCAGAGGATACCTACCACTGACATTCATCATCGTTGCAGGTACCCGTTAAATCAAAACGGCAGAAACATTGCTTGGCCTCTATCAAGTTACTGTAGGAAACTGAACTGATGAGAAGTTTCTCCTTGTTGCGAAAGTACGGACTGAATCTATTCAAAGGAGAGACTTCAATTTACAAAAGTTCAATGTTGGCACAGAACAGATAAATAAATCCACTAAATAAAAACAAATTTCAGGGGCAGAGCTGCAGCATATAGACCAGGAGCTCACTGTCAGGTGGGTATATGTTAAGCTTTTCAGTTTGATGCCTCATTGCAGTAGTTCACAATCTGTCAATGATCTCATCATTTGCCTCTTAGTATGTAGTTAGTACTTTTCATTTTTCAAGTTCTACCTAGTCTCTGAATTGTTTGCCTGATGCCGTTTACCCTCCTCGATCCACTAAAGGAGATTCTCCAGCTCAACAGTTCTAGTCACTGGTAAAGTTTTACAATGAAATCATGACCCAACTTTCAGATGCGGACTGATCTACATTACACATTACTTCCCCACATTACACATTACTTTTATTATAAGAACATAAGAATTAGGAACAGGAGTAGGCCATTTGGCCCCTCGAGCCTGCCCCGCCATTTGATAAAATCATGGCTGATCTTCAGACCTAACTCTAATTACCTGCCCTATCCCCATATCCCCTAATCCCTCTGTTTTTTAAAAATCTATCAGTCTCAGCCTTGAAGATGTTCAAGGACTGAGCATCTACAGCCTTCTGGGGTAGTGAATTCCATAAATTCACTACCCTCTGAGTGAAGAAATGTTTCCTCAACTCTGTTCTAAAAGGCTGACCCTTAATTTTAAGACTGTGACCCCTGGTTATAGATTCTCCCACCAGGGGAGACAGACCCTCCGTGTCTACTTTATCCAGCCCTTTAAGAATCTTATATGTTTCAATAAGATCTCCCCTAATTCTTCTGTACTCTAGAGAATACAGCCCTAGTTTATTCAGCCTATCCTCATAGGTCAGTCCCCTCATCCCAGGAACTAACCTAGTGAATCTACGCTGCACCCCCTCGAGGGCAAGTATGTCCTTTTTTAAATAAGGAGACCAAAACTGCACACAATACTCTAGGTGCGGTCTCACCAAGGCCCTATATAGTTGCAGCAAGACTTCCCTACTCTTGTACTCTAAACCTTTTGCAATGAACGCTAACATGCCGTTCGCCTTCTTAAGTTGCTTGCTGCACCTGCAAACTAACTTTTTGAGACTGGTGTACAAGGACACCCAAATCCCTCTGCACACTAACACTATCTAATCTGTTTTTCTACCTAGGTGAATAACTTCACACTTCTCCACATTAAATTCCATCTGCCACCTACTCCCCTAGCCTATCTATATCCCGTTGCAATCTTTTTGGTTCATCCTCAGAGCTTACTCTCCCACCTAGTTTAGTGTCATCCGCGAATTTAGATACGTTACATTCAATGTCCTCGTCCAGATCATTGATGTAAATTGTAAATAGCTGAGGCCCAAGCACTGATCCTTGTGGCACTCCACTAGTCACATCCTGCCAATTCGAGAATGACCCGTTTTTCCCTACTCTCTGTTTTCTACCCGTTAGCCACTCTTCAATCCATGCTAATATGTTCCCATTAATCCCATGGGCCTTAACCTTGTGCAATAGCCTTTTGTGTGGCACTTTGTCAAATGCCTTTTTAAAATCTAAATATACTACATCTACTGGTTCCCCCCTATATAACCTGCTAGATACATCTTCAAAAAACTCTAAAAGATTAGTTAAGCATGACTTCCCTTTTGTAAAGCCATGTTGACTCTGCCTAATCTTGTTATGGTCTTCCAGGAATCCCATAACGACATCCTTAATTAAGGACTCAAGAATTTTCCCTACCACTGAAGTCAGACTAACTGGTCTATAGTTCCCCATCTTTTCTCTCCCACCCTTCTTAAATAGTGGTGTCACGTTTGCAATCTTCCAATCAATGGGAACCGTTCCAGAATCCAGAGAATTTTGGAAGATCAAAGACAAGCCATCCACTATCTCAGTAGCCACCTCTTTTAAAACCCTAGGATGTAGGCCATCAGGTCCAGGAGATTTATCAATTTTAAGACCTGATAATTTACCTAAAACCATTCCTTTATTAATATTAATTCCTCCAAATAGCTCACTAACATTTTCTTCTTGGTTCCCCTCTATTCTTGGTAGGTTTTTAGTGTCTTCTAAGGTGAAGACAGTAGCAAAGTACTTGTTTAATGATTCTGCCATGTCTTTGTCCCCTACTATAATTCCCCCCTTCTCGGCCTGTAGCGGACCCACCATATCCTTGACAGCCTCTTCCTCTTTATATATTTATAAAACCTCTTGCAGTCTGTCTTTATGTTCCTCGCTAGTTTGCCCTCATATTCCATTTTCTCCCTCTTAATCACTTTTTTGGTTCTCCTTTGTTGATCCCTAAAGTTCTCCCAATCCTCGGGTTTACTACTCATCTTAGCTGTTTTATAGGCTTCTTCCTTTAACTTATACTTTTCCTAACTGCTCTAGTTGGGCCACCTTTCCCGAGGCATTCTTATTCCTCAAAGGAATACGTGCTCGCTGGAAATTTTGACTATCTCCTTAAACGTCTGCCATTGCTGGTCTACTGTCAAATCCTTAAGTCTAATTTCCCAGTTTATTTTGGCTAAATTCTCTCATATCAGCAAAATTGGCTCTTCTTAAATTTAAAACCTTAAATTTAAAACCTATTATATATTTTTTCTCCTCCTCATTTTTTGAGATTCTATGGAAATATGTTCGTTCTGAAATGAACATATTTTTTACACGCATTTGCTTCAAAAAACCAAAGTGTTCTATTGAATTTCTATGAACTCTACATTTCTCTTTCATACCTGTAAGATTTGAAGACCAGAAGAGGACTATTATATGGTCCAAATGGCGTTGGTTTTAAGTCAACGTGTCTCGACAGCGTTAACACTGCATCCAGATCCACAGGAATCTCCTGAATAGTCAAGAAACAATTCAAACCTATTAAAAAGGTATGGACAATCTAAGATGTAGAAATACTTTGAAAGCAAATGCTTGTAACGTAAGCACAAAGTAGTCTGAAAACCTAGTAGGAAGGCCAAGGTTGAAAAAGTAGAGAAAACATCCTTGCATTTGATAAGTCAAGGATATGGATAAGTAAAGAGGAGGTTAGGTGCTATCACCTTTTGGCTTTAAAGCTTGTCAGAACCATAACCTCGCATCAGTTTTGTGAAGCTTTCCTCATTTATATCTCTTTCCAATAAACTAGTAGGTGCAGTAATTAACTACTAACCTGGCCATAAACAGGTTTTTCATTTGAAGACATGAAAGCTACTGTTTTTTCCAACAACATTTTCAAATCATCACGCTCTGCATGAAGGTTTTTAAGATCATCAATGTTGAGTCCAAGAAAAAGTTCAGGCTCATCAAAGCTCTTCTTTGCAGGTTTGGTTACACTCTCTTTCCCCAGAGTTACTTCAGTGTGCTTTAAATTTGGCTTAGTGAAAGAGTTTGACTCTCGGAAAGACCTCCTTCGCTCCCTTAGCGATGGAGACTGCACTTCATCCTCTCCGTCATTTTCTTCCGAGTCAAGAACAAGTTTATCTTGGGTTAGGTCATGCAGAGAAGGTTGTGGCACCACAAAGGCAGGCTCTTGCTCAACACCAGGCAGATTATCGGGTAACCCAGCATGTCTTAAAGCTTGTGCCTCTTTTAGTTTTTGTATCTTCAGTCGATATTCATATTCAAGTTGCTGCAACCGTTTCTTCTCCTTTGCTATATACTCAAACGATTGTTTCTTCAAAGTTGCTGCATATGACGCATCTAATTGGATAGACTTATTGGACTGCTGACAGAAAAGGGCACACTTGTAAGTTTCCTTTAAAAGCATATTATTGCTTTTGATAATACATTTTAACTACTTACAGGTCTTAAATGCTTAAATAGAAAATTGCCTTCTTTCTTTTGAAGAGTAAGAAGTAAAAATTTACATGAACTTAGTTTCCAATTTTTTTAAAAACAAGTTAATAACAAAATCTGCTAAATAAAAAACTTTTCAATCATTTTAAAATATTTCTCTAGCTCAATTTTATTTTGTTAATTTGTTTTATTGCATATTGGACAGGAGGAAAGGAAACCACTCTCACAGAAGCTCATCTCTCTGTAGAATAAAGAAGCAGAGAAACAGACAGACTCTCACATTGGGAAAGTGAGTGACACACAAGTTGGATAGCCTGACAATTTTTTGGTAAAATTAGCAAATAAATAAAAGATTAAAAGTTTAATTCTCAAATACTTACTCCAAATTCTACCAGTTCATATTTATGCTTTCCTGCTTCACGACTGGCGATTGCTTTTGCTCGTGCAAGCTCTTCCCCAAATTTTAATGCCAATTTTTTCTTCACTTGTACTCGATGCTGCACTTTATGTACCTAAGAGGAAGGTGGGGAAAGACAATATTACTTTTAAATTGATTAAGATTCCTTAGATTTGTGAAAAATCTACATTCAAAAATGAATCTGGGAAGTTGTACTACCTAACACTGAAAGATTTGCTATCACAATGTAGTACAGAATAATAATTTTTGCATTTATCATGTTGTCAAGAAGTTTTACAGAATATCCTGCAGAGTGTATTGATTGTCAACTTTGTGGGCAAATGCGGCAGCCAGTTTCAGAACTACAACGTCTCATAAACAGCCATGGAGGGAGTCACCAATTTTATTTTGGGGATTGTTGGCCAGGACACTGGGAGAAACTCCTTTCTCTTTTCCAATGGTGCCATGGGATCTTTTAACATAATAATAATCCTTGCATTTGATCCACCCGAACAGACATATGCCTCCGCAGTTCAATGTCTTATCCGAAGGATGGCACATCTGACAATGCAACACATCCCCAGCATTGCATTAGAATCTCATCTTAGACCATGTGATTCCAAGTCCCAACGTGGGGCATGAAACCACAGCCTTCTGACTCAGTGGTGAGAGTACTACTACTGGGCCAGGCTGACACACAGAATTAAAAAAAAACAGGAATTTATAAAGCGAGAACACAAAACATGAAGAAAACAACAAGATTACATTTGTATAGTGACTTTCACGTCGGGAGGACGGCCCAAGGCCCTGGACAGTGTACAGCATTTCAGACCCAAGCTGGGGTCAGGGAGGGAGAAGGGAGGGGAGGGGAAGGGGGGTGGCTGATGGCATGGTTGAAGAGGAGGGTTTTGAGGCAGGATTTGAAGGAGGCTAAGGAGGGGGTGAGGCAGAGTAATTGGGGGATGGAATTCCAGAGGTTGGGGGCAGAGTGGCTGAAGGCTCTCCCGCCAATGGGAGGGTGGGTCGGGGGACAGGGAGCAGGGCAGAGCTGGCTGAGCGGAGGGAGTGGGCGGGTTGGTAGGGGGTTAGGAAGTTGCAGAGGTAGGGTGGGGCGAGGCCATGGAGGGCTTTGTAGGTGAGGACCAGGATCTTGAACTGGATCCTCTGAAGGTTAGGGAAAGCCAATGGAGTCAGGCGAGTGGGGGAGATGGGGTCATGGACTTCAGTGAGGGAGAGGACACGGGCTGCAAAGTTCTGGATTATCTGCAGCCTGTGGAGGGAGGAATTTGGAAGGCCAACAAGCAGGGCATTTGTATAGTCGAGCCTGGAGGCGATGAAGGCATGAACAAGAGTTTCAGCAGCCTGAGGGGTGAGGTTATGGCGGAGTCGGACAATGTTACGAAGGTGAGGGAAGGCAGAGCGGGTCATGGCTTGGATGTGGCGAAGAAAAGACAGTTGAGGGTTGAACAAGACACCTAGGTTCCTGACTGGCTTGGTGAATTGCAGTGTGCAACCATGGAGGTTGATGTTGCCAGAGCCTGAGGTGCTGGTGCGAGCCAATCAGGAGGGCCTCAGTCTTGTTCACATTCAACTGTAGGAAATTTGCCCTCATCCAGGACTTGATGTCCGACAGGCAGTCTGTCAGGACAGCAGTGGTCCTGGAGTTGAGGGTGGAGGCAGAAAGATAGAGTTAGTTGGGTGTCATCCGCATACACGTGGAAGTTGACCCCATGTCTGCAGATGATGTCACCAAGGGAGAGCGTGTAGATATTAAAGAGGAGAGGGCCAAGGACAAAGCCCTGAGGGACTCTGCCAGAGCCTGAGGTGCAGAGGCGCTGCACTTTGCATACCTGCTCCTGAAGTTTTTTGAGAAGCATTCTATTGGCATTGACAATTTTCTCTGCTGTCTGCAGCTGCTCTTTTTGCTTAATGTACTTGACTTCTGCTTGCCGCAGTGCTTCTTTCTTCTTTGCTACTTGTTGCAGGAGATTTGACAAGAGAGTTTCATCTTTTGTCAATAGGAGTCTGAAACAAAAATAGATAGATATGAACCACTGCACTCGAGTAACAAAACATTCAAATGAGAAACAAAATAAAATGGTGTATATTGTGCATTTTCAAATTGTTCTAAGCAAAAGAGAAAATGCATGGTGAGTGGGGGCAAGGGAAACACAACTAAGAATAATAGCCAAATCACTCAGAATTTGAGAAAGTAGTTTTTCACAAACACTGGCAAGAGAATTTCTGAAGAGTAATGTGCAGTTTAAGGAGACATGGCACAAGGTAAACATTAAGGGAAACTGGGAAAATTGAATAAAACCAGACATTTTATACGTTACTGTGGAAAGCTTTATTTTGGATATTAATTTAAATGCCACCTACAATATGCCCCTTCACCCCTCAGTAACCTTTTTCTAGTAGTGTTGTTGAAGTTTAAAACTGAGATATTTATTCCCATAACAAATTAAATGGGGTGCTCAGAAACTGAATATTTAATGCTCTCTTCTACAGTTAGAATTCATTTGTTCTCTTACACATGCTAAGCTCTAAACAAAATAGATCTTATTCATAAAGCTCTCTTTGACAGAAATGAAGTTATAATCGAGAGCTTTAAGGAGACTGGGAGAAATGTGGTATATTCATTCAGGTTCACAGTAAAAACGGAATCTTACTTAAAATCAAACTAAAACTTACTTGTGTTTTCTCAGTTGGTCTTCAACTTCTAATAGCTGTTTACTGGCCAGTGCTAGCTTCTCTTTAACATCCATTTCCACATCTACGTGACCTAATGATGGACTGATGACTTTATCAGTCTTTAACAATCGCTGCTTCTCACGGCTAAACAAATCAAATCAGATCTCAATATATTAAAGCAAAACAATAGAATTGTACTCTTGCTACATACAGTAGTAAGCATGAAGAATCTAGCACATTAAGAATAGAAAGGATGCAATGCTTAGTGCATTCCTTTAGCCATATGAGTTTGTAGTTTAGACTAAATTCCCCAGAAAATACCTTGGATTTCTGAGCTCTTCTTATGTCACATGACTTTCTGGCTTAACACCATCATCAAAAAGGGGGAGGTGTGAAAAGATAAACATATTTACTCTTATTTTTAAATTTCACTAATTAATTTCACAAAAGAATTGTAGATTGCAGTTATCGCCTTTTGCAGCAGCAAATTGTGTATTTAAACTGTAAAGAATTTAATTTGTTCCATCTTTAAATGTTTTAACTATGATAATTAGTAAAACAATACGAGGATCATGACTTTCTGTATCAGGTTAGAATAAAACAGTGGTTTCAAAATCCTAAATGGCCAAAAAAAAGACCCTTGCATTTACAGAACTCTCTTTGTGGAGGATAGTGTCTTGGACTGCTGCTCCAAGACACGATTAAACTCCAAGAAAGATTAAACTCTGAAAGATGGTTATAAGCAAATACACTGCTAACTTAATGCAAATAGATTGTTTCCTTATTTCTGAACAGGAATTTTCAGAGTGCCTGTTTTACTGTACAGGACCAGATATTAAATGGCGGATGACTAATTACCTCACAATATCTGCTTTTAAGAGTCTATGTTCTTTTCTTCCTCCTTCTGGCAGACTTCCTGCGGTTGTTGCAGGGACATTTTCCTTCTCTGCTTTAAGTTTGGGCTTTGATTTTGAAGCCTTTACAGAACATGGGAGAGAGAGAAAAAAAAGTATCAACATATTTCACGCATATTTTCTGGTAAATTTTTGACAAAAGTGATTTTCTACTTTTTGAATCTAAGGTCAGTCTGAAATGCATTTTAGGTTGTGTACAAGAGCCAGCTAGAGCAAAAGCTGCTCCATTCATCTCCAATAGCCCTACTTCAATCTACTGTACCTCCATTGCTTCAGTAACATTTTCACATTTTACATCTTCATGGCCCAAGATGTCAAATTCAGTGCTAAATTACTGGCATCTTTGTGCTGTGAACATAAAAATCAAATTGGGCTGAAATTGTCCAAATATTTTTTATTTAGGACACTTACAATCAAGCAAGAGGTTATTTTGTCCTACTAGCCTTGCCGAAATTCAAATGAAGGAATTGTATGCTAACCTACCGGACTATCCGATAATGAACTTTAACAAAAATTTCAGGTATCACTGAACTTAATCCATTCCAAATATCACTGTGATTCCAGAGGGTTGCACTACCTAGTAGGTAATTGCATACAAAAGCTTAAGCATCTACCATAGAAATAGGGTTTATGCATCTCCATACCTCTGCAGTTCTTCTGGCTTCTCTGATCATGGACTCCAAACCTCCCAAAACACCTACATTCAGATTGGATTGTTCATTATCCGAGTCACTATCATCAGAGTCGTCCAGTCTCACAACTACGGATTTGTGTCTAGGTATCTGAAAATTAAGAGAAAGATCAACATTTTACGGTTTGAACACACAAGGGACAGGGGAAAAAAAAAATCAGGATTATCTTTACATCGCTTTGTACAGTGCTGGAATTACCATCATAAGTATAAAACAAACCCATTGCATTGCAGTATTCGGGGTCCAGAAAATTAAGACATTGTGTTATGACAGGTCCACAAAATAAAAAAAATCTTCAGGTAATCCGATCGCTTATATAAATGCAAGTTGTTGTTGCCGCTGATATCACTTCCAACACAGACTGACCGGCTTCCTGCACATGCACACTTTACAAGCAGATTTGTGCTCTAACTAGGCACAACCAGGTAGTACTTATTTTAACCCAAAAAATAAATTTTATTAATGGAACTTTCCCTTCTGGAGCTGGGCAGGTAAATATTTACTTGAATTTGTTCAGGCTATCCATTCATGTAAATGTTTCACATCAACACTTTGATACACTCCTTTCATGCAAAGGCTATTGAAATTGATTATATACACCCATATGTCGATAACTATCTGTAGGATGGACTTTCAGGTGAAAACCATTACACACATTGAAATCTAGAGTTAAAATCAGACAGGAGAACTATTCTATAACCTGCATGAACCTGGTTGTTTTAAAATTCTTACAACTTTCAACACATCTGATGTCTGAAGCCTGGATTTCAAAAGGTATTTACCTGAAGGCAACATTTGTCCCTTCAGATGTTTTACCTAATTTGGAATAAATTCTAGGACTCAATAGAGTGGGTATTAAAAAGCTAAGGATCCAAAACAACACATCTGATCACGTGGCTTGATTGCATACTTCTTTAAGTTTTTCTATTCATTAGATTAAAAATGATTAATACATTGAGTTACCGAAATAACAATTGAACAAATAACACATTATCTATACTGAATTACAGTTACCTAATGGAAAAAAGGATCTCGTTCACTTTTGATGGCAGGATAAGGGAGGAAGCTCCATTTAGACGCTGGAACATTCAGTGTGTACGGCTCACTGAATCATCAGGTAAAGCTTTATGTGCAGAATTCTTCAAATTGAACTTTAACTTTCTATAATACTGTGTTGTTATCCAACGGCTGATTAAATATTTAAATGTCCATTTATAAATGTATGCCTATTACTAGTGTACAAAACTACAGAATTTTTGCCCTGCAAATATCAACTATTTGCAGCTTAATACTGTATTTTGGTTAACAGTGTCAACAGTGGAAAAGATCAAACAAAGAAGCATTGCTTACAGATAATGCATTCAATCAGAACTCTGTTCTTGTGATGCAGTTCAGATAACTTGAACCAATAGGAAATATTTACTATGACAACCCTTGCCATTAACAAAAAGCCTGTTATCTAACATCACATTTGAACCTAGACTTAATTTTAGTATACTTCTCATTTAACCACTAAATAAAATGATTTCATTGAGCAATTGCTCTCGAGACAATCTACCCAAAGATAGTTAGTTACCATGATCATTTGCCGTGGAGGTGCTTGAGATCCTCTCACAAACTTTGTGTTTTGGGCTCGTGGTTGGGAAGTAACAATGGAAATGTTGCTCAATGGTGCAGATTGAGAGTTATCAACAGAAAGAGACAGTGAATCACAGTTATCAGTTGCATCCTGTTTAGAAGGGAAAAAAAACATATCAGTGTTTGAGGCTGCACACAACAAAGCTTCTCCACCCTCTTCCTACCTAAATTATCCTCTTGAACCAACCTAAACTCTTCTCTTGAAGCATTAGTCCTCACTAAAATTCTGGTTAAAATTCTTCACGTTGGCACAATTTTCAACCAGAGTTGTCAGAGCCAAGCCTGATCCTGCACACTTTCCTTCAGGAATGATTCACAATGACCACCCTTGACACACGGACATAAATCAATCATCTCATGGCTGCCTAGCTATAAACTAATTCAACGCAGTCCGACACCAAAACTATTGCTGGCAAGTGTTAAGTGTCTATATTTTAATGGATTGAATCCATTAAAAAACAAAAATGCTAGTTTGTGAACAACCCACTGCAACTAAATCTAATTAGTGATTAAAGACTGCCCTCTGCTGGCTAAAACTAATATACAAGTGTCAGCCTGGCACAGTGGTAGCATTCTCGCCTCCAAGTCAGAAGGTTGGGGGCTCAAATCCTACGTCAGGACTTGAACTCACACAGTCTGAGTTGACACTCCATGCAGCACTGGGAGAGGGTGTTCTTTCTCTTTGACTGTGCCTTTAGCTCCCCTCTCGACTCTCTACCCCCTCCTCGCTCCCTCCCTTCCCTCCCCTCACCCTGACCATTTCCCCCCTGCTCGGGTCCTGACCCAACTGTACAGCGCCTTGGGACGTCCTCCCAACGTGAAAGGCGCTCTATAAATGGAATCTTGTTGTTGTTGTTGCATTGATGGAGGTGCCGTCTTTCGGATGAAATGTTGAAAAAAAAAATCAAGGTCCCGTCTGCCTGTTGAGGTGGAAGTTAAAGATCCCATAACACTATTTGAAAAGAGAAGGGAGTTCCTCCCCAGTATCCTGGTCAACAGTCCCGCAAATTAGTCACTCACTCCATGGCTGTTTGTGGAACATTCCTATGCGCCATTGTGCTGCCGTGTTTGCCTACAAATGCACACGTCACTCCGTTTCACAAGTAAATGCTGTGAAGCGCTTTGAGACACCTTTCCGATGTGATAAGGCGCTATACCGAGTCCAAGGATTATTAATATGAGTATGATTATAAACTCATTATTACCTCTGGTTTTGTGGCACGCCTGTTTGCTATAGACTTCAATAGCTCTTCTCTAAGAAGCATTTCTTCCTCCTCTTCCTCATCAGCAAATGGTGGTTTGGGCGGCTGCTCAGGCTCCTCTGGAGGGAGAGGTGGGGGTGGTGGGGGCTCCAATGGAGGAGGCAAATATGTATCCATATTCTAAAAGGGAACAAATGTTTGCTGATTTAGTTTTCACTGGAATAACGATTACTGCAAAACAATGTATAAACAGGAGAAATTTGCTGCTTGAAACACAGATAGCTTGGATGGACTTCAATTTTGATTACACGCAGAAACAAGCAGTGAGAAAATCCCTGCCCCCAAATTCTGTGGACGAGCCAGGTTGGCTGGCCCGTCAACAACAGTGTCTTGGGAGCTCGGCTCCTGCACTAAACAAAAAATGCCTATTTCCAGGTCAACAGGTTGCTGCCATCACTTTTGGTGCTGTGTGCAAGCTGACATCAGTGGCAACCTGATGACCCAGAGTCAGATATGTTTGCACGGGAACTGGCAGGCGTGCAGAAACTAAGTTGGCCAGCTATGCAGATGTGTGGGGAATAGGGTCCACATATTATAGTGTAAATGAATCAATACTACAATAATACATGCATTTTGATATAGCGCTTTTCACATCTAGACATCTCAAAGCGCTTCACAGAATTTACTGTAAAGTGAATTGACTATATTTGTCGGCAAAACGCAGCAGCTAATTTCGCACAACTGTGTCCCACAGTTGTGGATTGAAGTGACCAATTTATTATTGTTTTTTTTTTCTTGAGGGATTATTATCAGGTGTGTAAAGAAACTTGCCCAAGATTTCATCCTGCTAGGAATCAAACCCAGATCTTTTGTTAGCGAGACAAGCGCTCAAACCACTGAGCTACAGCACTCCACCACGTTATTTGGTAATAACGTGGAAATGACTTGCATTACACTGTAGTCTTCTATCCTGCGGGTCTGGACTCCTCAACCTTCCCAGGCTCTCCCTCAGACTCACCGAACCCATGCGCAACTTAGGCATCAGGTTCAATCCCTAGCTTTCCTCCTCACATTCGTTCCCTGACTAGGACCAATTTTTTTCCACCCCCTTCACTGCACTCCTTGATCCAAACCTCATAACCAAGGCAGCCAAAATCCTCATCCACGCCTTCGTCATTGCCCAGCTGACCTATTCCAATACCCTCCTTGCTGGTCTCCCCAGCTTCACCAATACACAAGATTCAATTGTTCCAAATTCCAGGGCCAGATACTCACTCACACAATACTATGTACCCCCATCACACCAGGCCTTGCCAGGCTCCACTGGCTCCCAATTACCGAAAGGATGGATTTCAAGATCCTCTCACTTGTTTTCAAATCCCTTCATGCCCACACACCTCCCTATCCAATCTGCTTACACTCCCCCCCCCCCCCCACTCCACCACCCTGCCTCCTGTTTGTCCCTCAGCCCCTCCACCATCGGTGGACGTGCCTTCGGCCACTATATCTCAAAACTCTCTCCCTCAATCTCTCAGCCTTGCCCTCTCTCTCCTCGCTTTCAAATCCTACCTAGACATTCCCTTTTGATCGTGCTCACCTCCCCCGTTCCCTTTCCCCATGGCTTGGCATGAAGACTCCGCTACTGCCAAGTGTTCCAGGATGCTACCCAACACCAAGGGTGCTATATAAATGCAAGTTATTGTGCTAAATAAAGGTAGTACAATAACACAGGAACACAATATCAAATAGAATATCAGTTTTGTATTATGGTCAAGGAAGATACTTAGCAACTTGAAATGAAACTAACTTGATATTGTAAATACATCGGCAATGGTGGCATCGGAACAAAATATCCCAACTGATATTCCGTAGAGAAGAAAGGAGGCACTGGAGAGGACACTGTTGAGAAGGAGAAAAAGCATTGTAATGATTATTGCTCAAAGAATTATGACACAATATGGATCAGGATAATCCACTTCCAAGTACCAGGGTTCCTTATCAAGTAATTGGTAGATATTAGACCCATTGTCACAATAACAAGTGTCATACATGCGAATACTTAAGACTAACTACACAATACCTTTTGTTTAACAAGCTCACATGGTATGACCTAGGGGCATTTAATAGGGGTCACATGGTATGACATAGGAGCACAAATTTATTAAAGGAAAATTCCTCTGAAATTTCAATCAATTCAAATCTAGGTGGACCCAATCCTTACGGTGGATGGAAGATATCAGAATGATCTTTTATGGTCACGTACATTCCTATGTTCCCATCATAAAGAATCCTCCTAACAACACCAAAACAAACTCAAAGCGATTCCCCCAATTATCTACCTTCATCAATTTGCCAAAGGATAGCTTGGGAGAATATCTGCTTGGCAAAAGGGCAACCATCTGCTTAGCAGATTTTCCTGTGGTGCTTTGGCAGTTTCACCCGATTATGAGCCAATGGATTAGAACAGATTGTGCATTACTTACCTGGTGAATTAGTTTCACTATCTGTTTCCATAGCAACCTCTTCATAGTTGTCATACTGATACAGATTTCCTGATTCATCGATCTGCTTATCCTGTGATTTTCTGAAATCTGCATCTGTGGACTAAGAAAATTCAACATTTAAGGTTGTATCATCGTTTGAAATCCTGCTGGATGACGTGGAACTTATTACAAGCTGCTGGAAGGTTGTAATCTGTTCCTGTAAATTACCATTCCGTATTTCTGGAATGTTGTTTTTGTAGCTTGCATTGAAACAATCTGCAGCAAGTGGCTGAGTGAATCACTCACCACCATAATGAGAAGTAGGCTCGCAGTCCAAGGACACCCACAGCTCAAAGCAAGCCTTCTCCAGAATGCTAGAGAGTAAAACACAATCATGTTTCCAGACCCCCACACCCTCTCTGATCATTTCTGGGAGTCTATGAGCAGTACATATGCAAAAATGGAGGAGACAAGAGGTTTTGTGAGAATGCTTTATTCCAGGCAGTGATGCCCTGAAGTGTGCTGCCCACTAGTTCTATTTAAAGTTAGGGAGCTTCCAAGTATTTCTAAATATTTTCCTTCTTCAACCTACTTAATTATTACAGTGTACAATGAGCACATTATTTCTGACTACATCTCAAAAACACTTGCAAAACGCAAGCAAACAGTAATCTCAGTGCAATGTTTTAGACTTATTCGCATTGGAACTAACCTAACACTTGTGTAATGACAATAGATCGTTCATAGCAATTCCTTTAGATCTCATACATGTAATAATAAGTATATATAATGCAGGAAAACACTGATCTAATTAAAATGAGAGGGAGCAGCGAAAATACCAAAACTATCAGTTAATAGTGTAACTCATCAACTTTGGAGTGTTGTTAAAGGACACGCATGTAGAAGCGTAGGTGACGATGAGCAAATGAACTAGTAAAAGTTAAATCAATGCAAAGCCTCACTCTTACCTTGCTGCTCGATCGTTTTTTCCCTCCCACAAGTTTCATGAACCGATTATACTGTTCTTCCTGATTTGAGAGGTCACGAATTTTCCGAATTTCATCCTCGCGCTTTCTCCGTTCTTCCTCTTCAATTTGTTTCCTCTCTTCTTCTTCTCGTCGTTGCTTTTCCTGTTCTTTCTGCTGCTGCAGTTTTTTCCAAGCTCTGGTCTTCTGCCTTCGCAAAACCTGCTTTGTAGCAACTACTGAACAAAGAAGTCAAACAAATGATTTTCCACCCGAAATATAACTTTTTTTTAATTATTGGAGTCAAGATTATGCTGACTTCTCAGCCGTCTAAGCAGTTGCCTACAATATATAATGGTTAAACATCTACCTGCATACACTTCTCCAATGCCACTAGACCAGAAATTTCAATCAGTGTAGTTTCAGTGTAAAAACAGCATTAAATTACTTGACATAACCCTACACGCCCTAGCAACCCCTAACTCTCCAACCTGCTCTCTCCCTACACCATTACCCGCTGCCTCAGCTCGACTGACTCCGGCCTCCTTACCTCTGCCACGCCATTGGAAGCCACGCATTCAGCCACAACGCCCCAAAGCTGTGGAACTCTCTCCCTAAATCTCTTTGCCTTGTCCAATCTCCCCATTTTCAGATCGCGTTTGAAGACCTTCCTCTTCGACCATGCCTACAGTCACATTCCCCCTCCCACTGGCTTGGCATCCGCCACTGTTAAGCGCTCTGACAGGTTGTGAATGCCACTTCATTTGTCCAGAGTCTATTATACTTTACGTGCATTAACTCTGAAAGGTATGACCACCAAATTCTTATATAAAAGGGTGTGAAAACCTTACTGGAAGTGAAAAATGTTCCAGAACAGAAATCGTCATAATTCAAACGACAAACAGAGAATGTATTCACTTATTTGACAATTCAATTTATATTTTTATGTGTATATTTTGCAGCATGCAGAGCTAAAGTTAGTACAACTGGAAGTTTTGTTCCTGGAAAATAACTTGAAAATGTCATAGGTTCTAAATGACAAACAATTTAACAAGAATATCTTACATATGTAGGATTCATGGAGATGGACGTTTGAAATACCATTATTATTATCAGCTTTGCTGTGACAAAACATGGATCAATACCAATCTGTTTACTAATTTTTTAAGGGAATCATTCTGAATTGGTCAAAACATAAAATCACATTCATAGGACAGCAATATAATGAATCCAAGCTAAACTAACCACAAGTATTCAACTTGGATATTTAGATGTTATCTCCAGACAGTAATACATTTTCATCTCGCACAACAAAACTGTACAATTCAGTACCTGTACTTAGAGGTTTCTTGACTGAATGGGCTTTAGGGCTAGTTTTCATTCTCGGCTTCATCAGCTTTTCCTTGCTCTCCTTCATCACACGTTGTTCTTTCTGTTGCCACTTTTTACTCGCAGATTGCAGAGCGAGCAGTCGCAACTGGAGTTCTGATACCTCCTCTTCCTTCCCCTCATCCTCATCATCCTCTTTAGCCTGTTAATGGTTCACAGAATTAATATTTCATTATCCTTAAATTTGCAGGCCACACCAAAAGTGATGTTATAAATTCTGAATTACAAACACATTATTCATCTACCTTAAGGAGAAATTCCTCAGACTCCCTGTTGTTTGAAAGGTTGGGATCGTTATCTTCACCATCTAAAATAAAAAAGTTACTAATAAAACAAATGTATCATTTGGTATTCACAAACCATAAAATAGAAGTAGTTATTTTTGTGTCTTGCAAACCTGCTTTAGACTCGGTTTCCAATTCTTCCTTTGTCTGGTTAATTTGATCCATTTGTGCTGGAGTAAGCAGCTTTTGCCTAATAGGTTTCAGTTCAAATGCCTGGAAAATTTTTGACTGTATATTTTCAGTTGAAGATGAAATCTGAGTACTATTCTTGTCAATACTGTTGGCATCAATACTGTGTTCACCACTCACAATGTCTGTTTCTTCCTCCTGTACATTTTCTCCCTTAGTACACAGAGATATCTTCTCTTCTCTACTAAGACATTCCAGTTCCAGCTGAATTTCCTTGTATTTCTTAAGCAGTTCCTCAAAGGTTTCTTCCATGTCTTGATCATTTCTATAAGAGTAGCTTGGCGGTCGTCTTGATGGTAACCGCATCAAGAATTTTGCTGAATTAAACGTAAAGGAAACTTAACACTTTTCCAAAGAATGAAGCATTACATTATACAATATTACAGAATGCACTCCCTGAAGGGTGATGGAAGCAATTTCAATAATAACTTTCCAAAGGGAATTGGATATATATTTGAAAAGAAAAAAATTGCAAGGCTATGAGGAAAGAGCAAGGGTGGGGGGTGAAATTGGACAGCTCTTCCAAAGGCACAGGCATGCTGGGCCAAATGACCTCCTTCTGTGTTGTAGGATTCCATGACTACTTTTGATCATTAGGCATCAACTGCACAAATGGATTAAGAGTTGCCCTAAAGATAGGGTTTTTTGCCTCTTCCCTATTAGAAACATAATAGGGATTATTACCCTATATGACTGGGGTAAACCATTTGAGTTTCACTCTCATGGTTCGTCAAATGGACCTCAAGATTATATAACCGCACTGAACTTACTCCATAAACAATAATTCTATAGATAAGTTTCACTTGACAACTCATTTTGCTATTTCATTATAGATTCCATAAACTTTCAAGTCTAAAAAGACTAAAAACTCCATGAGCTGGTTGTAAGCAGAAAACTAGATGATTAGGCATTTATACAGGGTGAACAAAAGGTCGTGATAACTACAACAAGAAGATTACATTTGTATAGCGCCTTTCACGTTGGGAGGACGTCCCAAGGCACTGGACAGTGTACAGCATTTCAGACCCGAGCTGGGGTCAGCGGGGAGAGGGAAGGGAAGGGGGGTGGCCAATGGCATGGTCGAAGAGGAGGGTCTTGAGGCGGGACTTGATGGAGGCTAAGGAGGGGGTGAGGCAGAGTGACTGAAGGATGGAATTCCAGAAGTTGGGGGCAGAGTGGCAGAAGGCTCTCCCGCCAACGGTGGGGCGGAGTGGATTGGGGGGGATGTGGAGCAGGCTGGAGCCGGCTGAGCGGAGGGAATGGGCGGGTTGGTAGGGGGTTAGGAGGTCCAGAGGTTGGGGGCGAGAGTGGGGAGATGGGGTCACGGAATTTGGTGCGGGAGAGGACACAGGCTGCAGAGTTCTGGATTATCTGCAGCCTGTGGAGGGAGGAGTTGGGAAGGCCGACAAGCAGAGCGTTTGCATAGTCGAGCCTGGAGGTGATGAAGGCATGAACAAGAGTTTCAGCGGCCTGAGGGGTGAGGTAGTGGCGGAGTCGGGCGATGTTACGGAGGTGAGGGAAGGCAAAGCGGGTCATGGCTTGGATGTGGGAAAAAAACGTTGAGGGTCGAACAAGACACCTAGGTTCCTGACTGGCTTATGAGCGTAGTGTGCAGCCATGGAGATTGATGCTGCCAGAGACTGAGGTGCTGAGGCGCAGGCGCGAGCCAATCAGGAGGGCCTCAGTCTTGTTCACATTCAACTGTAGGAAATTTGCCCTCATCCAGGACTTGGTGCCCGACAGGCAGTCTGTCAGGACAGCAGTGGTCCTGGAGTTGAGGGTGCAGGCAGAAAGATAGAGTTGGGTGTCATCCGCATTCATGTGGAAGTTGACCCCATGTCTGCGGATGATGTCACCAAGGGGGAGCATGTAGATATTAAAGAGGAGAGGGCCAAGGACAAAGCCCTGGGGGACGCCAGACGTGACAGTGTGGGGGCTGGAGGAGAAACCATTAGAAGCAACAAAGTGGAGACGGTGAGAGAGATAGGAATCGAACCAGGCAAGGGCAGGTCCGTGAAGATTGAGTAAAGCGGAGAGGCGGTGTATGAGGATGGAGTGGTCGACAGTGTCGAAGGCAGCAGAGAGGTCGAGGAGGACAAGGAGACAGAGGGAGCCCTGATCACAGATGCGCAGAATGTCATTAGTGACTTTGACCAGGGCTGTTTCCTTGCTGTGGGCGGCGCAGAAGCTGGATTGGAGGGGTTCAAAGAGGGAATGGCGAGAAAGAAAGGAGCAGAGCTGGGACACGACGACTAGTTCCAGGACCTTGGAGAGGAATGGGAGGTTAGAGATGGGGCGGTAGCTGGAGAGGAGGGATGCGTCCAGGGAAGGTTTTTTCAAGATGGGGGTGATGACAGCTGTTTCTAGGGGCGTGGGAACTGAACCAGTGGACAGGGAGAGCTTGATGACATCTAACTGCCTTATCTAAAAAAATCATTTCTTTAAAATGTATTAGACATTGTAATAGTATCACAACTTTTTGGTCACCCTGTACTTGAGGGTTTAGGAATTATTAAAAATCACTACTTACAAACATACACAGGTAATAGAAGCACAGGCACAATTTAGCCACAATAGCCACCTTCATCACTGAAATTTCTATGTTTCTAACTCAAAACGGTTTCTACATTCAAACAATTGGTTTTGCTGACTTTGGAGAAAAGTCCACTAGCTTTCAGCTGCCTCCCAGAATATAAATAAAACTAGCATTGTTGCTTTTATCTGTTCTCACTCCATTGGTAAGACAGATAAAATGCTGCTTTATTATCTACACACCATTGAATCAATCACAAAAGCTGCACTAACTCATCAAACTTGTGGATCATACAGGGCCATTCTATCAGCACTTTATGTATAGTACATTTCTATGCAAATAACATTTTTTGAAAAATTACTTTTAAGATACTGCCATCGTGGTCTAAATTAGCATCTGCAGTTACCAAGCAGACAAATTGCTTTAAATTCTCACTGTTGTCCCACAGATCAGAATCAGACCGAAAGCTGATGAATTACTCTTAACCCCCCTCCCCAGGTCTGAAATCCCACCCAGCCTTAGCACATGAAACCACGGTAATAAATTTAGAAAGGCGGAACATTCTTTAATTCGCTCTTGGTTTGGAAGCCAGCTTTCCACAGTCCATACAAAATGGCTTCGGAATTTAAGAATTTTCCACAATTCTGTGTGATCTTAAATAATAATTTAACGATTGTGGAACACTGCTGTGTGCAATTGGCTGCTGCGTTTCGCCCATAAAATACACAGCCAATTCACTTCACAGTATATTCTGTGAAGCGCTTTGAGACGTCTCTAAGAAATGATAAGGCGCTATATCAAATGCAAGGATTATTATTATTTAAACTGTGTTGTCTGAGACACTAGGTTTCACTTTCCTGCATTCAGACTCAGTGTTGAAGTTTAAACTCAGTTCCAAGTGATTGCATCATTGATGTTCATCAAAACATGTTAATGTGTGTCAACAGAAGTAAAACTCGTCCCAAAGGAGGAAACGAAACTGCAAAAAGGACTCATGCTCAAATAATGACCTGATTTGAACAGGAAGCTTTCCGTTGTTTTTAAATGTCCTGAAATTACAGTTCTGAAGTTTCTAAACCTAATAACATAACTCCAAATTATTTCAGTTGATATGACGTTGTCTAAATTCCTTTAAGAAATCATCTGTAATGTCTTGTTCCATCACTCATGCTGGTAGTTTATCCTAATGGGCTACTACCTTTTAGTCAGATTAAGAGCAAGGTTTAAATGGTAACATTTTTACAACAGGAGATGGAAAATCAGAGTGTAAAATTAACTCATACTATCACACAAAGTTATTGAGTATAATCAGTAGAAACGAGGTTGTATCTTCATAGATGAATTCACAGGAGGCTGATAGGCAAAATGTGTCCAGTATATGGGACAAGATTAGACTAGAACACCTTCAGCCACCAACCAATGTAAACTAACTAAACTGCAAAAAAAACTGCAAAGATGCATTAAATGAAAAAGCAGAACAATGTAAAGGACAGCATAACCATTTCAATGTCATGTATGCCAACATGAGTTTACAATTTGTATGCAAAGTGGTCTTAAATACAAGTTAGTAAAACGCAGATTATTCAGCATACTTCTAAGTGTGTGAGGAAAAATAACTGTAATTTGGGGGGGAAAGCTAGATTTCTGATTTAATTTGTGCCACTGTTAGTGAGCATCTGAAAAGAACAGATTAAAAACATTCTTATGTGTCATGCTACCCTTAATGCATATTCTGCCAAATGAACTCTTGGCTTACTCACGCATAACTTCAGCTCAGACTTATAGCTTAAAGTGCCCTGCAACATCCATAAGATGTTCAAATCAATTCTGATCATTGATTACTTGCATTTATAAAATCATCAGTACAAGCAACCTTGGAGCTTGGCAATAAGTTACAGCTTGACTGATATACATTTTTTAGAGAAATTGGGACGTATAAAACAATACACAGATGCAACCAAGGCACCACCCAAATACAACAACAAAATTACTTTTGTATAGGTCCTTTCACATTAGGAGGACGTCCCAAGGCGCTGAACAATCAGTGTTTCAGACCCGAGCTGAGGGTTGGGATCGGGGAGGATGGAGGGTGGGGGGAAAGGAGGGTGGCTGAAGGCACGGTCAAAGAGGAGGGTCTTGAAGGCAAGGGGCGAGGTGGAGGGACTGCAGGATGGAGTTTCAGAGGGTGAGGGCAGAGTGGCTGAAGGCCCACTCGCCAACGTTGGGGCGGGCGAGGTGGGGGGCATGAAGCAAGACGGAGCCGCTGAGCGGTGGAAGCAAGCAGGTTGATAGGGATTTAGGAGGTCACAGAAGTAGGCCAAGGCCATGGAGGGCTTTGAAAGTGAGGACCAGGATGAACTGCATCGCCTGTGTGAAAGGAAATCAGTGGAGTCAGGCAAGGATAGGGGGACAATAGAGTCGAGGAGCCTGGTGTGGGAGAGGACACGGGCTGCAGAGTGTTGGATGATCTGCAACCTACGGAGGGAGAAGTGGGGGAGGTAGACAAGCAGTTTGCGCAGTTGAGCCTGGATGCGATGAATGTGTGTATGAGGGTCTCGGTGGCCTGCGGTGTGAGACAGTGGCGGAGCCCAGCGAAGTTGCAGAGGTGGGGGAAGGCAGAGTGGGTCATGGCACAGATGTGGGGTAGAAAGGACAGCTGAGGGTCAAGCTAGAGGAGAAGCCGTTTGTGGAGATGAAGTGGAGACGGTATGGGAGGTAGGATCTAAACCATTCAAGGATAGAACCATAAAGGTTAAGGTGAAAGAGGCGGTGGAGGAGATTAGAATGGTCAATGGTATCGAAGGCAGCAGGGAGGTCAAGAAGGATGAGGATGCAGAGGAAGCCCTGGTAGCAGATGGGCAAAATGTCATTTTGTCACTTTGACCTGGGCTGTTTCTGTGCTGTGGACGGCACTGAAACCCAATTGGAGGCGTTCTTGAAGGGAGCGGTGGGAGAGGAAGAAGCGAAGCAACGACTCATTCCAGAACCTCAGAAAGGAAAGGGAGGTTGGAAATGGGGCAGTAATTTGAGAAGAGGGATGGGTCCAGGGAAAGTTTTTTTTTAAAAAAAGAATAGTAGTGATGACCGACGTTTTTAAAGGGGTGCGGACGGTGCGAGTGGGTAGAGAGAGGTTTATGATGTCTGTGAATAGGGGGTCAAGGAGGTGAAACTGGGAGGTGAGGAGAGAGGGAGGGTTGGGGTTGAGGGAGCAGGTGGTCGGTTTCATGCGGATTACAGTGGTGGTGGTGGTGGGGGGGGGGGGACGACAGGTAGACTTATATTGGAATAGACCGAATGATATCAGAACAGAAATCAAATCGTTTCCTCCATTCCCTCCGGAACTTCATGACTCTCCTGTGAGTCATCATTCTGCACGGTCATCCTAACCACCTCCCAAGATGTCCCCCTCGACATTTCCACCCAGAAATAACACTGGATTCCCGAACTGCGAGCAAAGCCCCCATTTTGCAAACACGCAGAGAGAGAGAGAGAGTGAGAGAGAGAGTGAGTGAGTGAGAGAGTGAGTGAGTGAGAGAGTGAGTGAGTGAGTGAGTGAGAGCCCCCAACTGCTTCGAGAGCGATTCGGAAAGCGAATCTCTCAAAAGTACCGGAAAAAAAAGTTACCGGTCCCCCTCCCGCCTCTGAACCACCACACCCCGAAACCTCATATATTTTTTTTAAAAAAAAAAACAACAACAAAAAAAGTCCACCGCTTTGCTTGAAGCATCCGTGACTGACCAGGTACACCTCACACCCAAACCATCATCCAAACATACATAATAAAACCCTAATAAAATAATTACTATTGCAGACCCCCCCCCCCCCCACCCCCTCCCTCCCCATCCACCCACCCACACAGGGGGGAGGGAGGGGAGGGGGGGGGGTCTGTCTGTCTTACTCCCACCAATTCAACCCTCTCCCGAGGGCAGACGGTGTAAATGTGTCCCTATCATCTGGAGAGGAGAGAGGGACACACACACACACACACACACACACCTATTTCACACTGAAAACCACCCCCAGGAGCCTCTTCCTCCCCCACCAGTTAAACGCCAGAGGAGCCGCCCAGGCCCCGGAGCCGGGCTGTGGCGTGAGGAGAGAGAGGGGGGGGGAGCCGAGGCCGTTCCCGGGCCAGGACTTGCTCCGACCCCCCCCACCACCCACCGTGGCGGTCGGGGCTGCGCGGACGGACGGAAGGATACGTTTCCTGGGAGGCGACTCCCGGCGGAGGCTGTTGAAGGCGGCCACGGGCGCGGGGCCCGGCCTCCCCCGCTTGCAGCCTCGAGGCCCGAAGTCGCCGGGCCCCGGGCAGCCGCGCCCTCTGCCCCAGCGGCCGCCGCTCGAACCTTCTCGAAAACGGAAGCGGTCGAAGGTGCCGTGGCTCCGCTCCCAGAAGCTGGAGCGGGGAGAGTCGCCGAGCATGGCCGGCGGCGGGAGCAGCGAGGAGGAGGAGGAGGAGGAGGAGGCCGGGTGCTGCGAGGCGAAGCCCCTGAACGGCTCCTTCAGGCGGTACGGGAGGCCGTTGCCGGAGCCCGGCGTCGGCTGGAAGCGGTTCGCGGTCCTCCGGGGCTTCTGGAAGGGACCGTCGCTTTTGCCAGACCCGGGCCGGGGCCTGGGCTTCGGCGTCGAGGCCGGGACAGGGATCGGGACTGGGGCGGGGACCGGGAGCGGGACGGGCCGGGCGCTCGGGTACAGGTTCTCGTCGTTGTCATCGTCGTCGATCTCGCCGTCCTCCAGCTCTCCCTCCTCGCGGGGGGACAGCGGCTCAGCGCCGCCCTCCATCACTGGGTCTGAAATGCGGCTGCGGCGGCGGAACAGGAAAGAACAACTTCCAACACCAACAGCTCCTCCTCCTCCTCCTCTCCCTCCAGCCGTCACCAGTCACACTGACACCCGCCCGTCACACCGGCGGACGCAATGACCCCCCCCCCTTTGGGAGGGATTTTTTGTTTTCATTTGGGGTCAAGTCCTGGGTCCGGCACGTGCTCGGACCCACCCGCCGCCCACTCCCCCCCCCCCCCCCACCCCCCCGCCCGCCCTCCCCCCCCCGCCGCCCGATCCCCACCGCCGCCCGCTCCCCGCTCCCCGCCACCCGCTCCCCCCCCACACGCTCCCGCTCCCGCTCCCCCCACACGCTCCCCCGCTCCCCCCGCCGCCGCTCCCCCCCCCCACGCCGCTCCCTCCCCGGCGCCCGCTCCCCCCCCGCCGCCCGCTCCCCCCCGCCGCCCGCTCCCCCCGCCGCCGCGCCCGCTCCCCCCACCCCCGCCGCTCGCCCCCGGGCGCTCTCTCTCTCCTTCAAAAATAATAACGGTCGATGGACTCGTTCCAATCGTGAGCGCTCAGCGGTCGGTTACCGCACTCGCCAAGCCAGCGAGAGGACCAAATGTTGGCCAAGTTTCCTTGGAGTCCTGTAGCGCAGTGGTTAGAGCACTCGCTTTTCAAGCGAGAGACCCGAGTTAAATTCCAGGCAGAGGGCGAAACCCTTGGGCAAGTTTCTTTACTCCACACAGAGCCTAATAATAATCCCTCCAAAACCCAAAACAATAATAAATTGGTCATTTTCAATCCACGACTGTTTGTGGGACATTGCTGTGCGCAATTGGCTGCCGCGTTCGCCCACAAATATACAGTCAATTCACTTTACAGTGTGTTCTGTGAAGCGCTTTGGGATGTCCTCCCGACGTGAAAAGCACTATATCAAATGCAAGGATTATTATTGTTATTATTACCCCACGTGTCTCTGCTTACCTAGCAGAAACCTGTCTGTTAGTCGATTGGCGGATTGCTTTTCCGGGGGTAAATAATCCCCCACCGCGCCACCCCCCCCCCAAAAAAAACAATAACAATTTGGTCACTCAATCCATGACCGTTTGGGGGACACTGCTGCGCGCAATTGGCTGCCGCAGTTCGCCCCCAAATATAGTCAATTCACTTTACAGTATATTCTGTGAAGCGCTTTGAGACGTCGAGAAGATATAAAAAGTGCTATATCAAATGCAAGGATTATAATTATAATAAATTGGTCACTTGAATCCACTACTGTTCATGTTCATTGTTAATTTCTTTATCACTGGGGATTATTCTTGTTGATCTCATCTGCCCTACCACTGGGGTTTGGGCAGCCTTATTCGTTGTGACCAATACTATGTGCAGCAATCCAAATGCATCATTTTCCTCTTATTAGGCTGTTTATCACACTTACATCAACCCTCTAGTCAACGCTCTACTCAAACTAACTGACCAGCAGACTGCTATAATTTCATTTTATGTCTTTGGCATAATCCTAATTCCTCCCTATTAGTAAACTGGTACTACTTTTGAGACACTATTTCATAAGTTAACAGTGCTTAAACCAATATTCATTGTTTGAAAATCACAAAAAAAATATTTATTCTTCATGGTTGAATGTTCTTTTATCTATAAATTGGACATTTGAAACACAATATTAATTTAATCTTGGGGAGGTGCTTCCACTGAATTAGATAGCAGTGGAAACATTAAGCTGCCAACATTTACTATATTTTACATAAGGACAGCTGGGATGACCAGGAGTCACTTTAAATCTTTTGTTACTATGTTTCCATGTGCTTCTAAAGGAAAGTGAAATGTTTCATAATATTTTGATGATCAACAAGGTATGAAAAGAGTTTAAGATGATAGAACGTTTTTCACTAAGAAGTAATATGCTCGTATTTTATTTTATCTATTATAACAAAGATAGTATTGTGTGCTGCAACGTCAATTTTTGCAGTAAGTATAAGATTTAATTTATCAGAATGATCATTTCATCTGAATTGATATTTAATTTCATTGCGAAAATTTTTTATCAAATCATGCTGATAAATGGATGTCCTCATCTATTGATAGAATGCAATGCATTTAGTGAGAAAGAACGTATTTTGTGTCATTGCATTTCTCATCACAGAAAGGCAATCTGGATAATTTTCTGTGCAGTATTTCTCAGACAGACTTTGTAACAAAACACTGAGGCAGATTGCAAAGCTATTTATTTATTCTTCAAAGGTCACTTTGAAGAATAAATAGATAAATAAATAAAGGCACCACATTGCCCACCTCCGACCATACCTTATCCCAAATGCAGCCGAAACCCTTGTGCATGCATTTGTCACCTCCCGCTTGGATTACTCAAACGCACTCCTCGCTGGTCTCCCCAGCTCCACCATTGAAAAGATTCAGCTCATTCAGAACTCTGCCAACCGCATACTGACCCGGACCAAACTCTGTACAACCATCTCACTAGTTCTGACCAGACTCCACTGGCTCCCTGTTAGAATATACAATCAAGCCTTGACGAACGTTTAATGATGTTGCATGTTTGAATACATCAACGTCTGATTGTTTTTAAAGCTGAATATTTGACTATATTAGCTAGGAAGTTTGTGGTTGTCTCCTTAAATGTTTGAATACTTCAAGTAGAGGACAGTAGTTTTGAGTAAGCTGTGGATGCCACACTAAGGTGTAGTCGGGACCAAGCTTCGGTAAAGGTCAGGCGTTTGAGTACGCTGGCGATCGCACCAGCCATTTAAGTGCGCTGATGTGCGTGTGAACGACATTCGAATATGTTGATATATTGTGTCGATGTGGAAATTATCTTTCTTTTTGTAGTTTTGTGATACCTCATATTCATTCGGTATCAAGGTGGCGACTGTTAGAATATACACTTTTTGTATACTGCTAGAATCATAATAGATGTTGTGAATGGGTTAACTTTTAAGTTAAGTGTGGGAGACAACTGGACTGACAGTCATGGGATAGGATACATCTGGTTTTCTCTGTTTTTGAAAGAATAACGGACAGGGGCAGGGGGTCACCTCTTATCAGTAAATGACAACAAGCCCACAGAGGTAACGGTCCAAGGTACCGGTCGACACAGGATCTCGACTGAGCAATAAGTCGCTAAATTCTGACAGGGCCTGCCAAGCAACAGAAGGCAACCCTCAAGAATAGCAATTAATGAGCAAGTTGCTTAAACTAGAGGACCTTGGTAGCATCCCGGGATACTGATAAGAAATAGCCAGTCACTTAAAAGGAATGTACTAATGATCCCACACCACAAAATAACAAGCATCGGATAACAGGGGTCTTAAGGACAATGTGTATGTGTGCTGAGGCACGTACACCCCATGAGGTGTTCACGTGAACCCAGCATGATTTCGGTTCACGTGAACCCAGCATGATTTCGACCAGGTGATCTAATGTCCACACCATGATTGGACGAACATTGGTATAAGAGTTCCAATAACTTTGTGTACGGGGCCGTCCCGGGTCGCGGAAACGAGGATAAGAGAGATAGAGCCGTCCCGGGTCGCGGAGACAAGGATACGGGAGATGGGGCCATCCCGGGCTGCGGAGACAAGGGTACGGGAGATGGAAGACTGAGAGCTAGAAACACTAAGACTGAGGATATCAGATGGAAGATTGGAAGCTGTAAGCAAGAAGACTGAAAGCATGAAGAAACAAGCTTGTGTGCTGTAAAGACACAGTATTGAACTCTTGAACTCGAGATATCTATAGTGGTGTTATTCTGTTATAAGATCTGTTGATTGTACCGGCCTGTGGTCTGACCCATCGGGATATTGGGGAATAACGAACGAATAATAATAAAACAGTCTGATATCTGGTTAAAGGAATTAGCGTTATTTCCTTACAGATTTGGCTGATTTTATTTTCTAACATCCCCATCACCAAACGGATCGACTTCAAGATCCTCACACTCATGTTCAAATCCATTCACTCCCTGGCACCTCCCTACCACTCCGACCTCTTCACTCCCTAATTCATCACCCGGTGCCTCCGCTCAACTGGCACCGGCCTCCTGCTCATCCCTCGCACACCCCACCATCGGAGGTCATGCTTTCAGACACTGCGCCCCAAAACTGTGGAACACTCTCCCTCAATCCCTCCGCCTTGGCCCCTCTCCCCTTTTTCAAATCCCGGCTGAAAACCTTCCTCTTCGACCATGAATATGGCCACCTACCCCAACCCCTCCGGCTTGGAGTCAGGCTCCGCCATTGTAAAGCGCTCTGAGATGCTACCCTGAGTGGAGGGCACTAGATAAGTGCAAGTTGTTGTTGACCTACATCTAAATCGGTAACATTTTGCTGAAAATCTTCTACTGTTCTTAAATACAATTAATGCAGACTAACATTTCATGTCTCTAAATACCTCCTCACCTCTTCCAGACATGTAGATGATAGCGCAGCCCTGAAGCACCTCTGTTGACTTTTATTGAAGGTGACACTTTGGAATGGCCCAAATGTGGAAAATAACATTACTCAAAAAGATAAAAAAAATTAAGACTATCACTTGAGCTACAGAATTAAACATGGGACTGATAATCTTATCAAATGAACCTCTGAGGTAACAAAATAAATCAAAACAAGTCCAAAGATGATGGGACAAAGTAAAAGAGGGCACATGATCAAATTCAAACTCAGCAGGCACTTGTATTATTGGATTCTCTTTGTTGACATGACATTTAATATTTGTTGTGTGATGATAGAAATCAAACCATCTAGCGTACCTAAAATATGGTCTCCTTGTTTTTTCCCAAAACAAATTACAAAAATCCCCTCATTTGTCAAAAGCTGTTTTTTGACACCAACCAGATTTCAAAAGAAACAAAATACAGAATGGGTCAGGATACATTTAAAGCTGCATTTTGTTTAATGTGGAAGAGGGACCAATTCATTCTATGCTGAATTTGTACAATTATCATTTATTTGTGTGATACATGATGTGATTCAAAAAACCACAGAGCGTCACACCCTTTATAAAACCAACATCATGTTAAGAAGTAAGTTATGTTGTTATGCTACAATGGTGCTTAGAATTTTTTTTGAGTTAATATGAAATTCTTGGTCATGGTGGTAGGAGCATGCCATCCTTTCCCAGTTCACAATTAGGACCAAAGATAGTAGAGTTATTCTTCCCAAAACTTTACTTGCGTAAATAAGACTGAAATTTGTCTTCTCCCCTTCCTGTGTTCCATTTATGCTTTCACGCTTGTTACTCCTTATCTTGTAAAATTGATTGTGTCTGCCAACTGAAAATAGGAATTTGTTTGATCCAGTATTGAGTATTCATTGTGCTGTATTATGCTAAAATCAGTAGTCTAGAAATGGGTCATTTAGCATAGCAATCTTACCCTGATGCTAATGTTTCCACTGAGAGCCATAAACAGTAAAGTTTATTTCAGAAAGTGCACAATAAATCAGCAGCTATTATTCAAAGGATAGAATAACATTTTGCGTTAAATCCCAAAACATTACCTGGTCTTTTTCTGTCAGAAGCTGATCGACAGCTTGCACACTTGTAGGATTTTGTGGTTCTATTTCAGACTTCCAGGTATTCAGAATATTTCATATTACGCTTAGAATGTAGGAAGTTTACAGGAAAGCAGGAAAACATTCAAACCATAATTTCAAACCAGCTACTTTCACTTAGCGAGAACATCTTAAAACAGTTTATAAGACGAAGTGATAACTTGAATTGGGAGGGTGCTGAAGGATAGCGAGACATCAAAGCACAGTCAAAGAGATACAATACAAAGTCACATTTGTAAAGCGTCGGGAGAATGTCCCAAGGCGCTACACAATCAGGGATTAAGACCTAAGCGGGTGGGGTGCAGGGAGGGTGGAAAAGCAGAGAGGGTAGGAGGGTGGCCGAAGGCACAGTCAAAGAGGAGGGTCTTGAGGCATGTGTTGAAGGAGGCAAGGGAGGATGCGAGGCGAAGGGAACGTGGGCTGGAGTTCCAGAGGGTGGGAGCAGAGAGGCTGAAAGCCTGACTACCAATGGTGGGGGCAGGCGGGAGACATAGAGCAGGCCAGAGCCTGCTGAGTGGAGGGAACGGACAGGTTGATAAGGGCTTAGCAGGTCAGAGAGGTAGGAGGGGGCAAGGCCATGGAGGACCTTGAAGTCGAGGACGAGAATTTTGAATTGGGGGCGGAATTGGCTATTATGAGATTGAAAGTCAGGTAAAGGGCAGAGGTCTGTGTGGGGGCTGGACTGGACTGGGACACAACCTCACTGCAGAACAGTAATAACCCTTGCATTTGATACAGAGCTTTATCACATCTTCGAGGCGTCTCAAAGCGCTTCACAGAGTAGGCCGTAAAGTGAAATTGACCGTATATTCGGGGGCGAAACGCGGCAGCCAGTTGCGCACGGCCGCGTCCCGCAAACAGTCGTGGATTGAAAATGACCAACTTACTATCGTTTTGTTTCGGAGGGATTATTGTTAGCTGGGTGGAGTGAGGAAACTTGCCCAAGGTTTCGCCCTGACCGGCCCGGAATTGAACCCCAGTGACTCGCTCGCCGGGCGAGATCAGTTATGTACGGTACAGGGGACAAGTTGGGGGGGTAGGAGATGGGGGGTGGGGGAGGTAGTGGGGTGTGGGGGTAGTGGGGTGTGGGGGGTAGGAGGGTGGGGGGGTGGGGTGGGGGGGTAGGAGATGGGGGGTAGGGGGGTAGGGGGGTGGGGGGGGTAGGAGATGGGGGGTGGGGGGGTAGTGGGGTGTGGGGGTAGGGGGGTGGGGGGGTAGGAGATGGGGGGGTAGTGGGGTAGGAGCTGATGGGGGGGTAGTGGGGTGGGGGGGTAGGAGATGGGGGGGTAGTGGGGTGTGGGGGGGTAGGAGATGGGAGGTGTGGGGGTAGTGGGGAGTAGGGGGGGCGCAGGCAAATTGCAGTTTGAAAAGGGCGCTCTGGCCTCGCGAGGTCATTGGTGATTGGCGGCTGTGACTCCGCCCCCGGAAGTTCGATGACCCCCTTGGCCGGATGTTGCGCGTGTGTGGGGAGCGGGAGGCGGGGCCTGGTCTGGTCCAGTGGTTGGGAGAGCGTTGACCTGGAGGCCGTTATGGCTCCGTCCCCCTTTCCTCCGGGCGGGGAGTGTGTGGATATATATCTCCGCAACCGGACTCTTCGCCCATCGACTCAAATAACGGTAATAATGTTGCCCCAAACTGGCAGCGGCCGAGGTATTACAGCGCCGCGGCCGCCGCTCGCTCTCGCGACTGCGTGTGAGGATTTGCAGAGAAGGCGTTGCCTGCGAACGCACGCGCACACTCACACACACACACACACACAGTCACTACACTTGACCCTAGAATCCCGTGGAGCGCCTCGGGGCGCCTTGGAGCGCGCGATCAGAAGCAAAGGGGTTGTAGTTTTTTTTTTTTTTGTCGGCGTACACCACCCCCTGCGTTTCGCCCGGGGCTCTGTCGCGTCTTCCCGACGTCTCGAGAAAGCGCTTCACGGAATAGACCGCGAAGTGAATTGAGTATATTTTGTAAGAACCGTAAGCCTTGCAGTTGATGCTGCGCTTTTCACGTCTTCTCGACGTCTCAAAGCACTTCACGGAAATAATAATAATAATGATGATAATAATAATCCTTGCATTTGATATAGCGCTTTTCACGTCTTCGAGACGTCCCAAAGCGCTTCACGGAAATAATAATAATAATGATGATAATAATAATCCTTGCATTTGATATAGCGCTTTTCACGTCTTCGAGACGTCCCAAAGCGCTTCACAGAATATACTGTAAAGTGAATTGACTTTATTTGTGGGCGAACGCGGCAGCCAATTGCGCAAAGTGAATTGACTGTATATTTTGTGGGCGGAATGCTATTCTAACCTATTTACTTCTTGTTGCCTGCTATGTAAACTTGTCAAATTCTAACCTGAATTGTCTTCACTTTTTAGGGACTCTTGTGAATGATCGCGATTATCAGGATAAATTATACAAAGAGTCAGTCAAGATGATGTCCAATATCATTATTCTAATTTTGATAGTGTCCGTATCCCTGTCTTTTTGGATTATTTCCATGACCGTGAGTACCTATTATGGTAAGTCGTTTGCTTATTCTCAGATTGTTTTATGTATGTTTACGTGTGTGAATTGGGGCAAAGTCAGTAAAAGGAATCATTGGAAATAGAGGAAAAGAAATCAAAAATATTGTATCATCATAATAATCTTAAACTGCATACAGATTGGATTTAAAATAATTGCATCTTTTTTATTGCCCAATTGAAAATGTGACGAGGCAAACCTATTTAACTACTCAAACTATTTAATCCATCAACTCATACTTTCTTTATGACTTGTTTTTGACTATGTTTATTTTATCACAATATGTTTTTTGTCACAAAATGTCCTTTTTGTTGAGCAAAACAATGTCCTTAGAAGCACAACTGAATTGCCTCACTGTAATTTTTTTTCTTATTTCCAAGACCATCACAGTGGTCTTTGAGTGAGACTAACATTTTGTGCCTTTTTTTGTCGTTTTGTGCTGTAGGAATTGAGTCAAAATTGTCCAGGCTAATGGGACTCTTAATAGCCAAAATAGAGGGATTTGTCTGGTTGCAATCCAATACTCTTTTCAACATTGCACTGTTTCTCTCCTCGTGCAACATTTATTTTTGTAATTCAAAACATTGCGTCTCTTATACTTGGCTTTATCTTCCTTTAGGTACTCTGCGGCCTGTGTCCCCCTGGAGGTGGCTGTTTTCTGTTTTAATTCCACTAATCATTAGTTCACGGGGACTGAAGAATAAAAGTCTTGATCATAGCGGAGCTATAGGAGGTAATGTATCAGCTATGTAACCTATACGAATTTCATTAAATGACTCAAGTTTTCTGTAATAAAGCTATTTGGTTTATTAGATTACAACAGAATATACTTTGAGGCTATATTGCAGTTGGTTTGAGGCTTAATCATCTTATGCCATCTAAGAAACCAAATGGTGTTATTAAATTGTAACAAACTGAGTGGCCTGGTAGAGTGCTAAACTGAATTACAACAACAAAATTACATTTGTATAGCGCCTTTCATGTCGGGAGGACGTCCCAAGGTGCTGGACATTCAGTGTTTCGAACCCTAGCTGCAAATCGGGGAGGGTGGCGGGCAGGGGGAAAGGAGAGTAATTGAAGGCACGGTCGAAGGGGGTCTTGAGATGGGACTTGAAGGAGGCAAGGGAAGTGGGTGTGGCGGAGGGATTGCGGGATGGAGTTCCAGAGGGTGGGGGCAGAGTGGCTGAAGGCTCGCCTGTCAATGGTGGAGTACACGAGACGGGGGTTGTGAAATAGGCAGGAGCCCGCTGAGCGGAGCGAGTGGGCAGGTTGGTAGGGGTTAGGAGGTCGCAAAGGTATTGGGAAGCAAGACCATGGAGGGCTTTGAAGGTGAGGACCAGAATGTTGAACTGTATCCTCTTGTGTGATGGGAAACCAGTGGAATTGGGAACCTAAATTGTACATCCTAAACTTATAAATTTTTTCTTAGGCTGATCAACTCATTGGAAGTCTGGTGCTAACCTCTAAAATATCTTTGATAAGAGGAAACGAGAAAGTAAAACTTATACAAAGGATAGAAAGTATTTAATCTTTAATATAAACCTGTAAAAACTACTTAGGAAACATTTGGTAACAAAATATTTTCACTGATATTTTTGTAAATACATTTAAGGCATTAAAAATATCCAAGGTTGAAATTGATGTGCAACTTGATTGGAATCCCCAGAAGAAAACAGTAAAGGCTCTGTTATCCTTTCTAAAACAGAAGTTGTTTTCATAAACTTTTTAATACAGCAAGTTTTCTTGTATGATGATTTCAAATCAAGCTTGAAAATGCATTAGCTCTGCTGAAGAATGTTGTACATCAAAGTGCATGTTTTAATATAGCATCTTGTGGTCTTTTCATCACTGTGGACTGTGGTGGTTCAGAAGAATTTGTTGGGGGGAAGTTAGAGTTGCTGTTTTTCTCCTACTTTTTTCCTGAAGGAACTGACTTATTTGATGAGTGTTGGCTGCCCATCACGCTACAAGCAAAATTATAGTTTTAAAAAAAACCTTTTTTGTTCAATGCTGTAGGAATGAATGTCAGTAGCTTGTTCCAAGAACTGTTTTTCAAGTGAATAAATCTGATTAGTTGGATCTAAGATAAGGAGAAATTGAGTTTTTAGTTGTTAAATAATTATAGATTATCTAAGGTGGTTGCCTATAGAAACAACTTATAAAACATACCTGACGACTGTTTTCATACTTGTATGCTTTCTATCCTATGACTTGGCTCCAGTAGAATAAAAACTGATGTGGTGTGTAGCAGAATGTTGTTGCACAATATGATTGGGATAACTGAACTGATTTTAAACAACCCTGACATTGGAGTCCTGTAGCTCTGGTTAGAGCACTCGCTTTGCAAGCGAGAGACCTGAGTTCAATTCCAGGCGGGGCAAAACCTTGGGCAAGTTTCCTTACTCCACACGCCTAATAATAATCCCTCCAAAACCAAAAACAATAATAAATTGGTCATTTTCAATCTACGACTGTTTGTGGGACATTGCTGTGCACAATTGGCTGCCGCGTTCGCCCACAAATATACAGTCAATTCACTTTACAGTGTGTTCTGTGAAGTGCTTTGGGACGTCTAGAAGACGTGAAAAGCGCTATATCAAATGCAAGGATTATTATTATCTTCTAGTTGTCTTCCTCAAGATATAATGATATAAAGGAACGTTAACAGTCAATATTACCTAGCACAAGGCATTACCAGATTGAGTCTAGACACTACTACAAAAATGCACAATTTAAATAATAATAACCCAAATATAAAAACCCTCAGAATGCTGAAAATCTGAAATAAAAACTGATGAATGTGGAAATACACAGTAGGCCAATTGACATTAAATGACCTTGGTACATAAATTAATATAAGATAGATCTCAGATTAACATCCAGACAAGTGGAATAAACATGTTGTGACTTGCGCCAAAACATTTCTAAAACCTTTCAAAAGTGTCAAACTCAGAAGTGATGCCAATGTATATTCTTCATGTGGATGACATGATAAAGTTGTAATGAAACCATGTTTATCATTTCTGAGAACAATTGGAAGATTCACAATAGAGTAGGGCCTTAGATATGTTGTACAGCTAGTAGATCCAATATAAATAATGTGCTCACATGAACAACAATGCATAATCTGTTAATGCAGAAACTCGAAACTGATATTCGCATATCTTAGCTATTTCTTATTGCAGATTGAATAGAAACCATGTTCTCATTGTTCCCCCCAATGATCCTTGTGCTTGTATTCTTCCTAAATAACCCAGATTCTGTATCATTAAACTTTGATCCCAAATAGTAACTGGAGATGATTTTTGAATGTTAGTTGGCTCCATTTCAGATTCTTGAATTTTTGACAATAATCCTAATGGTATTTTCCCCTAAATTTGTTACAGGGTTGATTGTTGGATTCATCCTTACAATTGCCAATTTCAGTTTCTTTGTTACCCTGTTAACCTTTTTCATTACGTGCTCTAAACTTACAAAATGGAGAGGCAATATGAAGAAGCTTGTAGATGCAGAATATAAAGAAGGTAATGGTTTAAACCTTCTTTTTCATGTGTTTGTATTATTGGCTTGTAGTTTGCTGTGTAAGCACCTGATAGTGAAGAAACATTTGGGAAAAATAAATAGCATTCAAAAGATCTGTGCATGTGTTAAAACCATTTATTAGTTGTCTTACATTTACTATACTGCAATTAAGAAATGAATCTGCCCCACAAATGACTGACACTTAAATAATTGAGTTTTGAATGGTCCATATTTCCAAAGATACGCAGTGTCATCTGGTATATTTTATATAAAAATTTATATGGTGTTTTTTACATAAAGTCAATTCACTTTACAGTATATTCTGTGAAGTGCTTTGAGACGTCTAGAAGATGTGAAAAGCTTAATATCAAATGCAAGAATTATCATTATTATTATCTGCTTTATGTGTGCTCTTTTGTTTTAGTGCATTTTAATGGTTTGGACTTCACAGCCTGTCTAATGAAAGGAAGTTGCACAGTTATGTAGTTTTAAAGGCTGTCCGCCAACAAACCTTTCATTTTGATGTAGTAGCAAACTTGACTATGCAAACTCCCTGTTTGTCGGCCTTCCCAACTCCTCCCTCCACAGGCTGCAGATAATCCTATCTCTGTGACCTCCTAACCCCTACCAACCTGCCTGCTCGCTCCACTCAGCGAGTTCCTACCTACTTCACAACCCTCCTCTTCGACCATGCCACTGGTTACCCCCCCTTCCCCTCCCCTCCCTTCTCCCCCGACCTCAGCTCAGGTCTGAAATGCTGTACACTGTCCAGTACCTTGGACGTCCTCCCGAAGTGAAAGGCGCTATACAAATGTAATCTTGTTGTTATATTGGTTGTAAAATAGCAGGATTTGTAATCCTACTATTAGGATTGTTGGCCTCCCCAACTCTTCACTCTATAGGTTGAAGATCATTCAGAACTCTGCAGCCCGTGTCCTCTCCTGCTCCAAGGGTTGTGACCCTTCTCCCCCATCCTCACCCGACTCCACTGGCTTCCCATCTCACAGAGGATACACAGTTCAGTATTGTGTTTCTATGAACTATTAGTGTTTCTTGCTGAAAAGTGTGAGCAACAGTTGAGGACACAATCTACCTGAGGTGTGATATTGCAATAGTCGATTGACACCTCAGGAATAGCCATCTCGTGGATGCCAGGCAACTTACTGTATTATGAAATTATGTCTAGAGAGAAAAAAATTAGGTGAATCGTACCAGCCTAAATGTGTCTAATGTAATTTGAAAAGAGTAGCCTGTTTTTATTGCACATTGTGTCTAAATATGACAACAAATCGCATGTGCATAGTGTCTTTCACATCAGTAGGACGTCCCAAGGCACTGGATGTAAGTAGTCCTGAAGAGATACAATACATATATCAGTAAATTAGTGGATGCATATTCTCACCAACCTTAGCAATACTTGATTTAATTATGTATTTGTCCATTTTTATAGGTGGTCAAAGAAACTGGATACAAATATTCTGCAATGGAGGTGTTCCGACAGAGATTGCATTACTTTACATGATTGAAAGCGGACCAGGAGAAATTGCAATTGATTTTTCAAAACAATACACTGCCTCCTGGATGTGCCTGGCTCTCCTGGGAGCTCTCGGCTGCTGTACAGGGGATACCTGGGCTTCAGAGATAGGAAGCGTCTTCAGTAGTACAAAACCAAGGTTGATAACCACTTGGGAAAAGGTTCCAGTTGGTAAGAATCCACAATGCTTTCTTAATAATTATGAAGTCCAATTCTAACATCAACCCTCTATGAATGTTTCTTTGTCACCAAAAATATGGCGTAATAGTTCTAAAATAGGAAACTAGATTTCATGAGCAATGGAGAATTTATTAGAATTTTGTATATTAGATTTAACTTCAACTTTACCCCTCCGATCCAAAAGAATCCTTATTGATCTGGAAGCTTTTGTGCAGCATGTTGATTTCACTTGGTTAGTTCCTCATGTCAACTTGTGACATGAGCTGAAAGTAGGAACAGAAAGTTGTAGAAATTAATAAAGTAAGCAGAGGGCCAAACAGGATGGGGTTGGCGTCTTTACATTGTTATAAAGGGTAATGTTTTGCTCTGTAAGCCTCCATGCAGAACTGATCACCACATCCAAAGCAAAGAAAAGCAGGTAGTATTCTTGCTATACTTAAGAAGGGGAAATCCAACCTAAATACAAATCTAAAGTTACACACTGGGTGCACTTTCTTTCAGGTACTAATGGAGGAGTCAGCCCTGCGGGTCTTGTAGCAAGCTTACTTGGTGGTATGACTGTTGGATTAGCTTACCTGCTAGCTCAGTTGATGATGGTGGAAGACCTGGATAGTTCACCGCCTCAGTGGCCACTTGTTGCATATGGCGCTGTGGCAGGTCTGCTTGGTTCTGTTTTGGATTCCTATTTGGGCGCCATAATGCAATATTCAGGTATGTGTCTAAAAAAGAAAAAAAAATACACTCTTGGTTCTGCTCATAGATAGAATTGGGAGAATAAGAGTATTGGTAACAGTACTATTTTGTTCCCACCATCTGCTGAGTGGAAAGAGTTATACCGTTGTCCTGTCAGTCATAGTACATGAGTGAATTAAGTTGAACTCTTCATTCTTCCCTGACTAAGAGGGAATTCCTGCCATTCATTCCATGTGTGTGCATGACTCAATATATAAATTCTCCCATCAGCAATCACAAATTTGGATATTTAATAATAATCCTTGTGCTTGAAGTAGCTTCAATAACAACAACAAAATTAAATTTGTAAAGCGTTTTTCACATTGGGAGGACGTTCCAAGGTGCTTAACAGTCAGGGATCAGGACTTGAGCGTGGGGGGCAGGGTTGGGGTGTGGGAGGGCAGAGAGGTAGCAGGGCGGCTGAAGGCACGGTCAAAAAGGAGGGTCTTGAGTCGGGCCTTGAAGGAGGCAAGAGAGGGAGCATGGTGAAGGGACTGTGGGATGGAGTTCCAAGAAGTGGATGCAGAGAGGCTGAAAGCCTGGCTGCCAGTGATAGGGCGGGTTGGGCGGGAGACATGGGGCAGGCCAGAGCCTGCTGAACGGAGGGAGCGGACATGTTGATAGGGGGTCAGCAGGTCAGAGATGTAGGAGGGGGCAAGGTCGTGGGAGGCATTGAAGGTGAGGACGAGGATTTTGAATTCTATCCTCTGAGGAATGGGGAGCCAGTAAGGCCGAGCGAGGGTGGGGATGATGGGCTCATGGAGCCTAGTGCGGGAGAGGACACGAGCTGCAGGGTTCTGGATGATCTGCAGCTTGTGAGGGAAGAGTTGACGAGACCGACAAGGTGGGAGTTTCCGTAGTCAAGCCTTGAGCCTTGAAAATTCAAACACCATAGCCTACATTTGCCTATTCATTTGTAGCATGCTAGAATTCAGACAGGAATGGTTTTGAAAATATTTGTTATTGTTCTTTCCAACAAATGACTGCAATCTTTGTTTCCTTAAAGGATATGATGAAAACAGTGGGATGGTTGTCAATCACATAACTCCCAATGCAAGGCACATCTCTGGAAAGCCTATTCTGGATAACAATGCAGTAAACCTGTTCTCTACTATCATTATTGCTCTGGTGCTGCCAGGAATGTCCTTTTCTTTTTGGCCTAGAAGTTAAATTCTGAAGGAATACCCTGATCAAACTGTTGATTGAAAATATAGTAAATGAATGTGGTAAAATAGAGATAATTGAACACATTTTGACAAATGCATGAGACAGCCTGCAATAATTTAGTTATTTTGAGGTTGCAGGTCAATATGTTTCTTAACATATTTAATTTGTGCTCTTTTAAGACAATTGACTGGTTTATTCTTGAAATGCCTAACCACTCGTTGCTGCTCACTAAACAACATTTTTTTATCCGAATTGATTTTTGTTTGGTCATGTTAAGGTGGGGAAATTTGCATTTTATACCAACTTTATAATTTAATTAAATTTATTGCATTGTTACCAGCATTGCAAAAACAGTACAATAAATGTAACATCCTGTAGCTCAGTGGTTAGAGCACTCGCTTTGCAAGTGAGAGACCTGAGTTAATTCCAGGCAGGGCAAAACCTTGGGCAAGTTTCCTTGCTCCACACGTCTAATAATAATCCCTCCAAAAAACAAAACAATAATAATAAATTGGTCATTAATCCGTGACTGTTTGTGGGACACTGCTGTGCGCAGTTGGCTGCCGTGTTCGCCCACAAATATACAGTCAATTCACTTTGCAGTATATTCTGTGAAGCGATTTGGGACGTCTAGAAGACGTGAAAAGCGCTATATCAAATGCAAGGATTATTATTATTATCTAATACTTACATTTTTTTACTTTTATCTTAATGAGAAGCATGTTTACTGTAATTTGAAAAGCTGACTGATATGCAGGCTTACAAATGAGATGGAAATTCCAAAATTGGATTGTTTTACATTTCTTATTGAAGGATATTTATAAAATTGTAGGTATAAAGTCTTTTTTGTATTTGATAGACTTCTTTGTAACATTTAATTTTATAAAGTAAGTTTTACACTGAATTCCAGTTTTGAATAGTGGTTTTATTCTTGCCTGATACTTTTCACAAAATCACTGCTCAATATCAGGCTGGATTTATTACATTTGAGTTATATTTTTTGATAAATTGGATAAAATGTTAAAAGATGTATTAACAACCCAACTCATGCTTGTAAGTAGACTTGCAAATTAAAAGTTAAATCGCTGTGCTTGTACTTCCTCTGATATGATGTAGTAGAGTTAATGGGATCAGGAAGATAGAATTTTCATGACGCTTTTAAAGTAATATTGCAGATGTACTTAACATGAGATGTTAAATTGCATTACATTCACAAAAAGGTAAGATTGTACTTTCTACCAGAAATGTTATCTCACTAAAGATTTTAAATGTTGCGCAAGAACAAATAACCTTTATGTGCATGTATAGATTTCCATAACTTGTTTGTTTTGCGATGAGATTTTGACATCATTCCACTGCTTTGAGTCTGTGGAATGTTTGAGTATCTCAAATATAACGTCAGACTGTAACATTTTTGGTTCTTCACATGGGAAGTGGAATTTACACCAAATTAGCATCATTCCAAAATGTGGTAATGCAGAATATAGACTGATATTGTAAAATGTATTCATATTTTTCTAATCTTCCGGGCAGGAATGCAGATGTGATACATTCCTACCAGAGTGGGTCATGACTATTATTTTTAAAAAAAGTATGCACTAAAAAATGTTTCATGTTTTACTTCTAGTCTTTGACAATGTAATGACAATATAAAGTAGTATCGATGTGTCTGAATTAAAACCAATTTATTCCACGTTAAAATTCACTGCAGTGATGTGTGTTCAATTCCTGTTTTTTTTCTGTTCAGTTCAATATTATGTGATTCAATTAGCACTTTGACCAGATCTTTAAGAGAAACAATTTTCTATACTGTCGCTTGTGATTGTGTAACTAGAGTCTTTAGTTGCTTGAACCAAATGTCAATTACCATTTAGCAAACCAAAACCTTTTTCACTACTCACCAGATGGGTGGGACCAGAGGATTACAAAATGGTCTGTTTTAATTCTTAGGGAAAGTCAAAACGAGGACCTTGGAATCATAGTTTGTTTGATATCAACATGGGGAACCCAGATGACAAAATAACTGCATTCAAGAAAAAACATTCATTCTATTCCATTTCCAGGCCAAACTGCTCAAATATTTGAAAACAAAAACAGAAGCCGCTGGTAACACTCAGCAGGTCAGGCAGCATCTATGGAAGCTGTTTTCCGATTTGCAGCATCTGCAGTATTTTGATTTGATTTTTTTTAGAGAGAGGAATCAAAATCTTGTGAATATTTTTACATTTTGACACATTTAAAGTGTGACGGTCAGAGTATAAGGTCAATCACACCGAGGTAACCGAATTGAAGCTGGGCCCAAGTCGTAGAATTTTCACTCCAGTCTATTTGGCTTCAAGTACCCGGTGACGGGATTATGCCTAATTTGCAGTGACTTTACTTAGTCTTCCAAATTATGTATGTTGTCAATATCACTGTGCTGGCTCTAAAATGCCTATATGGTCTCTGCAGCTGGCTGCCCTGGCCGCTCCCTTTGCTTCATAAACGACACGTGCTTCATACCCTATGAATGGATGAGCCTCCAGCCTTCCTGCCCCATCTCTCTGGAACAACAAGTCCTGCTGCCTTGCTCTGTGTCTTTGAAACATGCCTACCCTTCCCTGGCCATCTTTTGAGCTTCCTGCTTCCCTCTTCCAAGCCGGGGTTGCAAAGGGTTGACCAGTCAGTTGCGCTTTGAGATATCCTCCAGGTATGAACTAATGTCAGTGAATTGGAATGGAAGCTGCAGAAGAAGGAATGAAGGATCAATTCACATTGGAGAGGTGAGCAGTTTGGACCAGATTGGTGCAGTGTGGGCTGGGAGGGGTCAATGGGGGGTGGTGGAGGGGGTCAGTGGGGGGTGGTGGAGGGGGTCAGTGGGGGTGGTGGAGGGGGTCAGTGGGGGTGGTGCAGTGGGGTTGGTGGGGGGGTCAGTGGGTGTTGGTGGAGGGGGTCAGTGGGGGCTGGTGGAGGGGGTCAGTGGGGGTGGTGGAGGGGGTCAGTGGGGGCTGGTGCAGTGGGTGTTGGTGGAGGGGGTCAGTGGGGGGTGGTGGAGGGGGTCAGTGGGGGCTGGTGCAGTGGGTGTTGGTGGAGGGGTCAGTGGGGGCTGGTGGAGGAGGTCAGTGGGGGCTGGTGGAGGGGGTCAGTGGGGGCTGGTGGAGGGGGTCAGTGGGGGCTGGTGGAGGGGGTCAGTGGGGGCTGGTGGAGGGGGTCAGTGGGGGCTGATGGAGGGGGTCAGTGGGGGCTGGTGGAGGGGGTCAGTGGGGGCTCAGGTGCCCGGTTGCTATAGTGACCGAGACGCGGCTCCCGCCTTTGGAATGGAATGTTGTGCCGATTTGAAATCGCGCTGTATCAGCCAATGGGACGCGGGCAGGAAAGAAGCGCCACATTTGAAAGCTGGAATCAGCCTCACAGCCGCCGCTCTCAGTCTGCGGGTGAAGTGCAACTGAGTCCAGTCGTGTAACGCAGCTCCACACTCACTGAACGCTCTCAACCGTTTACAAGGAAGTGCCTGTAAAGTAAATCAAAGCCGCTGCTGTGAGTATTTCTGTTAGAAGTGGTGTCAATCTCTTTGAATACCTGGATGGCGCCGAGTTGCTAAATAGCTGTTTAAACATTTCGCTTTCATTGGTATCGTTGATGATTGCTGCTGTTACCTACAGAGGCGTTATTATATCAATACTGTATTTAAAGCCAATACACAAGTTTAGTTTTTTTTAACAATGTCTCGTGATTTTGTTTTGGAAAAAAATCTGAAATAAAAATGATTGAAACCCGCGACAGGTCAATCAATGTCTGCACGAGAAAACCAGTAGCTTTAACGTTTTGGGTGTGACCAATTGATTTTTTTTCAACATTTGAATGTTATTTGTTTAACATTATTTTGCGAGTTGAGATTTATTAACTCGTTCGGCTTCTGTGTTCGAGCTTGCAACCTACTCCTAGCCTTCTGTTTGTTGTTTGATAACCAAAGGATACCCTTAATACGTCTGTTCCAATTGCTTTCAGTCCTTCGGTTAGAACACAACGATAAACTGTTAGCTCTGTGTGGGTAGAGGTACAAGAAAAGCTCCTTTTGTTAAAGAATAGTACAACTGGCAGTTTTTAATTTAATTTTTAAAGTGAGTTTAAATAAGTTGCCATGGATAGAAAATACTTTGTTTTGGAGTGGGGTGTTTTTGATCCTGAAAGGCCAATTAAATTACACAGTTTGCACCAAAATGTGTTTTGTGCCCAACTACTGCAAATTGCAGTATTACTGCAGCTCATTCAGTTCTATAATAGTGGTGTACCTGTACTTAGTATATACAAGTGTTTTTATTCAGAGTGACGATGTTTCAGAATTTATCATCTGCTTGTACAGTTGCGATGGACAATAGGAAAATGTTGACTTTCTGAATTATGTTAGAGTATGTTGATATTACCCCGGTTCAGTTGGTAGCACTCTCACTGTGGATCAGAAGATTATGAGTAACATAATTCAGACAGTCAATATTTTCCTATTGCCCCTTGCAACTGTACAAGCAGATGATAAATTCTGAAAACATCCTCACTCTGAATAAAAACATGTTTATATACTAAGTATATGTACACGACTATGATAGAGCTGAATGACCTGCAGTAATACTGCAATTTGCAGTAGTTGGGCACAAAACAAATTTTGGAGCAAACTGTAATTTAATTGGCCTTTCAGGATCAAAAACACCCCACTCCAAAACAAAGTATTTGAAATCTATGGCAACTTATGTAAACTCACTTTAAATATTAAATTAAAAACTATTAATTATTCTGGTCTGTAACAAAAGGAGCTTTTCTTTTACCGCTACCCACATTTTATCGTTGTGTTCTAACCGAAAATTGAAAGAAATTAGAACAGAAGTATTAAGTTGAGACGTTGAATTCCTATGGTATGGAATCAGTTGATGCTCAAATGCAGTGGTAAAGATGTGCTGCGTTGTTGGAAGCGCCATCCTTTGGATAAGACATTAAACTGCTGTCCTGTCTGGTGAATGATGAAGATTCATTGGCATTATATGAAAAGTGAAAGGGAGCCTCTCCATGAGGCCTGGCCAACAATCCCCCAAATAAAATTGGTCACTCACTTCATGGCTGTTTGTGGGACATTACTGTTTGCCTACAAATTACACAGCGCTATGATTAGTTTACACTATACCCTGTGAAGTACTTTGAGAAATCCTCCTGGTGTGGAAGGTGTCTATTTCAAATATAATGATTATTATTACATTTTAAAGTTATTATCCAAATTCCTGAAGAATGTTTTCAAGTTGTGTAAACTTTATTGCGTGTCACTACCTTTGAGTGTAATTGAATTGTTGATTTTGACACTGAACATGCTGAGGAGTTGCAAATCTGACCAGGATTATGAATTTTTGCTGAGCATTGCATATTGGGTCACACTATCTGCATGAACAAGAAGGCATTGTTATGCAATAGGGAGTGGTTGGAGCATTTTTGGGTGGCAGTTGGAGGAGAGAAGGCAAAATATGTTCTAACTAAATTATTCTCTGGTAGCATTCTAAAGATGCCTTTTCCTTTACTGTCAAATGCCACCTTTTGTTTTTCTCCCTGTTTTTAGTTTAACATAGTTTAAAATGAATTACCAGAATAGAGTGATAGATGCTTATTTAAATACTGCTCACTATCTTTTCTCAACTTGTTTCTCTTAGATATTAACATGAATACAAATCAAGGCTTAACCAAGAGTCGTAGTGCAAACCAGCACCCTCCCACTCCAAGTCTGACCAAGAGAAAACAGGTTCAAGAAAAGTAAGAAAATCAGAATATCTGTACAATCTCTGTAAAATCAGAATACCTGTACACAACAAAATACTTTTAGTGCACTAACACACTTTTCACCTCTAGGAACGTTTTCAGAAGTCCAACAGACAGCATGCTATCTCCATGCTCACAGAGGCTTATGAAACAGAAGCATATCAATGCTACAGAGTAAGTTACTATTTAATGTGACTGTTTCCATTCAGAACCCAGTGAAACCATTTATGAGAGTTGGTGTAAAATACAGTTTCAGATTAACTTTTTTGTGTCTAGTCAGCTTTGTTGGTATCCATACCAGACTGAAAATTTTGCATATGGATGCCACTGACTCCTGGAAATTTCCTATCTGGAATGGAATGTGCACATTCTCTATCAAGGGACTCGCCTTGCTTACCTAATTCTGGAAAGTATTAGGCGCAGGTTGGTGAGAGCCAAAGCTTGGGACTCCAGAGTGTGAATTGAGATACTGCTGGAGTCTAACCAGCTAAACCTGAATAGCTTGCTATTGTGAGAGGCAATGTGATGGCACAGCATATTGGTGTAACAAGATGTTGTAGAAAGGAGCGAGACCTCTTCAAAATTGCATATTTGTGTTGTGATCTTAACAGTGTTACTCTTATCACTCAAGGAGAAATGGGAGCTTGGGCATCTTCAGATTTTTCCTAAAAATTGTATTGCCCATATTGTTTCTTGAGCTGCGTCTTCTGCTGACAAATTAAGAGTATAATTAGGGGTGGAACAAGGCGTTGTCTGCAACTGAATGGAAAGATCACCTGACCAAATTTTAAAAGAGTGCTGCAAAATTCTCAGTTTCCTTCCTCCCCAACCCTACCCTCTCTCCTCATGAAAGTAGATTAAACCCTGAACCTATATTGGTTGAACTTTTTTCAAAGAATTAAATTAATTGCTGTGGCCTTCCCGTATAACTTTAATACAGCGTCATATGTGGCTCAACTGGAAAGTGGTTGGCCTTTACTGTGGACATACATTTTCAACCTTACTGAGACAAGTGTTTAATAGTTTGTCATCTAATATTCCACACTGTTAAACATCAACCATTGAATATGATGATATTACACCATACCTAAATGTATTGTCTCTTCCAGTTTCAGGATACATTTATAAATGTTTTTCCAGTAACATGCATTCTAAAGTTCTAAAATCATACATTTTATTTAATGAAATACACTTAGTGTATGATGAACAATCTAATGCTCACTTACACTCACCTGAATGACAAAATGTATTAAAAAGGAGTAAATGTTTAATATGCATGATGTAACATGCTTTTGCTTCAATGTTTTTTCAGGCTCCAAATCAATAAAATTACAGTGCAACAAATTCAAGAGTTAACCCTTGGAAACAAGGAGAATGAATGGCCTGGTCCGGAGTAGAGACTTGCTTTTGGAAGAATTGCCAATTAACTTCACAATGTCTGAACTTTGGGGTAACTTCCCTTGCAGGAAGTAATTAAGCTATTTTACGCAGGTGTATATGTTCCTATAGGTTTACTGTATCCTTTAAAATGGTTGTCTTCATAAATTATAACTATGTAATTATAACTTCTTTAAACTTCTACTAGGTAAAATCCTTGAATGACCAGAGAGAATATACTGTGTGCACTTTTGCCATGTTCATCCTGTCACTTTTGTATTATTTGGTTGTATGGTTTCTTTTTGATGTCTATTTCGGTCACTTTAAAATAAAACAAATGCAGCCTCTAATTTAAACATTATCACCTTGCAGTGTGAATTGCTTTCTGACAGCATCTGGCAGATTTGTGTACAAGTGAACAATGAGTTTATTACTGCTAACTTTATCTGTTTTCATGAAGCCACTGTATAATCCAACACCCAATCTCTACAGCAGCTTTTAAAAAGATGTATACTGTGACATGACTTGCAGTCTTGTTACCGATCACCTTTTCACCAAGTCAAATTTCTGTTGATATATCCACTTCTGTGTTATACAAATTTACATTTATATAGTGGCTTTTACATCAGAAGGAACACCCAAAAGACTTAACAGTACTGGCTGGTTATGTACAAGTTGCTTAATATCACAGTTTTCATTTAACACTAGCTTTATGTGAAAGGAATACTCATAGTTTGTACGAAAGTTGCCATCTTGGCTCATTTGCTAGCACTCACTCAGAATTATCAGAATTGGACACCATCTGAGCACTGCATCATCTAAGCATTGCATTGGACATTATCTAAGATTTAGACTATGATCACATATTGGGATTATAGACTTAAATCTTAGATGATGTCCAATGCAGTGCTGGGGGAATGCTACATTTTCAGAGCTGCTGTCCTTTGAATGATAATTCAAAATAAGATCCCATCTGCCGGTTCAGGTGGCCAGTAAGATCATCACCCTATTGGAAAAGGAATGGAAGTTTTTCCAATGTCCTGGCCAACAATCCCCAGAATACCCAAATTGGCCATCACGTGACTGTTTGTGGGATCTGGCTATGCGCAAATTGGCTGCCACATTTGCCTACAATATACAGAAAACTTTTTACAATAATGTAACAATTATTATTAAGGATTAAATGTTTTGAAAGAAGGTATGCTTTTGGAATATTGCAATCTGGTGAATTTGTCTGCAGCTATTGATACCAGCTGTCCTGTAAGGATATCACAGATGTATCTGCGGGGAACAAAAATCTACAGTAACATTTGTAGAGCTGCCCTTGAAGCATAGTATTTGGCAGAGGTTACAGCATGTTAAAAGAGACTGACAGCAAGTCGCTTGCTCGCTGTCTGCTAGCTGTCTAGATCTCTTGACAGAAATTAATTGCTTCTTTAGAAAGCAGAAGATCCAAAATAAGACCTCATTAGATTCTGGTAAAATCGTGAGTATTTTGATCATGAGCTGTTACTTCATGAAAGCACACTTATCTTGTCAACTAATTAGAAGTACAGTATTTCTGCATAATCTGGAATATATTTGAAATTGTACAGTAAAGAAAGTGGATTATGGCTGAATTTTGCAGTAAAAGACTGCACATCATAGAAGTGATGAGCAGAACAAGAAAGGGCCATTGAGCCCCACCATAGACACTAGTGGGTGATTTTGATAACCTGGCTCTTACTGCTAATAGGCCCTTATTAAGATATTCATGAATTTCCCCATGTCAATTTGTGTCTGATCAAGAGGTACCAGGGGAAAAAAATCTCACTTTACTTGTGCCATTTATTTGACTGACATACAGACGGATTCTCAAGTTCATCCGCAAAGCGCTTACCTACAATACCCTTCATGCTTTATTGGAAGATCATCTTAATGAATTGGCAGCCCACATTACAAATAAATGCTGGCTTGAAAATATATGTCTGTCAGTGCCCCACCAGATTTTTGTTGCTGCTTTTGCTGTTGATTTTTCACCTCCCTTTTCTAGCGTACTGACGCTAAATGGAGCACCTCTTGTTCCCACCCTGGCTAAAATTACAAGTGTGTGTGTGTATGAGTAGGGGTAGTGGGATTGAATTAGCAACCCAAATGTGAAATCAGGGTTTCGCATCTTGTCAGTGTGTCTGAGGACTACAGAGATGTTTTCTTGCTGATCCTGGGAGTAAGTGGAGTGAATGAACAAGCTATTCTGTAATATCATCATTGGGTACTTGCTGAGGATGGCCCAATGTGGAGGTGGTGACATCATGACCAGTGAACCTGCAAACTCCATTGAATAGTTGTTTGAATGGACACTCGGTGCCTGTTAGAATGTTGCATGGTATTGTTTCAGTCATTTACACCCCACAGATAGCAAAAACTCTCAATTAAAGTCTGAAGGGGGCCTGATTTGCATGACAACTCATCATCTGTAAGAATATGTATTTTGTGAGTGTTAAGAGTACAAAGGGATTAAAAACACTAGGTTGAGCAGGCAGGAGGGTTGCACCTTGCAGGGACTTGTAAGAAGAAGCGGGTTAGTTCACTCACCCTGCTCAAACCATAAGTGACAACATTTTATGTATCTCCACTCCGACTTAACTTAAGGCTTTAGGGTGTCATCAAAATATATGCTTGTGTCCATTAAATATTTTTAATTTATTTCAAGATGTGCGTATTTTAAATTTGTTAATAAATAAATTTTAGTCTGTTTTAAATCAATGTTTCGTTTCCATTTTTTGCTTGATTGAAAGTTCCTTGATTTACGGCATTCATCACAAAATATTCAATCGAGAACATTTATTTGGTTGGCTGACCCCGAAAAGGTTGGGCTTCAGGGGATGACACAATAAGAACAACAACAAATTAGATTTGTATAGCGCCTTTCACACCGGGAAGATGTCTCAAAGCGCTGGAAGAGGGGGGGGCGCTTAACCTGTCGTGTGACTGAGAAGATCGGAAAGGAATCTGAGGTCAGCGTGGGGTGGGTGGCTGGATTGGACAGGGCGCTGGGTGCGCGCATGTGTTTGTGTGACGGATGCCGCACGGTGCGGTCTGCCCTTCCCGTGGACAGCGAAGGGTGGGTTAACTCTGCCCGTGTACTCTCACGCACCAGGGGGCGGGGCTGGTGGATGGGGTGGGGCTGGTGGGGCGGGGCTGGTGGTGTGGAGGGGGCGGGGCTGGTGGAGGGGGCGGGGCTGGTGGAGGGGGCGGGGCTGGTGGTGTGGAGGGGCGGGGCTGGTGGGGGGGGCTGGTGGTGTGGAGGGGGCGGGGTGGAGGGGGCGGGGCTGATGGATGGGGTGGGGCTGGTGGCGTGGAGGGGGCGGGGCTGGTGGATGGGGGCGGGGCTGGTGGATGGAGGGGGCGTGGCTGCGGTGGGTGACACGGTTTGATTGACAGGGCAGGGCGGGCACAGGCCAATCATGTGATCCTCCCTGGTGGGGGGGGAGGGGAGGGAGGGAGTGAGTGACGCAGGAGGAAGGAGACGCCATTAGACAGAAAGCTGCTTGTTTACTGCTCGGCCTGTTCTTGCTCTCTCTCTCTCCTTTGCCTCCTTCTCCCTCTCTCTCTCTCTCTCCCCTCTCTAGTCCATGTGACTCGGCTTCTCGGCAGCGGTCAGCTCAGGAAGTGGGGGGAATAAGGATGGCGACTGGCGGCGCAGGAGGCGGTAAAACCTACCCCTTTAAAGTAGTCCTACTGGGGGAAGGCTGTGTGGGGAAGACATCCCTGGTGCTGAGATATTGTGAGAACAAATTCAACGACAAGCACATCACCACCCTCCAGGTCTGTAGCCTTCACCCCATTACCCCCCACCCCCATTTTTCTCTCTCCCCTTCCCCCCCCCCCTCACCCCTCTTTCTCTCTCCCCTTCCTCACCCCCTTTCTCTCTCCCCTTCCTCCCCCCCCTCACCCCCTCTTTTTCTCTCTCCCCTCCCTCCCCCTCCTCACCCCCTCTTTTTCTCTCTCCCCTTCCTCCCCCCTCACCCCCTCTTTTTTCTCTCCCCCCTCACCCCCTCTTTTTTCTCTCCTCCCCCCCCCCCACTACTGATTTTTTGTTGAGGAGGGGACAAGATGATTTCATTGCCTCCTCCGTGGATGCTTCCAGTGAGGGAAGGGAAGGGAAAGGAAAGGAAGGGCCTGCTGCTGAATGCCGACCTGACAAAATGGGCTTGAGCTTCCTGTTGCAACACACAGACACACACACACACAACACACAGACACCACACACACACACACAGACAGACAACACACAGATACACACACCACACACAGACAGACACACGCTTAAATATTGACTGGCAACGGTCAAAAGTCATTTGCGGTTGCGATCGTTTCATGGGAACCACTCCACAGTGTGTGCTGTGCATATGTATATGTATGTGTGTGTATTTAAATTGTGTTATTGCAAAGCATCTGGTGGTGAAAGCTAAGCTGTAGTGATTTGGAGAGCACTCTGCTCACTCCCCTCACACTCAAGTCACTGCTGCAGTTTGGTCGTTTCCTGAACATGATCCGTCATTTACAGGATCTGTCTACAATTGTCTGCTACAGTATCATTTGTTTTCATTTTTTTTGTGGGGGTGGGGGGGAAGGTGGGGGCAGACTGTAAATTATTTGACGACAGAATAGCGGTAGGGTTTTAGGTGTTTAGTTCATTGCTTGGGCTTTATTTAAACAAGCAGGCCAAGGATTTGTGAGTCTTTTCCCATTCCTAACAAAATATACCAAATAATAAATCCTTAATTTTTTTTTGATGTATTGTGATTGAAATGGCAGTTTGTGTCTAAAGTTTTCGAAAGGTTTTCTTTAATATATTTTATAATTTTCAAATGAATTCTGCAAATGCAATATATTGTGGGCAGTGGGGGGATTCTGATTTTGTCCCCGCACACTCATTTCTCTGAAATTAATTTCATCAATTTGGTGACTCTTATGCTTGACTTGTGCTTTCTTACATCATCTTCTGTTACGAAATCTGCTATTTGATGTGGTTAGCTTATTATTATTAGCTATGGTTGGTTCAGTTTTCCCGTGTCTAACCCACTTTTGTTCCCATAAAAGGTTGCAACTTGCAAGTGACGTTAAATTTCTTATATGATAAGTTATATTTAAGATCAGAAATGGGGAGGGAATTGCATTGCAATGTAGGTAGATCCTAACCAGCTGTTTGTAACATTGCAATAAAGGTCATTGCATTGAGCAACTATATTGCACTGACTGTAACATTTGTATTCACTACGCATTTTAGCTTTGATTCTAGCAGTGACTGCTTCAGAACTAATGAAATCTGATTGATGATCAATGATCAGACAGATATGCTGTAGTTGGGGATATGTGCAATGATTGTTCGGTATTATTTTGTTTTAAGAATTGATTTATAAAACTAAATTGTTTTGGGGATATGCGCAGAACCTTTTTTGTTGGTTACTCATCAATAGGTTTAATATAAAAATAAAACTTCTTGGTTTCTTGCCTGCCGTTGCCTTTTTCAGTGACACTATATTTCAACCAATTTCCCAGCTGTGGAGCCAACAGAAAAAAAACAGTTTACTGTTTTTGAAATGTCAGCATTCTTATGTGGCGAAAGATCTAGACAAACACAATAAATGTGTATACTACTGAACTATGCCTCCACTGGATAGCTTGATGACTGATGGATTGTTAAAACATTTGTTATGTTGAATGGTACTGCCACTCTGCAATTTAATTAGTTCTAAAACTTTTTTTTAAAGTTAAAGTAGCTAAAATATTGTTTCCCAAGCAGTAATTATTCAGCAGCTCAACTGCTCTCTAGAATTGCTCTACCTTTGTTGGCAGTCTGTTAGAATATTTTACAATGGTGAATTGTATTCTTATTCTTCATAATGGGTTATGAATCGTCAACTTTACTTCTGACTGATTGGGAGTCGTGTTTAAGCGCGTAAGAAAATTAATATCAATGGAAAATATTTATGTTTTGTTTAAAAAAAAGAAAAAACAGTTCAACAATTAATGATGAGTTACAAAGCTTTTTTTATTAGCTTTGTAAGTTGATCTAACCATCCAAAAATGTACTCTTAATTAAATTAATATCAAACACTATATATTTTCTGGATAATATCTCAAACTGTTGATCCACAATAAACTTCTTTTCCTGTACGAATTTGTGAGGAATTTTCCTTTTCATTATGGACCACGCTTTAGTATTTCTATTGTCAGAATGTTGTTTTGGAAATGCAACAAGTTGATTTGCATAAATTGACAAAAGTAAAGGGTTTATTTTTTCTGTCATTTTGCTGGCCAGTGTACTCTGAACAAAACCTTTATTTCCATTCGGTTCATAACTAAAGATCACATTTCCTGAAACAATAATTGTGTACAACTTTATTCAATCACTGTGCTAATAGCTATTAGTCCCACTGTGTTCCAAGTGAACCTGATACCATCTTGATTCCTTCTGCAGTTCTAATAATAATAAGCACCATTGCATGCGATATAGTGCCTTGTTTATAGGCTTTATTGTGAAGTGCAGTGATTGTCTTTTGTAGGAGAACATAGCAGCCAATTTGTGCATAGCAACATACTACAATGGCCATGAAAGTAATTTTGTCTGGGGGATTATTGGTCAGTACACTGGGAGAAAGTCCCTTATGTTTTAGTATAGTGCCATGGCATCTTTAACATCCACCTGGACAGGCAGATGGGACCTCAGTTTAACATCTTGTTTGACAAATAGCTCTTTGATGCAATGCAGCACACTCCCAGTGCTGCATTGGAGTGTCAGCCTATACTATATGAGTGTAAAGTCCCAACCTGGGGATTGAGCCCAGAGTCTTTTGACTCGAAGGCCAGGAATCTACCAACTGAGCTAGGCTGACAACAGTCTTTGTTTTGATAATTAGAATCATATTCTTGTGTTTTCACAACTTATTTATCTATTTCAGGCCTCGTTCTTAACCAAGAAACTAAACATTGGAGGTAAAAGAGTAAATATTGCAATTTGGGTAAGTACATCTACAGTCGTTCATATTCAGGAGTTTCTTTGTATCAGAATATAAAACCGTTCTTTCACTTCTTCCTTGAGTATCCTCTGTCCTATTGAATTAATAATTGCAATAAGGAAATTCTGTTACTGAAGCTGTGACTTCAGTTACAAACATTAGCAATTGTTTACTTTTGCTATATTTCCGTTGTCATTGTGAATAAAAATAAACTTAATGATGTAGAAATCCAAGAATGTTTGTATTTACAATAATAAGATCTTTGTAAATTTTACTGATTTGAATATTAAAATAAATGTTCTTTGTTTATTTTATGCACCAGGACACAGCGGGTCAGGAGAGATTCCATGCTTTGGGCCCGATTTATTACAGAGATTCCAATGGAGCCATATTAGTGTATGATATCACAGATGAAGACTCGTTCCAGAAGGTGAGGTTTTCGCACATGAAGTCTTTGTAGAGAGAGAAAGAGTGGAACATTTAAAACTGCATACCTCCAATAATGTACTTTACATATTGAAATCACCAAACCAACCTTTTTATTTTCTGTCTTTAAAGAAATATTATTAAATTCATAAAACTTATGTTTTGGCTTGTGCAAATCAAAATATACTTACGGTTTTATTGAGTCTGAACTCACAAAATAAGAACATATGTTTGCCCTACCCCCAGCACTTAGTTTTTACAGCACTGCTTATCCATGAGGATGTAAATAGCTCTTGCCCATTAATTTTTCAGGGGTTAACAATTGCTTCTATGATATACAGGGCAGCTGGGTGGCCTTAAGCTGCATTCTAATGCTTAATTATATTCATCTTCACGAGATACTAAAATGTGTCACTTATGCTAAATGTGAATAACCTGATGTTTTATTTTTAGGTGAAAAATTGGGTGAAAGAATTACGGAAAATGTTAGGAAATGACATTTCGTTATGTATAGTAGGTAAGTACCGATTTCTCAGTGATGCTTTCTTTCCCAGATAACAAAACATTTAAGGTCGCTCAATTGTTTGGTGACACAACCTGCTTTTGGCTCTCAATTTCTTTAAAATCTTTTCAACCTTGTCTGTTTCGAGGCTGTCCACTGTATTCTTGGGTGAACTGTGCTTTTAGCCCACTGTCTCCTACTCCTTAGCTGTTTCCCCCAGCTCTGGCTTACAATCAGTTGTGCGAAGCATTTTTGAGATGTCTTCCGTCTTAAAATGTACTCTATAAATATAATTTTTTCACGTTGGGTCAACAAACCTATTAGTATGCTGTATAAATCTTCATGTAATTGACAGTTAAACTGATGCTGCGCTGACATTTTACATGGCTCACAAAGGGTTTTGTATTGTTAAAAGTTAGCATTAATCAACCTTGCATCACCTTGCCAATACTTGAGACTTATTATTTTACTTCTTTATATCCATTGTGGTATATTATATTAACACCCAGTTCTATATATTTTTGAGTTTTGACTGTGCTAAACTTGTCTTTCCCCAAAAAAGAAACCAGAATTGAAACTAGTGCACCATATTAGAGAATCAAAACTGTTTTCTGATGCACATTGAATAGATAGTAACAGGTTGGTTACTTCCTTATCAATGGGGAAAGCAGTTCTCAATGACCTGTTCACCATGCAATCAAAGTTGTGAATAAAGCATAGGTTCAAGCCATGAACGTTTTATGAAGTTGAAACCTCTTTTGTGTATTTTTACTTCTGCTATTCTGTGGGGTTATTTATCCTTCAGTTTGCCTGTTTCATACTGGTGGGAACTCTTGACTTTCTAAAATTCAAAACAAAAAAGGGGCTGTTATATATTCCAAATGGTCTGAATTCACTACTTAAATGTAGAGTTTAAATTACCTGGATAATTCTTAGTCGGGACCTGTTTATCACTAAGAATATCTTTATTACATTTCAGGTAAACCGATTTAGCAAAAGTACAGAAATGATTTTGAATTAGTGTGGCTAGTTATGAGATCTTCATATTAAATTGAGAAAATGCTTGAGAGAGTGGTCCCAAGAAAATTACGATCTTGATAGGTTTGCTGCAGTCACTACTTCCTCAGGTGACACCACATGAGAGGGATACATGGTCACAACAACCAGATTCAAGATGACAGTCTGATTACCCATTGGTGCAAGTGACACTTTGTGTTCAATATCCAGACAGTACAATAGCTGATTCACCAGACAATTCCAAATTAGTGCAAGATTTATCATAACCATTTGTTAATCTGTGCATCAATAAACAACCCAAAACTCCTAGTAGAAGTAGTAGAGATGCGTTAGGACGCAGAGATTGTCTTTCTGTGGATATGAATGTTTCTCTATACATTTCCCGATCCCCAGGGTGATAAATATGATTCTTGTAATGGCCTACTAGCCTTGCAAGGCACTGCTTTAAGCTTTGCTCTACTGATGTATCCTATGCCCCATATGAGTGACATACTTAATCAGTTATCGGATATGCATTCATTCAGATCACAAAGACTTGCAGCTAATGACCTGGTTATTGAGGGGGGATTGTTGGGGATAGAATTAAGACTCACAGTGGTGAATGTGCTTATGACGGCTCATAAGCCATCGCTAATGAAGCATATGTTGTAAAGTGAAAGAAATGTATTCAGGAGTGTTTACGTTAGTGCTGTTATGTGGCATAAATTCGATCTAGCAAATGGCAGACCAAAACCTGAATCTGAGCACATGCAGTATATTTCAATTCTGCTGGAAATCCACAGGACAATTGAGATCTGAAAAAGATCTGTACTTTTCATTGCAGTTGTTTTCAGTTTTCTATGACGCACTGTCCTGATTGGTTCCTCTGGTGAGGATCCTTGATTTGAGATGATTAGCACCTGAGCCCTGACAGACCTCTGTTGGCGCCATTGTGAAATCTTAATTTAACTTTAAATAAATTGATGTATCCTCCATTTGAGCTTCAAAGTTATTGTCTGAAGTATAGATATTGATGGTTCTGGTTTATAAACCCAAAGAATCAGTGAGACCTTGTAGGATCTTCCAATTAAAAATATTCCACACATTGTGGAATATTTTATTTCAGGGATATTTCAGGGATCACCTTGATTAATCTTAAGAATAATATAACAACCTTTGGATTTGATGTGGTGTCATATGTTGTCAACATCCCAGGGTAAGCAGGGGAACCAGACTACCATAGACTGTCAATTCAGCTCCAAGGAGACTCAGCTTACCTCCTTTTTTAAGTACCCACCCCACCCTGAGGTTGTTTTTTCATTGATGTGTGGCCAGCCTATCTGCAGACATTGTACAGTCCTGTCTGGAAATACCTTGTGCTGCATGATTAATATTAATTTAAATCTGGTTTACAATGATGCCTTTGGGTCCAGGATGATAAAGCCCCTCTATAATCTTTTTGTTCAACATCTCAGATGTTTTGACTAAAACCATCCTGGATGCCTGATTTGGTTGAAGGTCTGAATTTGAATTGTAATGGATCTACTCATCCCTTTGGCCTTTCAAGGCTAGACAAGTATTATGTCTAAAATATATTTTTGCACCCCTTTAAAAAATATTAATCCAATTAAAGCCGTTGTGGTAAATGATCAGAAAACTATTCTGGGGTATGATTGTCATGAGTTCCAAATTACCAGTGTGTGGAACTAATGCTTATGCGTGTTAGTTCTAAATCATGGGATTCAATTTTCAGCCTACAATATCAATTTTGTTTTTTGAACCTCTTCTAAATCCAGAGACAATTTTCAGGCTTCTCACAATACACCCAGGATATCCTTATTTTAATAATCTGATTCAGTTAGTTTGCGTTAAAAATCTGTGATGCAGACTACTGTAATGAAATTTGAAGCAAGTATATATTAGATATTGAGCACATTGCAACAATATTGTGTGCCATGGAATATTTCTTACTGATTTGTGCTATTGTGGTTTGCATATAGCCTTCAGATTCACAGCACAATGTATGTATATAGTTGTGTGAAGACACACCAGAAGTGCTGGTCATGGACTTCAGTTTTCTAGTTGTGTTCTTTAATTTTTAATTAAAAAATTGTGTTTGGCCATTTGATTTATGTTCATTCATAAAATATGTTTATGGTCTTAAACGCCTCCCTTGGATGTTGCCAATGGTAAGGACCAACGCGCCACCGATATTATTGCAGATTAGTCTAAATAGCAATCTGGCAATTGTACACTTGAATCATGAAAGTAAGTGAGCTGGTTAGATATGCCTCGGATCAGTAAGATGCACATTTCTGTTCATTCATGGTAAGCTCCTAATTTGCTTGTGCTGGTGTTGAAGAGAAGAACTTTCTGCCTTGTCCTGAAATTAGGAATAAGTGCATAGCAAATCACTGTACTATTTTTCCATTTATTTAGTGATAAGTGCACGAGGGAGAGGAGATATGTGAAACGTTGTATCAGTACTCTTGCCTTATCTTTCAGATACATGTTAATTTCTTTCCACTTTCAGCTTGTATTTTTTTTAAAAGGTATATGAATTACATGTGTTACATGATTTTTAAAAAATATTTAATTCAAGAGATAACAGGAATTTTTTTTACAACAGGTAATAAAGTTGACCTTGAAAAAGATAGGCATGTGTCAGTTGAAGAGGCAGAATTGTAAGTACATTCATCTTCCTTAATTTTGTGCTTACTGGATATTTCAGGCCCTTTTTCTAGATCTTTCAGTGAAAAACATTTTTAAATGACTTGTGTTTCTACAGATACTCAGAATCAGTTGGAGCAAAACACTTTCATACATCAGCCAAGCTGAACAAGGGAATTGAAGAACTATTTCTTGATCTCTGTAAAAGTGGGTAACATTCTGCTTCAGTTACAATGCATGGCATGATGCCGTGGATATTAAAAATGTAGTTCAATATTACAATACTCAATTGGAATAAAAAAAACTCACCCTGTATGTAATATTTAAAGAACTTTGCTAATAATATTGCAAATTCCTAGTATTTTTGGTATGGTTTTGAGTTGAAGTGGCTTTTGTGTTGCAGAAATGCTATTAGAGTTCTAAAGTGAGCTTCATGTCCAATGATATCCAAATGAAGATGTTTCTACTAAATACATACTTGAATGCTTGAAGTCTTTTTTAATGGAGTGTTTGTGTGGTGCATGCTGTGTTAAATGAAAAGCAATAAGTCTTACAAATGTATGAACTTGCAATGTGAACAGTGAAGCTGGGCAAGAGTTTAAAAGTGTATTTTATTCCATGTTTAGGAATGATAGAAACAGCTCAAGCAGATGAAAGGGCAAAAGGCAATGGAAACAGTCAATCAGGAGGCACAAGACGGGGTGTACAGATAGTCGATGATGAACCGCAACAGAGCAGTGGAGGTTGCTGCTCTTAACTGACCAAAACTGTTCAGCTTTGTTTATAGAAATGAAGACTACCATCTACCACATCACATATTCTTATACCAAGAGAATGTCGTTAACAGTGTTTTTAAAAAAAAAACATTTATAACCTTCAAAGGACTAAAAGTGCTAAACAAAGTGGGGTATGTGACAAGAAGACTGCTTTTCCTCCCCTTTACAGTTGTATGGACAGAAATGATCAATGGCCTTTTTCATGAACCTTACATAGAATTGTCTTTTAATTGAAAAGCTGTATAATTTGCATGTAGGATCTTAGTATGTAGGAGCTGCAGGTATATTGCCCTTATAAAAGTCAGATCTTTTATTATTTAATAACTTATGTACATGTGTTGAATAGTACACATTTGACTATTTTTGGAACATAACTACTAAATGTGCAAAGTCAGTCAGATTATTATGGTTTGAGCAGATTTTTGCACAAGGTTCTCCCTATTATGATTTTTATCTTGCTCTATTCCTTAATAGTGAAAATATACCTTGCGAATTTCATATTAAATATTTTATCCACTTTACAAGTTGTGCACATGTTATACACTTTCCCCATGCTATTGTCTGAATAAGGATTGAAAGCATTTAAGTAATGCTGCTGTCAAAGTACCCTCTTCTCTCCTAAGCCAAATTTGAAATCAACTTTTTTTGAAGGTAAAGTTAGGCTTCCGCAGGTCTCTTTGCAGCTCCACTGGTTATGTCTAAAGCATAGTTAGAAAACTTGTTTGTGTATACAGTATCTGTGGAAGATGACATTTAAACTGGAGATGTTTGTTTGAAAAAAGGCAAACGCAGGATTTTCTATTTGTTGAACTTAAATCAATGTAATAAAAGCATCAAGGAGTCATCTGTGTCATTAACACTATTGGGGTGTATTCCCTGTAAATGGGTTTCCTAATATAGTTCATTAAAGCAACTGATTTTTCTTGAACTACTCTGAATAACGGGATTCTTGGATGTAAAATACTTGCTTAGTGCTGTACAGAGATTGGTCTGGATCCCTCTGAAGTACCTTTGAACTGACGACTTTGCATTTATCAAAGGGTGAGTTTAAATGACATGCTGACCAGGAGAGGCAGCTTACATCTGTGCATGCAACAAAAAGGTTTTGACTGTCTGCACTATCCACATATGAACTATCTACTTTGCCATCACAGTGAAAATGTACAGCTGGGGAAATCTTTTAGAACCTGACAGATGGAATGAGTAGTTTATACGACACTTATTTTTGAGGGGAGGGGGAATCCATTTGGGAGATGAAGAATGACAGATTACCTGTGGAATTGAAATCAGAGCCAGCACTACTGGCACTGAAAGCCAATGATGCCGTCAACTGGAATTAAAATTAATTGTGGCATAGCAAGGATATACAGTATATGTGTACAATTTAAATGAGAGAAATGTCACCTGCGAAAAGAGTGTGCAGCATGCAGCACAAATTGTAGAAGGAATTCAAATGACAATGGGGATGAATTGTAGCCAGGATTTCAAGCCTGGAGTGGAGTCGATAGATTGGAATCAGAAAGAGAATTCTGTAATGTTTCTGAGAATCCTTATAAATAGGTTAGCAGGTGGGAGAGGCAGAAACTGGACAATGTGACTAGAGAAAACATTAGTAGATACTGCACTATATTGATGTGTTTTATTTTAAAAAAGGACTGCTGAGAAATTACTACACATTAAGATAAAATGCATTAAATAAACATTATCAATTTTTGGAATTCTTTCATAATTCACATTATTTTACAGTTAAATAAAAACATTGTCTGCACGAGTTGCAATGGTCAAGGACTTTGCTTGAGCGTCACACTGTGTATCAGGAATCTTAGGTTAAAGTTTCTGGTACTAAATGGCCTTTGCAGTGAACATATGTTTTTACCACATGCAGAGTCTTGTTTGGGCACTCTTAATAATAATCCTTGCATTTGATATAGCACTTTTTATCTTCTAGACATCTCAAAGCGCTTCACAGAATAAACTGTAAAGTGAGTTGACTGTATATTTGTGAGTGAAATGCGGCAGCCAATTGCGCACAGCAGTGTCCCACAAACAGTCGTGGATTGAAAATGACCGATTTATTATTGATTTGGAGGGATTATTATTAGGCGTGTGGAGTAAGGAAACTTGCCCAAGGTTTTGCCCTGTCTGGAATTGAAACCAGGTGTCTCGCTTGCAAGGCGAGTGCTCTAACCACTGAGCTATAGGACTCTTCTGTGGACGTTGCAGCATATTCTATGTAAAGGCAGGTCAATTGTATCGGCCTGACCTACCCATGTCATCATATTTTTCCCTGCTTTTTGATCTCTTTTCTTAAAATTCTTTGGTTGAGATTTATACACTGTTCGCTTTCAAGGAATTTTTTCATTCCATATTCATGATTGGATCTTGAAAAGAGAAGGGCGAGGGGTGACCTAAGAGAGGTCTTTAGAATTATGAAAGGTGGGGTAAACATAGAGAAGATGTTTCCACTTGTGGAGGAGACTAAAACTGGGGGCCATGAATATAAAATAATCACCAATAAATCAAACGGGGAAGTCAGAAGAAACTTCTTTACCCGGAGAGTGGTGGGAATGTGGAACTTGCTACCACAGGTAGTTGAGGCGAACCGCATACGTGCATTTAAAGAGGAGTTAGATAAGTACATGAGGGAGTAAGGAATAGAAGATTATGCTGATAGGCTTAGTTGAGGAAGGGCAGGAGGAGGCTCATGTGGAGCATAAATGCTGGCATAGATCAGTTGGGCCAAATGGCCTGTTTCTGTGCTGTATATGTAATTCTATGTAAACTCTGCAAGTTAACTTTCATACATTATCAGGGCTTTCAGTTCCTTAAATGAAGGTTCCTTACGTTAAAGCTCTGGCAGCATCAACCTCCATGGTTGCACACTACAACTCACCAAGCCAGTCAGGAACCTAGGTGTCTTGTTCGACCCTCAACTGTCTTTTCTTCCCTACATCCAAGCTATGACCCACTCTGCCTTGCAAAAGGAATTAAGGGATTTGGGGATAAGGCAGGGTCAGGTTATTAGCTGGAGTTAGATTAGAAGATCAGACATGATTGAATGGCGGGGCAGGCTCGAAGGGCCGAATGGTCTACTCCTGCTCCTACATGTTATGCTATGCCTTCCCTCACCTCCGTAACATCACCCGACTCCGCCACTACCTCACCCCTCAGGCCTCTGAAACTCTTGTTCATGCCTTCATCACCTCCAGGATCGACTCCTCCCTCCACAGGCTGCAGATAATCCAGAACTCTGCAGCCCGTGTCCTCTCCCGCACCAAACTCCGTGACCCCATCTCCTCCACTCTCGCCTGACTCCATTGGCTTCCTATCTTTCAGAGGATCCAGTTCAAGATCCTGGTCCTCACCTACAAAGCCCTCCATGGCCTCACCCCACCCTACCTCTGCGACCTCCTAACCCCCTACCAACCCGCCCACTCCTTCCGCTCAGCTGGCTCTGGCCTACTCCACGTCCCCCGACCCACCCGCCCCACCATTGGCGGAAGAGCCTTCAGCCACTCTGCCCCCAACCTTTGGAATTCCATCCCCCAATCACTTTACCTCGCCTTCTCCTTAGCCTCCTTCACCTCAAAACCCTCCTCTTCGACCATGCCATCGGTCACCCCCTTCCCCTCCCCTCTCCCTCTTGACCCCAGCTCGGGTCTGAAATGCTGTCCACTGTCCAGCCCTTGGGACTTTCTCCCGACGCAAAAGGCGCTATACAAATGTAATCTTGTTGTTCTGTATGATTCTTTCTTGGTATTTTGCCCACAAGATACACAATTATTGCACTTTACAGTGTATCCTGTGAAATGTTTAGGGAAGTCTTCCCCATGTGAAAGGGCTATACCAAATGTAAGGATTTTTATTATTAATCTTGCCAAAGTTCATTCTCGTTTTCTCTAATAAAACAATGTGACAACTTTCACTTTAGTATGAGAGTAATGGTAACAGCGAATCTCGGAGTCCACTCAAGCTCTGCAGAGCTAAGGCACCTGCTTTACTGTTCATTTCTAAAGCTCCAAGATGACTTGACACATTGATCTAGGTTTTAAAATTCTGGTCCTCTTAACATCAATGACAATTACTTAGTTTGGAAACATCTGACTTTCTACAGAAGAAATTATAATTCAGCTACAATATCTGAGCCTGCAAAAAAACATATCTACTAAATACCTCTTCTCTGAGGTATGAATACACAATTTGAAATAGATAAACTATCAGACCAGAACATCAAGCATTGATTTGTCCAGCTAGTGTAAAATAACCTAATTCCATTCCTCTCAGTTCCCGATTCTGTCAGTGCCCTTAGCATAACAGGAATTTGCTGAAGTGCTTTTCTTAACCCTTCAAACACCTCAAAAGTATAATAGACTTCCAGAAAAATATTAATACTGCTTACCAATTAGCAGCACAGAAAACATTTTTAGGACATTTGATTTATAACTTATTTATTGCATTACAAAAAAAATCAATCTTTTATTTAATTATGGGCAGTTTAAAAGCACATCATAAAATTAAGCGAAGAATTCTCCAATTAGAGTTCTTTGGGCACTGGGTATGATGCACTAACTTAACAAAAGCTTGTTGTATTTTACCATCACATGTGCTTTATCACATGACTTATTTTCCCTTCTCACCCATGCTCTTGTGATGTTGTCCAGTAAATCATGCAAGTCTGTGTCTTTCCTTTAAAAATGTGAATCTGTACATGTCTGCTTACAAGAAAGTTTTTCTTATAAGGATAAGTTTACTTTAGAAAGTTCAATTGTAACATTATTTTTAAATGGACTGCCAAGTTATAGACTATTTGTATTAATACTTGTTTCAACTAACCAAAGCTGAACGTTTGCAAATATTTGGTTTGCCTTGCACAATTCTAACGGGTAATTTACAATCTTAAAGCTTGCGTAACCTTTTAAAATATATTTTTTGGGCCAGACGGGTGACTGACCCACTTGGAAAAACCCTATCACATGCTTAAAAGTATCCAAACCAAACTGAGAACACCAATGCATCCCACCTTCACATGGAAATTCCAGAGCTAGATTGTTGGAATGGAATGCACACTCTCCCAGGAGGGACGCATCCTGCTTCCCTAATTCCGGATAGTATTAGGCACAGGTTGAACGAATGTTAATGATAATCTTTACATTTGATATAGCATCTTATCATGCCTTTGAGATGTCTCAAAGTGATTCACAGGATTTTAAAGTGAAGCGTAGTGACTGTATTTTGTAAGCAAATGCAGCAGCCAATTTGCACACAGCAATGTCTCACAAGCAGCCATGAAGTGAATGGCCTATTTTATCTATGGGATTATTGGCCAAGACACCAGGAGACAGGATCTTGGTTTAATATCTCATCCCAAGGAAGGCACCTCCAGTAAAAGAGTGCATCTTCAACATTGTATTGGACTGTCAGCCTGATATATGCTTATCGTCCCTTCAGTGGCCTTCAAACACTCTGGAACGCTACCCAGCATGAGGGGTGCTATATAAATGCAAGTTGTTGTTCCGATGTGGGACTGAACCCTTGGCTTCTGACTCAGAGTTGAGCCTATGTTATGTCAGTCACATGCTTATTGATGGATCTTGCTTATCTGCTGAAATAATTTACAATGTGAATATTTTGAAAGGTTTTTGACGATTACAAATATAGGCTGTGGTCAGAAACACAATGAATGTATCTCTTTCAGAACTTGAGGTCAGTGTCAGAATCATTTCAGGTTATAATAAGAATAATCCTTCCATTTGATATAGCGCTATTCACGTCTTCTAGTCGTCTCAAAGCCATTCACAGAATATACTGTGCAGTGAATTGACTGTATATTTATGGGCAAAACGTGGCAGCCAACTGCACACAGCAGTGTCCCAGAAACAGTCGTGGATTGAGTGACCAAATTATTATTATTATTTTTTTCTTGAGGACTTATTATCAGGCATGTGGTGTAAGGAAAATTGCCCAAGGTTTTGCCCTAATGGGAATTGAACCCAGGTCACTAGCTTGCGAGGCGAGCGATCTAATCACTGAGCTACAGGACTCCACATCAAGGTACCTTGAGCCAGCGATCGAGGGATGTCCCTCGATGCATCCTGCAGACCTTTCTTAAAGGGCGCGTCCGCTTGCCGGAGTGGTGAAGAAAGGAACCTTGTACTTGAACAATGGCAGTGCCGGCCAGCATAGGACGATCCCAAATTTGAAAATAAGATATACTAAGGCTGTTCAGACTCTTAGTCCTAAATCTCCTTTGTAATCCTGAACTGGTATGCTCACTTGACCTGCTGTATCTGTAAATTATTCAAGTCAAAAATGCCATAAGTGCAAAATAGAACTGGTTTTCAAGTAACCACAGGCAGTTGTTGCCTGAAACCCAACCCAAAAAAGTTTCTAAATTCTAAATTTGTGCTTTTTTTCTGGTTGTCTGACATTCTCTGATCTCTGGTATTTGGTTTCAGTGTTTCCCTGATCTCTGGATTTTGCTTTACAAAATAAACAAGGTGGAGTGGAATAATATGAAACAGGCTTTTACACTTGTTGTAATGTACAATTGTATTCTTGTGTTGTATTTCTTCCATTACCCCAATCCCCAAGAAAAATAACCTTCCCTCCATCTCCCCTTTCCCTCCACCTCGTCCGTATCAGAATGTTCCCTGGAATGAATACAGTTTATATAGACTGGGGCTTTTTTCTTTGGAGCTCAGAAGGCTGAGAGGGGTTGATAATAGAGGATCGTAACATGATAGGCGATTTAGAATGGGTGGACAGGGAAAAATATTTCCTGTGGCTGGGGGTGTCGACCTAGTTTTTAACTCATAACTAGGAAATCCAGAAAAGATTCGGGAGGTAACTTTTCACTTTAGAGTGATGGGAGTGTGAAATCCTCTGCCAGTTGCTGGAACTGTGACCTTGTACCCATTCAAAAAGAGACTGTTCACATGATCGAGTAAGAATAAGGGATATGGGGAAAAAGGCCAGGTTAAGCACTCCGAGACGCTATCGCTACACAGATGTAAGTTAATAATAAAATAATAATCCCTGCATTTGATAATGAGCTTTATATCTTCAAAACATAGGTGCTTTATATCCAGTGATTATTATTATTATCTCAAAGCACTACACAAAATATACTGTAAAGTGAATGAAGTGAATGTAGTTGTTGTTTGCTCCTTCCTCTCCGCCACTCCCTTCACGAACCCCTCCAAACGCGTTTCCATGCCACCCACAGTACAGAAACAGCTTTGGTCAAAGTGACAAATGACATTTTGTCCATCTGCGACCAGGGCTCCCTCTGCCTCCTCGTCCTTCTTGACCTCTCTGCTGCCATCGATACCGTTGACTACGCTATCCTCCTCCACCTCCTCTCCTCTTACCTCAACCTTCATGGTTCTGTCCTTGACATGGTTCAGATCCTACCTCTCACATCTCCACTTCATCTCCACAAACAGCTTCTCCTCTAGTCTCGCACTGTCTCATGTGGAGTTCCTCAGGGCTGTCCTTGGTCCCCTCCTTTTCAATATCTATATGCTCACTCTTGAGACTTCATTCTCAGACATGGGGTCAACTTCCATATGTATGCAGATGACACCCAACTCTATCTCTCTTTCTTCACCCTCGACTCCAGGACCACTGCTGTCCTGATAGAATGTCTGTTAGATATCAAGTCCTGGGTGAGTGCTAACTTTCTACAGTTGCACGTCAACAGGAACGAGGTTCTCCTGATTGGCTCCCGTGAAAAGCCTCCACGCCTCAGGCACTGACGGCATCACCATCCATGGATGCAAACTCCACCTTACTACATCAGTCTCAAACCTTGGCGTCTTGTCTAACCCTCAACTATCCTTCCTACTTTACATCCGTGCCATGTCCCTCTCTGCCCTCCCCCACATCTGCAATCGGCTCTGCCACTATCTCACACTGCAGGCCACCTAGACTCTTGTACACATATTCATAACATCCAGGCTCGACTATGCAAACTCCCTGCTTGTTGGCCTCCCCAACTCCTCCTTCCAATAGGCTGCAGATCATCCAGAACTCTGCAGCCTGTGTCCTCTCCCAGGCTCTGTGACCCTATCATCCCCATCATCAGCCGACTCCACTGGCTTCCCATCACACAGAGGATGAAGTTCAAGATCCTGGTCCTCATCTTCAAAGCCTTCCATGGCCTTGCTCCCCACTCCCACCACCACCGCTACCTCTGCGACCTCTTAACCCCCTACCAACCTGCCGCTCCCTCCGCTCAGCGGGCTCCGGCCTGCTTCACGTCCCCCGCCTCGCCCACCCTACCATGGGCGGGCGGGCGGGCTTTCAGCCACTCCGCCCCCACCCTCCGGAACGCCAACCTGCGGTCCCTCCGCCTCGCCCACTTCCCTTGCCTCCTTCAAGCCCCGACTCAAAGACCCTCCCCTTCGACCGTGCCTTCCGTGTCACGTCACCCTCCTTTCCCCCAACCCCCGCCCTCCACGATCCCGACACTCCCCCCCTCCCTCCCCCCTCAGCTCGGGTCCGAAACACCCGATTGTCCAGAGCCTCGGGACGTCCTCCTGATGCGAAAAGGCTCTGTACACATGTCACTTTGTGGTGGTTGTTGCTGTTGTTGCTGTCAATAAGTATAGGATCCAGGATGGTTCAAAATGGCCGTTTGGCAGAGCTTCACCTCCTATTGAGTCTGCGCCATTATTGCTCTTCCATTTCCTTCCTTCCATCGCTGGTCTCTTTCCCGCTGTTCCCTCCCCTCTGCTCTAAACGATCGCCATTGTGACGTCGCCGGCCACTCAGCGTAATGTCAGCGGGCTCCCGGGGGGTGTCGCTGCCTCCCATCCCGCCGCCTGAGTCCTCCAAGGAGCTCGTCGAGTATTCCAAGAACCCGTTGGTGGCGGCCGCGGGGAGGGGGAGGGTGGAATGAGTCGGAGACTGCGCGTGCGCGGTCAGTTGGGTCCGCGCGAGCTGTGGCAGTTTGTTTTCTCCTCTCGGGCCCGAAGCACGTGAATGGCGCTACGTCACGGGCGGAGGCGGCGGGATCATGGCGGCGGCAAAGGTACAGAGTTGAGTCAGCGCTGGCGTCACCTCGGCCTCAAATGTCCCGGTCCGTCCGTCTGTGGCCTCGCTCCCTCTCTCTCTCTATCTCTCTCTCTCTCTCCTCCCCGACTGGTGCCACCCGCCGCCAGTCTCCACCCCCGAGCAGCTGCACCTCGCTCAGCTCTTCGGGGATGGAGGGCACCTGACTTGCTGAGGAGCGGTGGGGGTGCGAGTGTGCTTATAAAGACTTGCAGTGCACTCGCCTCCCCCCCCCCCCCCTCCCCCTCCACCACCAGTCCCCACTCATCAATATCCGAAGCAAACGGCGCCGTGTTGGACAAACTTAGTCCCGGAGATGCCACGACACCAGCACCTGCCCGCCCAAGGGAGCGAGCTGCCAAAAAAAAAAGGAGGGCCTGTTCCTCTTTCTCCCTCTTCCCTCAGCCCCACACACTTATTTTTCATTTGTTTACTGCCCCATATCATCCCCCTCTCCAACCCCCACACGACTCAGCACTTTATAACCTGTTCGGTGGGTGAGCTGGAGGTTTCTCTCCCCCCCCCCCCCTCCTCCTCTTCTTCTTCTTCGCCCATTGAGCTGTTGATTTACATTCCAGCCTTAAAACGGATGGTTTCCCGCTCCACCGCGGAGTCCTTCTGTTTGGAAGCAGTGTAGTTGCAGTGTGTGTGTATGTGTGTGTGTGTGTGTGTGAGAGAGAGAGAGACGACGTGGAGTGTGTGGGTGGAGGAGATAAGGTAGTAAATAAGTAAGAAAATAAGTGTCCATCTGGACCAGCAACTGGGGAGAGCACTGTAATGATTCCTTCGGTAGTATTGCCTTTTACTGTTCAGGCATAATTTATTGGTGGGAAAAGGGGAAGTAAAAGTTTTCAGAGTTCAGGAAAAAAAGGACAAATCAGCAATTTTAAAAATAAGACAAGAAAAAAAAACTTTCCCGCAGTCTGGCCGTTGTGTTTCTGCAAAGAATGATCCACAACTAAACAGTACTGTTACTATCTGTAGAGATATCACGAGAATATGCAGACTGGATGTTACCAATTTAGAAATAAATGTTGTAAATGTTGCTTTACATCTGCATGGAATTGTAATTTACATTTTCACTGTATCTTTGAAGGTGAGTTTGTCACTTCAAAGAGGAGATTCTCTTCCAGTTTTAATTACAATAATTGTATATTTTGTAATTTGATGCAAATGTTTAAGAAATCGTACACCTGAAGTTACAACAACAACAACAAGATTCCATTTATAAAGCGCCTTTCACGTCAGGAGGACGTCCCAAGGCGCTGCACAGTTGGGTCAGGACCCGAGCCTTGGGCGGGGGGGGAAATGGTCAGGGTGAGGGGAGGGAAGGGAGGGAGCGAGGAGGGGGAAGAGAGTCGAGAGGGAAGCTGAAGGCACGGTCAAAGAGAAAGGTTTTGAGACCGGCCTTGAAGGAGGAAAGGGAGGAGGCGGCGAAGGCACTGGGGGATGGAGTTCCAGAGCCTGGGGGCTGAGAGGCTGAAGGCCCGACCACTGATGGTAAGGCGGTTGGGGTGGGGGACGTGGAGCAGACCAGAGGCAGAGGAACGGAGGGTACGGGCAAGTAGGTAGGGGGATAGTAGGTTGGAGAGGTAGGAGGGAGCAAGGCCGTTACCTTATGTGTTTGCTGTTCTGCAGATAAAGTGAGTGTTATATATACTGGGAATAATTGTTTTTTTATTTTCTATAGTTTCTGCACTCTCAGCTAAATTATTTTGAGTACAATATTTCGTGTTTAATTGTGGTACATTTATCAAGTGTTATAAATTTGTATTGATAAAACATTAACAGCATATTCAAAGGAAAAAATGAGCTTTGAATTATATTACAACTTTCAAAAAGTGCATTGCAAAAATCTCTAATGTAAGTTTTTTTTAGAAATATATTATACTGTCAGCTTGTAGCATGCAGTAAGATTAATATTAATTAATTAGATGAATAGTTCAGTCTCTGGCTATACTATATTTTCCATGTTTTGCATTTTAACTTGATTTTACCGCTGGTGTATAGTTAGCTTTATTTCTGACAAAGTTTTAAAATTGCTATGATAAAGGGCAGACTGGCATCCATTTTATTTGAACGACAAAATGCAGGATTAATAAATTCTGTTTAACATTTTGTTTTACAGATTGTGTATGAACATGATGGTGTGTTTCTTCATTCATGTTCTGAAAGAATTGGTGAACAAGACACGCTACCAGGAATACTTCGGATCATTGATAAGGTTACTTTTGTACTTTAAATAGCTGGTGAATTTGCATTTTTAATTGTTACTCATTTACAATAGAGTAGATTATACTAATTAGACGTAGCATGTATCAGTGTGTAAAAAGAATGAACCCAGCTTTTAGACTTGTGAAATTGTGGAAAGACAACTTTGCAAAAGTTACTGACTAGTGCATTAATATACCAAACCTGAAAAGTGGATAAAGCTTTGCTTTCCATTTTATGCCCACCAGTATGTGCAGTATATATAGTATCCATATATTTTTGGAATATTTGGTATTACTTTTTTATTTAAAATATTGGTAAGTACGTGGGCAGCAGAGTTCTGAATGAGCTGAATTTTTTGAACAGTGGAGCTGGGGAGACTGACAAAGTCCCTATTAATACACAGGACTCCTGTAGCTCAGTGGTTAGAGTGCTCGCCTTGCAAGCGAGAGACCTGAGTTTGATTATGGTCAGGGCGAAACCTTGGTCAAGTTTCGTGACTCCATGTGCCTGATAATAATCCCTCGAAAAAAAAACAATAATAAATTGGTCACTTCAATCCATGACTGTTTGTGGGACACTGCTGTGCACAATTGGCTGCCCCATTTCGGCCACAAATATACAGTCAATTCACTTTACAGTATATTCTGTGAAGCGCTTTGAGACGTCTAGAAGACATTAAAAGCGCTATATCAAATGCAAGGATAATAATAATAAATACTTGAGCAGAATTTACATTATATAATGTTAAGTTTAGTTGGAACTAGATAGATTGAATTATCTGCTATTCAGATTGATTGAATTGGTTGCTATTCTAGTTCCTGTTCCAGTGATGACTGTGTGCAGGAGAATATTGTCCCGTAAAACATTTGAAAAGTTTACAGATTTTGGAAATGCATTTGTTTCTGTTGTCAGGTCTGTGTTATGTTGCTTTCACATTCTAGTTTGTTTTCTGCGGCATTGTTGCCTTGATTTTCCTGGGAGAACCACATTTGAGTTGGATCTCCTACTGCTTCTTAGTGGAGGAGAACCAACACCACAATAGAAGGATTAGTGTGGATTGGCTGGACCCAGCAATGGTCTGCACATGAGCGAATTACAGTCTATCTCTCATTGTTGGAAGATTGTCAGTTAAAGCCCCATATTGGGACTTTCGCTGAAAGCCTAGGCTGACACTGCTGGGGAGTGCTGCCATATCAAAGGTGACTTCCTTTGGATGAGATATTAAACTGAGGGCCATCTGCTTGTGTATGCTACAGCATCCTATGGAAAAGTGAAGGGATTTTGCTTCAGTGATCTGGCAAATAATTCTCCAGATAAAATTGGTGATTCACTTAATGCCTGTTTATTGGACATTGCTATATACAAATTGCCTGCCACATTCACCTGCAAATAGTCACTACCCTTTACAGTAAAATTGGGTGAAGCACTTTGAGACATGGCAGAGATTGAAAAAGAGTGAAAAACAAAGCGAATGCTTCTTTTTCTTGCAGGGTTCAGTAACCGTAGTGGACTGGTCACCAGTGGATGCAACATTAGATTCTTCAAATATTCTTTGCGCAGGAAAGGTACTTTGTAACTTACTTATTTGTGTTAGATTTCATTTCTGTTGGCAAAACACATAATCAAATGGATTTTCCACCTTCCCAATCAGGAATAAACATAAACATTGAGTACCAACTAAGTCATCTTTTGAAAGAACACTCTGTTGTAGCATTTTATTAGTACGTAATATTCCAGTTTAGATTTCAGATATAGATCATTAGTCATAACATATTCTCTAAAAACACCAGTGCAGCCCAAAGAACCTGGAGGTTCGCCAAAAAACAGCATTGCTCACCAAGCTCGCCAGTGTCCTGACTGAGGTACTACAAGAGCTCACCGCCTCCTGACTTCCAGGTCCTGCCACCACTCACAGACACAGAGACCCAGAGAGAGACTCACAGACACAGAAAGACACACATCCAAAGAGAGAGAGACACACGCACACACTCATAGACAGACACATACAAAGGAAAGGAGAGACACACAGACACTCAAACAAACATACATATAGAGGAGAGACACATTCACACAGAGACAAACACCTACATACAGAGGAGAGAGGCACACAGACAATCTCAACAGCAAGGCTTTGGAATGGAGTGAAGCCCATTTCCAGCTTGTGCATGAGCCCCCAGAGCCGCTCTGCCCACAGTAGCGGCACAGCTCCCCCCACAGTAGGGTCGGATAAACAATTGGCAGCAATGCAACCGGTTCAGGCGCCAGAAACTTCATTATTTTTTAGCGGAGGGTGCTGTTTACAGCAGATTCCGTAGAAAATATTGTGGCGGCACATTTCTATTGCTCGAGGTAATGGTTTACTCTTATTTAATTTTTTTTAAAGTTTGTTGGCAATTGTGGTTTCTAGGTGTCGTTGCATAGAAAATTGATTTATCCATTAAAAAAATAAAATGCATTATTTTTTCCTGTTGAACTATCAGAAAATGTAAAAAAAACTTTAAAAATTCCAGTTACTTTTTTTCTAACTTTTTTTTAAACTTTAGGATTCCAGTTCAGTAGTCGAATGGACGCAAACAGCCCGGCATTCAGTGAATCAAAGCAATTACGAAGCTGAATGGGACATGCTTAATATCGTAACCTTCAAAAAGAAGCCCTTTGTAAATGGTATGTCCGTGATAAGATTTTTTTATGCATACAAATTTTTTTCATTGCTAATTGGTGCTCAATTCTAATGTAAACAAACTAGTGTAAAATGATGTGAGAAACAATACAGTGATCACAAGAAAGGTGTGGTTGAAGAAGGACCATTTGATCCCATTCTTCCAGAACACTGCCTGCTGTCCTCCCATTATCAGCAGTGTCTTAAGTGAGGCCAGCCAGCTTGAATTGAGGTTTACAACAACAAAGTTACATTTGTACAGCGCCTTTCATGTCGGGAGGACGTCCCAAGGTGCTGGACAGTCAGTGTTTCGGACCCAAGCTGGGAGTTGGAGAGGGTGGCGGGGGAGGGAAAGGAAGGTGAAGAGGAGGGTCTTGAGATGGGTCTTGAAGCAGGCCAGGGAAGTGGGTGAGGCAGAGGGACTGTGGGCTGTAGTTCCATAGGGTGGGGTCAGAGTGGCTGAAGACCCACTCGCCAATGGTGGGGCGGGCGAGGCGGGGACATGAAGCAGGCTGGAGCCCGCTGAGTGGAGGGAGGGAGCAGGTTGGTAGGGGGTTAGGAGGTCACAGGTAGGGGTGAGCGAGGCCATGAAGGGCTTTGAAGGTGAGGACCAGGATCTTGAATTTAATCCTTTGTGTGATGGGAAGCCAGTGAAGTCAGGCGAGAATGGGGGTGATAGGTTCACGGAGCCTGGTCCGGGAGAGGAAATGGGCCGCAGAGTTCCGGATGATCTGCAGCCTATGGAGGGAGGAGTTAGGGATGCTGACAAGCAGGGAGTTTGCATAATCAAGCCTGGATGTTATGAATGCGTCTAAGTGTTTCGGTGGCCTGCAGTGTGAGAATGGCGGAGCCAGGCAATGTTGCGGAGATGGCAAAGCGGGTCATGGCATGGATATGGTGTAGAAAGGATAGTTGAGGCTTAAACAAGATGCCAAAGTTCCGGACTGGCTTAGTAAGGTGGAGTGTGTATCCTTGGATGGTGATGCTGTCAGCGCTGACAGGAGCAAATCAGGAGAGCCTTGGTCTCATTGACGTTCAACTGAAGAAATTTAGCTCTCATCCAGGACTTTCTCTCAGAACTGCAGTGGTCCTGGAGTCAACAGTGGAGGCAGAGAAATACATTTGGGTGTCATCCGCATACATGTGGAAGTTGACTCCGTGTCTGCGGATGATGTCACAAGAGGGAGATATAGATATTGAAGAGGAGTGGACCAAAGACAGAGCTCTGAGGAAAGCCGTAGGAGACGGTGAGGGGGCTAGAGGAAAAAATGTTTGTGGAGATGAAGTGGAGACGGTGTGAGGTAGTATCTGAACCATTCAAGGAAAGAACCATGAAAGTTGAGAGGAGAGGCGGTGAATGAGGATAGAGTGGTCAACGGTATCAAAGGCAATAGAGAGGTCAAGGAGGACGAGGAGGCAGAAGGAGACCTGGTCGCAGATGGACAGAATGTCATTTGTCACTTTGACCAGAGCTGTTTCCGTGCTCTGTGTGTGTCTGTTTTAGACAAAGATTCGTAATCACAATTATTTACACAGTCACTTGTGATATCAAAGGAAGATGTTACGTGCAACCAGGCACTCTTTCCACAACAAAATATGAATGACAAACTGGTTACAAAAACAGAAGTCGTTGGGAACACTCAGCGGGTCAGGCGGCATCTATGGAGAAAGGAAAGTGAGTCAACGTTTCGGGTCCATGACCCTTCGTCAGAACTGGGGCATGTTGGGAGGGAGAGGCTTTTAGCCCTTAAAAGCTTCTTCCGCCCAGCATGCCCCAGTTCTGAAGAAGGGTCGTGGACCTGAAACATTGACTCATTTTCCTTTCTCCCTCGGTGCTGCCTGACCTGCTGAGTGTTCCCAGCGACTTCTGTTTTTGTTTTCAGATTTCCAGCCTCTGCAGTATTTTGCATTTTATGACATACTGGTTATAATTTGCAAAAGGCAGCTTAACAGTGGCCAACTGAGGAATGGTAGGTGATGAAGGGAGACTTGAAGAGAGAAGAAATTAAAAGGGTTACCCAGTGCTACAATTCACTGTTGGAAAACAGGTAGAAAATCAAAAATCTATCAGAGGTGTGTCACCAAGTGGGTTGTCAAAATATTGCAAAAGAAGCTTAAAGATTTAATGAATTATGCACTAATGTTTATTGAAATAAATGTATTGATGGGTCTGCGGGGAAAAGTTCTGGCACATAAGCATTTTAAATTGAGGGAAACAAATTTTATGATAGAAATGGGCTTTGTTAGGTTCCATTATGACAATAATAATTTTCTTGGGAATTAACGTAGACTAGGTTGGGATTTTGAAGCCTTAATAGTATGACAAATGAGTCCAGTGAAAATAACTTTCTCATAATAATTATTTGATGTGAAAAATCTATGTTTCTCTTGTTTTTTGTGGCAGCCTGTCAGAGATTGAAGACCATTAGTCAAGGATACTTTTGTTATGAATATGCTCCATCACTGATTTTGTAAGTTTAGATAAATAAACAATAATGCAGCAAAAAAATCTGGATTTTGAACAAAAAACTGAAAGAGACTTCTGTGTATGTTTCAGCATACGTTCAAAAATATTCAAATTTTCTGCAGTGGATGGATCTACCGAGACACATCATTGATTATGTTTAGATCAAATTTAGATTGCCTGAATTATTTTTCCATGCTTGAGATCAAAGCTGTGTTCTGTGAGTCAAGCCCTTTATTTTCATTTTGAACCACATTCAAGTGTGTTAACATTTTGTTTTACCAGATGATTCAGCAAGTCACGTATGTGGTAGAAATAAATGGGCGTTCTCCTTCAGTCTACCTGATCTGAAATCTATCAAAAGAAATACAGAAGGCATGGGCTGGTCATATTTAGGATTTTGTCTTCGGGATGATACCTCTCTTCCAGCTCTTCATTTTCACCATGGAGGCAGCACTGCTCTGCTGGAGTGCCTTAAGAAATATATTCCACTCATCGAGTAAGTATTTGAAAAACAGCTAGGATAAGAGAAAAACATTAGATACACATGTTAACAATTTCTGAATTTTGTATGTGTTTCAGTAGTTTTACATTTCTAATGTTTCCAACCTCGGCCAATTCCCCGTGGATCTTCAATATTGTATTTAAAAAGTAGAAGCCCCCAATACTCTAATGTACTTTCTGTGTGTGTGTGCACACATATGTGTCTGTCCGCATACAGGTGAATGGGTACTTTTAAAAGCATCTTGATACTAGTGGAATTTATGACATTTACAGTACAGTCTAACAATAAGCTAGATCTTGCAGAATGAAAGTCAATAAGATTACTTGTTTTATAATTAATTGCTGCTAACAATCCATGGGATAGTGAACATGCTGCATAGGGCATTGTGGACTATATTAACCAACATGTTGGGGCTAGGCTAATGTCACAGGCATCTTCATACCTAGGGCATATTTTACCAATGCAGATATTTCTCTCTGTTGTATGAATGGTATGTATGTTTTGCTGTTATCAAGATAATCCTATTTTTCTTCCAATTCCTGGATTTACAGGAACTATTGATGCAGCAAATCTTTCTGTGGGTTTTGACACTTCAGTTCTGGATCTAGGGTGTTTATTATCACTTGAATCTCACCAGACCAAAGGAGCTGTGAGAATCACGTAATGCTCCATAACCTGTTATAAATCTGATGTGAGTTGGCCATGTAGCCAAATACTCAAACGTTGACTTTTTTTATAAAATGTATTTTGTAGGAATTACCACTAGGTGGCAATCCACTTACAGGACTTAGACTTTGGCTACTGTGGGACAAACATGGTATATTCATAGATTTTAATGTTACATATAATAAGTTATTTTTTTTATTCCCTCGCAAGCAGCATTCCAAAACAGATAAGAACTTAAATTACTATCATTTATTTTAAAAAGCGGCTGCAAATTAGAACTTGGCTGCAACAAAAATGGTATGCTTGCAGAAGTGTGTTGTAGTTTATTCAAATTTTTTGTCTGCATATCTGACTGTCTTTAAGATGAATGCATTCTGGAATCTTTATACAAGAAACTCAGAAAAATCATTGAAGTTATTTTTCTGGATACAGTACCTATAGCTACCAATTTGAAGAGTGAGGATTTTTTAAATTGCTGAATATGAAATCAGGCAATTCAATCTACATGATCAGAAATTATCATCCAAACTATTAGATCCAGGGACAATCAAAGACCATTTTTTTGTGTTGGTCAGTGATTTGTTTGCATAATATAAACACTATAACTAACGTTAGTGTTAAATTGTGCTGAATTGCCAATAAAGGACAATTTAAATCAGTCACAATCACAAAGTGATTCCACTGGTGCTTGGCTGTCAAGATCACTTTGCCAAAGTGGTTTTGATGGGACACCAACTTGCATAATTATAGTATGCAATATATAAATATGGTGTGAATCAATTCAACCTGTGTCAAAAAAATCTCTTAAAAGATCTGAGTAGTCTCCAATGAACTTTTTTTTAAACTACTCATTTTAAGACTCAATTTTGTGTGCATCTCTTTAGTAACTTTAAAAGCTGTCTGATACTAATTGACAAAGCCTCATGTATGTATTTTGTGGTACATGTGAACAGTTTTCCTCAGCTCCTGGTAAGAGCAGGAATTCTAAATCAGGCTTCCTTCTCTCAATCACTTTAGAAGCAGTATCACATTGCTTTCAGTGATATAAACTGCACATTACATATTGAGGCTGTAGCTTCATGCAGCTGTGACACACAAATGTGGCTTTCGGTAACGCATGATTAGGATAATTTGGAGACTATTTTCAAAGCAATTTAAATTGTAACCATGAAAGCATTATGAATGAGTTTATTTTTTTGCTGCTTCTGCTTTCTGGATTTTCAGATCAAAGATCAGTTGACTATAAAACCAGCTTGTTCAAGCTGGTAAAGCTTGTTTTTAACCAATAAAACTGAATGCGTACAAGTCTCAACTCCAAAATTAACGCTCAGCACAGAGAGACAGGAGAAGAGATTGATTTTGAGCTTGTTCTGTTTAAAAAAAGGAAAATAGTGAATATAGTGAGTGATCAAATAAATAGAAGAATATGAAGGATTTGAGTATAGTGATAATTTCAAATTGCATTGTTCATATTTAGTTTAGTAGGTTAAAGCTAATAATAAACTAATGAACCAGCCATAATATTTGAGCAGCCTTATTACTGCAAGCAGTGGTTTTTAGTTATAGTATGTGAGCAGTCTGAGTTAAAATGTGCATTTTAGTATGATTTGATAATTAATATTTATTCTGATCATTCCTTTTCCTTCCATATTTTTATGTTCTCTTCCCTGTAAATGCAACTAATCTTGCCATTTCCTATATGATTGCTCTGTTGGCTTAGGTTAGTATAAAGTTACCAGACCAATATTTTGAATATATTAATCTAGAATAACTGGTTATCTTAAATCTGGAATTGGTTTCACGATGACTTGTTCTTCAATATTTAATTTCTGCTTGTGGAGTCTACTGTTGGGTTTACTGTTAGGCATTACTGCTAAGTTTTTAAGCTTTTGTGAGGTGTGTTGGTTCTTATTCAAAATTGCCAATTTATTTTCCAGTATTGTATTGCTTGTGTCTGATTTGCTCTTTCTAACCCCCCCCCCCAAACGATTGTTTATCAACTTCTTCCAGCTCAAACATGTGTGCAGTGTCATCTTGCTACTTGTAAGGAAGTGCAATGTCAGATTTTTTCATCTCAGTGTGCATCACATCCTGTTATATCAGGTCTGCCAACAGTTTGCTGTTAGTAAAGTTCTTATCATCGTCGATAATAATAGAAATAGGTGAATTTGATTAAATATGGTTCAGATGAGCTATTCAAATATATGACTGTTTAGATATATTCAATACAAATAAATTGCTGCTGGATTAGATTACTGTAGTGACTTTGAAAGCTGCAGAAATGACACATTTAACACATTTTTCCAGTTTAATTCTGAAAAGTTTAATTGTGAAAAGCTGTTGCAAACTATAGCCTTTGTGGAAAGCATTTTGTGAAAGCAACATGGAGATTAATATTCAGATGCCTTCTGGAGTTCAGTTACCAAAAAATAGCAATTTATATTGGGGCTTGACTAAACATAAAATAGCATCTCCTAGCAAAATGTGAGGTAATTTTTTTATTCTTTCTATAGATCAACACATGATAATCGAGTACTTCTAGTTAGTTACAACAGCAAGGCTCTTTCTCAGTCTTTTGAGAACCTGTTTGAGGATAACGCTCTTGGCTTAGTACATGTAAGTGTGTTTTGTTTCCAACAAAAACAACTATGGATGTACTGTTTACTGTAGATTGAAGACAGCAGACATGTTCTTAATAGTTTATCAATGCTCATCAAACAGGGAAAATAATATCTTCTTTCTATTCTTTTTCTTCCTTTCCCTCTTTTTTCTCTCCGTCTCCTTCCCGTTCCTTGCTTGATCCAGTTAGATAAGGAATTCTCTAATAGAGTAATATCTGCAGGCTGCTCAATTACTTAATGATACAGCATGTTATCTTTCTAACGTGTTTATTTCTTATGCAGTCAATCAAACTTAGTTGTCCTATTTCTTTACATTTGTGGTTTGGAACTCATGAATGGCAATCTTTTTCCCACTGCTCTCTTCACCCAATCCTTCACTAGTCACCAGCAGTAAAACTTCCACTATTCTGGCACATTGTATACATTAACCCTAAAATACTGGCAGTAATGACATGAATTTCTGATTTGTTAATTGTGAAAAGTATGATTTGTTTGGCATTTTGTGTCGTATGAGAACAGTGTAGTTCAATAAGTATTTCTAATTCACAGAAGTTCAAGAAGGATCCATATGTAACAACATTAGGAAGCTTTTCCAAAGTTACAAACTACATTCTGGATGCTTTTCGTAGTCCTGACGTAATGCCCCAACAAAGACCTGCATCCGAAATGGATATTAATGAATCAATTCCAGGCCTTGAAATTAATCACCAGGAAGAACCGGGCTTTGAAGTCATCACCCGAGTAAGTTTATTTCGAGTCATGCTGCCCTGTTTAGAAAGAATATTGAACTTCAGAAGTAGAACAACCAACTGTTGGTGTTAACATTTTCTTACAAAGAAAATCTGTGATGGGTAAAAAAAACTGTGATGAATAAAATACTTGTGAACTGTGAATCTATTTGATATCAATCTATTTATTTCAGATTGACATTGGGGAAAGGCCTGACATTCAAAGAGGAGAACCAGTTTCTGCTGAGAAATGGTCAATGAATATGAATCCAGAAGGGAAAATCCTAAATCCTGATAACTTGAAAAAGATCATATTCAAGGGGGTATAGAAAATATTTTACTTGATTAGATACAATTAACATTGAGTTTTAGCATCAGTTGCCAAATGTAGTAACATTTCTTTGGCTAAAAGTGGCAGTCATTTTGTGTCAACAAGGTTCCATAAATAAGGCGTGAGTGAATGATTGATTCATGTGAAGAATGGTCAGGACAGTGGGAGAAACTCCCTTTTTAAATAGAATCATGGGATCTTCAATGACCAGCTGAGCTGGACAGATAATAATGTACTACAGTAAAACTCGCATAAGTCTGATCTGTATAAATTGTATAATAGCCTTCATCGTACATTTGCTCAAATCCTGTTGAATTTTCTATGAAATACACTTAAATTTCTCTGCACTAGTCGCATTAACAATCGCTAATTCGTAACATCGCTACCGAACTTACTGGCTGCCGGATCAAAACTTTGTTTCCCGTGCCTGCTTCAAAAGGAACAGTGACACTTTGCGCCCTCCAAAATGTTATTTCTTTCACTACGGTAATTCGAATTCTTTGAAAGGAGCTGGTGCACAAGTCTGAAAAATAATGATTTCTAAACTCTTACTCTTAAATGGCAACATGACTTTAATAACTGGCTAGTTGGAGCACTATGGGATCCACAATTTATCATTTATCAGGTTTGTGTATTACAGGGAATATTTAGATACAAGTGTACTTGTGAATTTAAGCAAAATGTAAAATGTTATATGAAGAAAGTAGTGAAGAAATTTAATTTATATTTTTAAATGTAAGATTACTGTATCCTTGTTAAAAGGTGAACTTTAGTTACCATGGTATTTGTACATACTTTAAATTTAAAAATTTAAAATGTCAAATGAAATGAATCAATGGCAACATTGATTTGTGTTTAAAGACTGGAATTGTAGCCTTGAGGGTAAGAACTGTAACAAGTGTATTATGGTTCCAGTTCTCAAACAATAGTTTCCTTTACAAATATGTAGTTTATCATTCTTGTTTATTTAGTCTTAATTATTTTGTGATTTCTTCCTCAGGGACTTTGTCAGGCAGTACGAAAAGAAGCATGGAAATTTCTTCTTGGATATTTTCCTTGGCATAGTACAAGAGAAGAGAGAAAACCTTTACAGAAGAGAAAAACGTGAGTTTCTTTTCAGATAAAATTTAATTGTGATAAGATTCAAGATAAGATGCCCAATATATGAACGTTTTGCCCTCACCTTTGTGATGAGGAAATGGAGTGAATTTTCCACTTTACAAAAAGCTCAAAATGCAAACTTTATTGAATTTCAAAATAAAAATGGATAATACTGAAATCGTGGAGCAAGTCAGTAAAGTTAACTACACCAAAGAAGATATTAGTCAAGTTTGGTCAGTGATCAAGAACTATTTGGCATAGCCTATGCAATAATTAATTTTAAGTTTATTTCTTTTTCACATGTACAGAGATGAGTACTTCAGGATGAAACTACAGTGGAAATCAGTCAGTGAAGAACAAGAACAAAGGAATACAAGATTGAAAGAGTACAAAAGCCTTATAGGTAAATTGATCTATTTTCTATTTAACCCAACTGTCCTTGAATTTTGTATACAGCAGGAAATCTTATCAGAATCCAAAATGTTCAAGCACTTCATAATCTAAAATACATTTACCAAGTCTTCCAATACTCTTCTCCACCCACCGCCCCCAATAGGTGAGTATCCTATTTGAAAGACCAAAGCTCTGGGAACACACTGGATGCCATTTTAACATACAATTTTAAACTTGCTTCTGTCAAACTGTACATTATGCCTTAACTTTAAATATTACATTAACTACTTACATTTATATAGCACCCTTCACATAAGGTGTTGTCTGAGAATTATTTTGTTTTTTTAACTCACTCTGAATACTATTTATTATTGACCATGAAACTTGGCTGAGATCTGCCAAATTACTCCACTTAGAAACCTTCTCTCCAGAGGAAACTTATTTCATCAGTCTGCTAAACTGTAAAAAAAAATCTTTTAACTGGATCGCAGGTCACATTTGTTAAATTATTTTGATGCATCCTCAGTTTAACATTTTCTTTATGTTTCTTCATTTAAGCTACTTTATTTCCTGTTGAAATGTCAATCCATAAATTCATGAGTGCGATAAGAGATTTTGGTTTAGTGCTTTGATGGTTTTAACAGTATGTGGTATCTCACTGTTGATTAAATGTATTTCATCTTGGAGTAGAAAAGTGATATTAGAAGAAAGCTAAAAATTGTGTCTAAAGGCATTGTTTGTTTGAAACTGGTTTGTTTCCATATACAGAAAGTGTGAATTTAAAACGGTCAAAACTTTTTCAATTAACACAGGGAAACTGTTTCGAAACTGATTTTTCTTTTAGAGAAAGATGTAAACAGAACGGATCGAACAAATACATTTTATGAAGGTCAAGACAATCCTGGGTTGATTCTACTGCATGACATATTGATGACGTATTGCATGTACGATTTTGACCTTGGTAAGTGTTTTCATTTCCCAACTAGGCTGATATCAGTTCTTCACAAATACATGTACTTTGTTCTTCTGCACTTTTCATTTTCCCACACATTTTCTTAATCAAATGTCAAAGCTTATTGCATTTTACAAAAATATCTAATATGTTTACAATATCTTTAAGCAACATAAACATTTTTTTAGGCCAGGTGTCTTACACATGAGAAAACCCATCACCATGCTTAAGAGTATCCAAACCAACACGAGTTCCATGCAGCGCATCCATACATGGAAATTTCAGAGATTTTGGGGGGAATTGAATGTGCACTCTCTCCCTGGAGGGACAGATCCTGCTTATCTAAATTTGGAAAGTATTAGGCGCTGATTGGCAAGAGCTAATCTCGCCAGTTAAAACTGTATAGCACTGCCTGGCAACCTTTCCTGCTGTTTACCCAGCTAGGACCACTCAATGCTTTAGGGCTTTGGCTTGCAGGGTTAACGGAAGCTGAGTAGGAAGATGGCTCGATTCTGATATTCCATTGCCAAATGTGTGACCTTGGAGCCAGTTCAGCTCTGCAGAGACCCTGCTTACTGCCCCCCTCCCCCCCGGATAGTCACTATTGGTCATCTATTGACATCCATCAAACATGGCTTTGAGCCCTCACAAAGTGAATTGTAGGTAGGTACCCGAAACTCCCTGCGAACATCGTAAAGGAGGAACATACATATATCACTGTACAAAAAGTTTTTTGCACAGTATATTTACAGTGTTCAATGTATATTTTGATAGGAATTAAAAACAATGTTGTTTATCAACTTATATACTAGTCACTCGCATCACTGGTCATTATCATGCAAGTGAGTCAAAAGATTCAGTTGCAGAGAAGTTTTGTAGGATGAAAACACTAAATGATGAACATTTGCTTTTTTTAAGGGTATGTCCAGGGCATGAGTGACTTGCTTTCTCCTATTTTATACGTTATGGAAAATGAAGTGGATGGCTTTTGGTGCTTTGTGGCCTTTATAGAACAAATGGTAAGAATTAATTAAGCAGGACTGCATTCCTATTTATACAAGCACAATAAAAAAAAATTCCAATGGAGATTACTAACCACTTAGGTTAGACTAGAGAATTTTGCACAATTTAAAAGACCTGAAGAACTTACAATTACAATAAGAAAGCTCTCCTTAGAAGCAGTTGTATCAATATTAGCTTATCACAAGCACTTGTATACTCTTCACGGTAGCCTCTCAGACACAAAGTACAATTTTACAGAGAATGGGTGGATTTGAAAGTTTTGAGCACTTGCATATGAGGTGTTGGGTAATTTCTGTGAGTTATGGAGGAGGGGTACTGATGTCCATCGTTTATTTGTTTGGGATTGACATGTATTTGAGTAACAGTTTTACGTCTTTGGTTTGCTTTCAAACATTTTTAGTTAAATGGAAGTCCACCGTAATTTGATATTGTGGAAGTCTAATTTAGTAGATCGTTAAAAAATAAAAAAGTGATTGGTTGATTAACGTGGATTAACAAATGGTTAGAATGAGATTCCACTTGACTGAAATGTGATCATGTTGTTTTGAGAGCTAGTGGTCAAAATGTCAAAATGTTAAATTATAAATTATTTATTTTCAATCAAACCATAATAATGTCAAGGAAATTTGAGTCCTAATTTGTAATTGATTTTTATTGTAGCATTGTAACTTTGAAGAACAAATGCAAGGCATGAAAACAGAATTAGTCCAGCTGAGCACTTTACTTAAATTACTAGACCTTGGGTTCTGGAATTATCTTGGTAAGTGTTATTTTTAGAAATATAATTGAGATCCTATTCTTGGGTGGCTTTTTTTTGGTAACTTAGAGATAGTGAATAAGTTAACATATTTGGCTAAATGTGCATTTAAATGCTCTTATGACATGTATCCGTGATTATAAGTTAGAGATATTCTGTTAAATTGGATTTGTAATTAATGTGATTATATTGGTCTTCTCCTTGCTTGTGTTTTTGAGGAATGGGTAGTTTTTAATTTCAGAGTTGGAGGGAAGACTGAAATTTCTCAAGTCTATGCACTTAGTGATACGGTATTTGATCCATATTACACTGTTCAACTCTGAACCGGGGGGTGATTTCAGGAAGAGGATGTTGCTATGGAAACAATCTGGTTTGTTTCACAAATGACATAATATACCAACAAGAAGAAATGTGTTTTGTTCGTGAAACAGAAATTCTACCAATTACTCTCAGAGCTTTATTGTGGTGAAGAATGAGGTTGTGGCTAGTGGTTTTTTTTTTGCAAGGCCAATTTCTATAAAATATTACTTATTTTAAAAGTAATCTTTACAATAATAACCAGTGATATCTTGCATTTTTATGTAGGAGATAGTAATGCTCTCAGTTGAGTACTAGCTCCTTTATTCAATCAGCAACCTCCAAAAAATATTTCAACTTATGATACATTGTCTCCCAGCATTTTAATACAATATTGTCTTTTTACTCAAGAAAATCAGTGAGTTTCTTTTGAAGTAAGTCATTGATCACTTTGAGGTGTCTTCCCACATGAAAGGCGTTATTTAAATGTAAATTGTATGTGTTTTATTTGAAAACAAAACATTGAGGAGGAGAGAAATATGGAAAATGGCAAAAAGAAGCTAATTAAAGCAAATTTTAAAAATGCATACTATTTACATTAAAAAAATTCTCTTGAGATGACTGACCTCCTGATTGTGGTGGCTTTACTAAGAATTTGTTGTATTTGAAAACAATACACAGCATGACATTTCTAGAAATTGAGGTTCAGTGGTTTATCTGTTGATCTCAGAAACACTACAGAGATCTAGCGGCCTGCCACCTTATGGCAAGTATAGTTATTTAACTTGTATTAACCTTGTTAAATTGGTCGAGGCTTTTTAAAAAAAATACTTATCCAAAGTCCGCTTGTGTGCCTTTTGCTGGCCTAATTCAACATTAAAGAATTGAAGGAGACTAAAAGATGTACAAAAATCTTCTCTGGTATTAAAGCCCTATGATCCCTTTCTGCAAGAAGTTGCAAGTGGCTGTCTTTCTTGGAAAAGTCAATAGTTTGGTTTAGAATTTTCTACTTTTAAAAAAAAAAATAACTTGGGTCTTATTTGTTTAAAATCAGGTGTTTGAATTGATTCAAATCAAAATTTGCAGAATTTAGATGCTACAGTATGTTATTTCATAACATTCCTGCTGGACGCAACTGCATAATTTTTAAAACCATGTATTATTTTTCTAGAATCACAAGAATCTGGATATCTCTACTTCTGCTTTAGATGGCTTCTGATTCGATTTAAAAGGGAGTTGACCTTTCAAGATACTCTTAGGCTTTGGGAGGTAAGAATCCCTTAATTTATGTTACTATATAATCTGAATGAAGATAGGTTTAGAAAGTTTTTCCCTGCTCTTTCATCTTTTGCCCCCTTCTGCCACAAAACCAATCGAGCAATGCTCGAATGATTCATCCTTCACTTGAATCCTGTATCAGTCACTCTCAGAAAACATTTCTGAGATTTCAGCAGTTCAATAATAAGATTTTGTCCATTGCACAATGTTAATGTTTTTAACGTAAAACATCAAGCACTCTGCATATTGTTATGAATGTGACCTGTCAACCAGCTTTGTAAGCTTAGAGTAATATGTTTTGAATTGTAATGAAATACCTTTCAGAGATATTTTATAGTCAGCTTTGTTCAACTACTTTAACTTGACTAGTAATTCTCAATCTACAGCACTAGATAACGGTATCCAAGTCGTTCACTTTTACATTTTTTTCTATAGCACTCCTTTATCATTCACACGTTTTATGTTACAATTATATAAAGCATAACTTTATATATTTAAATCTATTTGCCATTCTTTTTGAATCCTTCCTTAATTCATTCAGATTTTCATCAGTCTCTTATATTTGTCGCACAGGTTGGTTGCACCAGCCTTCAGTTTCACTAATGTTATTTATTGTTGCGTTTTATCCGTGCTTTACATCTGATCTTCCTATTGCAGAAATGACATAGAGAAAACCAGAATACAGTAGAACAAGTATTTCCACTCTATTTCATGGAGCACCTTAAGAATAAAAGCTGTATATAGAGTACTCATTTTTCTGTGGAACAGGATTTAAATTAGCACATTAATAAAGACGTCGTTAAAAAAAGAGGAAATTGAATTGTGGATAACAGTGGAACAGATAATTTCTCTGTGAGCTTATGCATATTTTTTGCCCTGTTTTCAGGTTTTGTGGACTGGATTGCCTTGCCAGAATTTTCATCTTCTGATATGCTGTGCTATATTAGATTCTGAAAAACAGAAGATAATGGAAAACCATTATGGCTTCAGTGAAATTTTAAAGGTATTGTACATTAAATATCTTTTTGTAAAAGCAACAATGCAGCTATTTTCCAGATCATAACATAAAGTCCTATGGATCAGATTTATTGCAGGATTGTGGATAATCGTTTCTTTGGAATCTAAATTTTAAGGATTATAACTGAGAGTTTTCATTATTCCTTAGCACATCAATGAACTTTCCTTGAAACTGGATGTAGAAGAAATGCTTTGTAAAGCAGAGGCAATTTACTGCCAAATGATGAAGTGTAAGGTAAAGTGGTATACTTCCATGTATTTATCTACAGTACCACAGTAACTTGTTAATAGATTAAGTGATGCATTTATTCTCATCACATTGGGACATTTTTAAAATGCACTTTTCATAATCTTTCATTTGTTTTCCTTTGCATATCAACAGTAATGAAATTAGTATAACTCATGTTTTTTAGCTTTTAAAATGCAAAGAATATCATTAGAATTTTATCTAACACCTTCAAGTGCCCTTGTTCTGGTTCCACTTTTTCTGTTATTGCAGTCAGTTGTATTTGTACTGCGGCACCAAGTACTGCAGTGATATTTATTGGCTTCTGGGTAATAAAAATGATTCTGCTGGATTACAGTAAAACCTACATTCTGCTTTGTGATAAATTCCAGTTTTAAAGCTGTAATAAATTGAGGTATTTCTCTTGTTACCAGTCACGTGTCTGACCTCTGTGACTGCCAGTTGCCAATGACTCCTTGTGGAGTCCTGTAGCTCAGTGGTTAGAGCACTCGCTTTGCAAGTGAGAGACCTGAGTTCAATTCCAGGCAGGGCGAAACCTTGGGCAAGTTTCCTTACTCCACACGCCTAATAATAATCCCTCCAAAACCAAAAACAATAATAAATTGGTCATTTTCAATCTACGACTGTTTGTGGGACATTGATGTGCGCAATTGGCTGCCGCGTTTGTCCACAAATATACAGTCAATTCACTTTACAGTGTGTTCTGTGAAGCGCTTTGGGACGTCCTCCCGACGTGAAAAGCGCTATATCAAATGCAAGGTTTATTATTATTATTATGACATTGAATAATAGGAATACTGCCAAAGGCTCTAGATTGTCAAATGGATTATAAAATCTTCACTGTACAAAAAGATTGTGTGGTGAGGTTTGCAAATTCAATGTAAATCTTGGATACCTAATTTTATGCACTAGATATGGAATGTCTGCATGTATCCTGGATTTTGTTTTCATTGATATAGTGATAATTGATAGGCCTTTTGCAAAGTTCTCAAGTTATTCTGCTTGTTCTCTTCCCACTTCAATTGAAGTGCAGAAGATTTGGGAAAGAACTGAATGAATTGATACTCTTGTGTATATTCTTGTGCTCTTAAAATTCTGCTTAGAAAAAATTGTGAATAAATAATGGAGCAGATAATAATATATGGACCATGTGAGATATGAAGCAAAATGTCTTGAAGTTAAAGTTGCCTTCCTTACCAGATGAAGGTATTTTATCAAGCCATTGCTTGTGTTATTTAGGAGTTGCCACGAGCTGTTGGTGATATCCTGGGCTTGAAGGACAGCACTAATGGAACTTCTGACTGTGAGGCCACTACATCTGAGAGAGCCTTTACGGAAGAATCTTGTAAGATAACACAAATGGACAACTCAGCTACTGCCTTTACACACAGAAATGAAGACTCAACGGGACACAGAGACCCTCCTCAAAATGGCCATGCAATGACACATATATAGTGAAAATAAACATACAACTGTGGAAACCCAGAAAAGATCTTCATCATTTATTTAATTTTTTTTGAAGCCCTGGCAGGTGATAGATCAGTGTTGGGAATAATGAGTGGATTTGATTTATCGAGTTGATTTTGAGGGGGTTGATAAAACATGAAATATATCTGCTGTAATTCTGAATTTAAAATGTAAAACAAAATTGAATAATTGGAAAATATGCATTTTCTAATTATTATATACATTTTCTAATTACTTATACCATAATGGCCTTCATTTGGAAAAGCATTTCTCAAACCTTTTCAACTCAAGCATTTGCCTGAATGTTGAACAGCTAAGAGATTATTTATTAATTAATATGAAGACAAAATTTGTTTAATTCTTACCCTGTTCAATTAGTGTTTCCCTTTTAGAGGCCCTGATTACCATATTTCTTATTTATTTCTCAGACATTATCAGTGTTTCATTATTATAAATAAATGGTGAAAATTGTGGGGGATTTGTTGTAGTTAACCTAAACATATGTCTATTATCTATTCATTGGAGAAATCTGAATAACAACTAGTATTTGATCACTTTCTGCAGTTTTATTGGTTTCTGAGAAGAAAACCTGGATGGTGCATCATTTTAGATGAATATTTTGCTAATGTTTAAAATATTTTTTGGAAAAACTTTCCCTGCTATAATTTAAGAGGAAATTGTAATATTTGAGAGCTTGTTACATTTTGGTATTCACTTTTCTGGCAATTTGAATAAAGTTGATTGCCACTATTTACTGAAACACTATAAGGAAGTGTTGCAAAGAAAGTTTCAACAACTCAATTAATATCAATCTAAAAAGTGATCCAAAAGGACAGGGAAGAGAAGACGTACAGATTTTGTTGTGATGCATTATTATTCACAGTATTAACTGAATAATGTTTACCATGATTAAGAAATTACTTATTAAAATTACTGCCTGCAGACATCCTTGTTTTGCCATTTTCACAAAACTTCATAAAGCAAATTCATAATCCAAAGTGGAGTACAGGGCTCCAAAATCCTAATTCATCCTTTTTTCCAAATAAGGTTCTTAATGGAGCCAAGATTGCAAGAAATGATCATTAAGCTTCTTGATTTGTCTTTACTGCAATGCTTGGTGAATTAAACCCCTTTTTAATAACAGAAATGAAGCAAAAAAAGTCTTTGAATAATGTTTATCAGCTGAGAGCACTTGTTGAAAATATTTTTAATAATTTTCATTTTCAATCCATGTTTGCATCTATGGTATGGAGCATGTTCAACAAATGTATAACCTGATTTATCTCATGATTTTTACCTTATATTGGGAATGTACAGTTGGCAAAATTTCTAACTATTGTAAAAAGGCTGAAATTTTGTATTCTGATAACTTGTACAAAAGTAAATATATAACTATTCTCTCTCATATTCTGTGTGTCTTCACAGGGGAGCTTTTTTGGGGAGCTCAATATGGTATTAGTGAAAAATATTTCCATGCATTCACTACTGTTGGCTGCAGTATAAAAACATGGAAAATAAAACTGGTAAAGGCTCTGAGCCCCACGAAAGTCCCCAAAGAATTCCTTCTTCCAGCCAATATTGTAACTACACTGCCCTCTTGGACAATCCTTTCCAAGTGGGCTGTAATGTAATATAATAATAAACCTTGCCTTTGATATGGCACCTCATCACGTCATTGAGACATCTCAAAGCGCTTCACAGAATATCCTGTAAAGTGAATTGACTATATTTTGTGACCAAAACGCAGCAGCCAATTCCACACAGCAGTGTCCTACAAACAGTTGTGGATTGAAGTGACCAATTTTTGAACCCTTCTCAAGCTTGCTGATCTTAATGGTTTGTTTTGAACATTTCCAAAGAAATAATAATAATAATAATAATCCTTGCATTTGATATAGCGCTTTTCACGTCGGGAGGACGTCCCAAAGCGCTTCACAGAATAGACTGTAAAGTGAATTGACTGTATATTTGTGGGCGAACGCGGCAGCCAATTGCGCACAGCAATGTCCCACAAACAGTCGTAGATTGAAAATGACCAATTTATTATTGTTTTTGTTTTGGAGGGATTATTATTAGGCATGTGGAGTAAGGAAACTTGCCCAAGGTTTCGCCCTCTGCCTGGAATTGAACTCAGGTCTCTCACTTGCAAAGCGAGTGCTCTAACCACTGAGCTACAGGACTCCACAATATTAACAAAGGGTGAAATAAAAATGGAAGGGGATGTAAATCGACAATCAGCATCTGAAAAAAAAAAGATACTTCTTGACATTTTGGCTCACATGGATTTTTCATGTCGATCTTGGTTTAAACCTGCTGTGGATTTCCAGTGTGTCCAAATTTTAGTTCAGGTCCCTCTATTCCCAGCTTTCCTTTTTATTTTAACAAAACCTGAATTTCATTTGCTCAGTCAGTCTGTTGCCCCCTGACAATATAAGAATATTTTAGTTAAAATCACTCTTAGAGTAAATTATGCTGATTTGGGCAAAGCAGGCCTGGAGTGTGCCTCTGGTGCTTTTTAATGCAGATCATAATCTGCTCTAAGAAAGGTCATTCATCATTTAATTGCATCAGTCCACTTAAACATCAATTCCCTTTGTGCGCACAACTTGGTAACAAATAGGAAGGATGTTGACAAAAGGTTCAGTTCACAAGATACTGAGGGGTTTAGTTGAAGGCCCTTCAGCCCATTTGAACACAACCTACTATCCTGTCACAGCATCAGACTGATTTCTAAGTGATTCCTGTCCTCAACAACCCTTCCTGGTAAGCAGGCCCAGTCGTTAATTACCCTCGGTAAAGAAATATTTCATGGTATCTCTCCTGAAGTCATCTTTTGCAATCCGTAACGTATTGCCTCCTTTGCTGTCAATCCTCTCAACTGCAGGAAATTTTTTTTTAAACAATGTAGCTTTACTGATATGGAAACTTGACCATTGGGCCTTGTGGATTTTTTTTGGCTAACAACAGGTTTTAAAAGAGATGTTTTAGGGAAGGTTACAATGGCAGAGAAAGAAGACAGCAAGGCTAAGTAGTTTTGGAAGAGTTCCAGAGTGGCAAGGGCATGAAGACTGATTGTATACCAAAGGGAATGGACAACATATCTGTCAGAAGATCAATGAGTGTGGGCTGCATTCTTGGCCTGGAAAAGATTGCATAGATACAGTTGGGTGAGATTATGGAAGGATTTGAAGAACCAGAATCTTATAGTTGACCTGCTGAGGTACTCATGGGGTAACTACTGAAGTTCCCAGCTTTGTGCCTCATTCCTTATTAACCAACTGGGTGATATTTTCTATCCTGTACTTATATAATTCCTGTTTCATAGGTTCCTAAAAAATCTAGCAGAGCTTTAGTGTATGTTTTAATGAGTTCTATAAAATGTTAGAGATTCCTGTGCCCAAACGTATGTAGCTTTAATTTATTGGGACTGATGAAAAGTTAATTTGATGCTGTATCGTGGTTTAATCCTCATGGACCATTAGAATAGTTCTTACCAATTTTCCCCAATTAAATTCTCATTGTTTTGGGATGAAATTCAATTGGTTTAAAAAGCAATTTTCACCAAATTTTCATTTTTAAAAACAAATTTGCTAACTTTAGTTGACTTCCATGATGGTGCAGTCACTACCGAAATATCTTGTTGTGATTTTTGCCCTTGGCATTATATCACAATGTACTCCACGCACAGGTGAGTGAATTCTGTAAATGCACCATTTTTATCTCCTTTTATTTTATGTCCAAAACCCTACTTTAATATTGCTTACTAATCCTCTAAAATGTATACTCATGTTTTAAAGGAACTAGCTGGTGATTCATCCTCTGCCCACTGCCTTAGACATTTCTCTAAATTTCTCGCTATTTCCTGTTGGGAGTAACTCTGTCGACTGCCTATCCAATGGGCTGTTAACTCTTCCAATGTTTATTTTTGTTATTCTCAACTAACTTTTGTATGACTCCCAGTTCTTAGCTGTTTTTTTCCTGTATGTTCTAAAATATGTTCTGTCTGGCCTCTAGGTTGTTTTGACCTCCTTCATCTATTATTCTCTGGATCTTTCAGTTTTCAGTAAAATGTCAGGAAAGATAAGACCCATTTAACAGGAACCACAAAGGAAATTTTACTGGGAACTGAAAGATCCAACTTGATGATTGGTTCACTGAATGGATGTGTACGATGAGAAAAAACAAATACAAAAAAAGAAAAGCTTGAGTTAAAGCATCTTTCGCTTGCCTTTTCAAATACGATGAGGATGTTAGTTCTTGATTGACTACCCTTTCTTAGCCTGGGAGGATGTGGACACTGATTATAAATAGATTCAATTTTTATGCGTTCATTTTTGTCTGATGAGTAAAAACATCATATGGTCTTGAGAGTTCATACTCCATGATGGGTTATTCATGGTATATTTATACTATAGTTGCCATTAATAATAATAGATGTATTCGCAAATTTATTAAAGGCACAGAAAATCTTTTTTTTTACACACCCCATGCTGCACTGACAATTTCCTTCAGGGATGTTGAGCAGAGCGTTAGTGTTCTTTTAGCATTTAATTTCCTGTTGCTCAGGAAATTACCACAACCCTATCGTGATAATCTTTCTTTGTTTGTGCCTCACATTTTTTTCTGCGGTGTTGTTTGCTGAAATGTGTCCTTTCTCCAAGGTGCTTATCTCATTAGTTTGAAGATTTAGTGCTTGTATTGTGGAAAAAAGTTTTATTGAAATCCTGCAGCACCTAGAGCCCTGATATTCTGCTAAATTATTTGCATTTTGTCTCAATAGAAACTGTACTTCTGATTATGTAAACATCAGTGACTCAAAGTTAATATTTCATACATTAAAATGGTGCAAAATAGTAAGTCTAAGGCAATTTAAGTCCTTTTGGTATGTAATATATATTTGATTATATATGTTTATAATAAACTCATAATTTTAATTATAACTCATAGGCCAAAATACTGACAAATTTACTTTCAAAATCATCCTGATGTCAAAGAATTCAACACTCTTAATTTTTAATGAACACGAGGGCTGAATTATGATTGTAATCTACTGAGAGTAGAAATATGTCACATTTATTTATGATTTTAAGACAATCGTTTTTTTAAAGACGGTCATTTCTATGCATTGGTAACAAGGTAAAACTATGCACTGGAAATAAGCTTGAACTAGGATCACCCAACTGGCATTGAAATCCTTTTTCACACATTCTGCTCACTAAAGCAAACCTTTACTTAGATATACAGTACTCCAATGAATGTTTTCCTCACATCTATCTGATTTTGAAATGTATCAATAAACTGCTCTTGTCCTGCGTCATAGAGTTGGTGAAATCGCTCCTGCTAGAGACCAAAGCTGGTGATATGTATCCTTTCATTTCCTCTCCAAAGTATTGACGTTCAATTCAAATCTGATGCTAAGATTTTATCAATTTTTATTGTCCACAATACCTAGATATGTAACAAGAAAGATTTGCATACAATGTATTGGAATATTTTTCTCTTCATATCTGAACCTCAGTTTCTACTAAAATATTCTTTTGGTTTGAATATTTTTGCATTTTAAAAAAGTATTGACATTTTTAGTGGTAAGTTGGTTTTGTGATTATCACTCAGCAGATTTCTGAAAGACACTATATCACATGCAAGGATTATTTGAAATAATTTTAGAAGGGAAATTGACCAGAGCTTGAAGTCCAGGTGCATTACTTGAACAAAACACAAGTTAATATAGTTTTGTTTAAGTCTATCCAATACTACACCTGTCATTGGAGTACCCAGAAAGTGTTCCATTCCCACCTCAGGCAAATCTTACAACACAACAATTCAGAAGGAAAGTAGTATTTTCAATTTTTCTACCACTTTATTGATTTATATTTTGATGATTTGTGTAGAAGGAGCAAATGTCAATATAATACAAATTTGCATTTATAAAGTGCCTTTCACATCGGGAGGATGTCCCAAGATGTTTGAAAGTCCTGGCTTGGCACCCAATCTGAGGGTGGGAGCCAAGGGAAGTAGAGAGGGGAAAAATAACTGAAAGTACGGTCAAACTAATACAGTGGAGGAATTACAATATCCTGGGGATAAATTAAACAGCCACTTCAGTCTGTTTTGATGTTGAAGTCAGGAGCGCAATGAAACATACACTACTTCTTGCGGTAAAGCCACAACAACCCTTAAGAAGCTTAACATAATTCAGGAGAAAGCAATTTACTTGACTGGCATGCTAATCATCATACAACGCCCCCTCTCACCAACACACTACAACTGCAGTGTGTACTTATTACAGAATGCACTGCAGCAAACTCACCAACCGTGCTTCAACACTGGTGATATCACTTTAAGAATTAAGGACAAGTACAAAAGAGACAAGAAGTGTAAAAAGGACACTGGGAAAAGAAATAAGTTGGTGTAGTTGTGGTTGTCAGGTTGGGGTGTTTGAGTTGAGATCCAACAAACTGAATAGTACACCTGTGCTTTGGAGTACAACTTCCTAGAAACAGCATTTCCCAGTTCTGTGATTTTCACTGATGCAAGAATATGAGCAGCACCATCAATACCTATTCAAATGACAATAAAAAAATGCTACTTTAAGACAGGAATAAAGTTCGACTCGAAAAGGTGTAACATTGGGCACGCGGACTGCACTGCTGATTGTCAGTCATATTGACAGACAGGTTGATTAGATGCAGTTTTCCCTTTCACTGTAAATCTTCATGCTGGTGTTGTAAGGATATCATTTAACTAGCCATTGATCATCAAACTCTGGGATTTTGGCACCCTTTCCAAACACATAGAAAGGATTAAAAGATTTTTTTTCAAATCAATGTGCTGAAGAGATAGGTGTTCCTTTGAATACATTACAGTAAAGTTCATTGTAAAAATGAGTCATAATAGATTGCGATCTCTCTAATGAAATGAGAGGGTAACAGAATAGGTATCTATTCGCATTTGGGTTAGATACTTAAACCTTTGTGTAAATTTCTTTTCTGCTGCTCTTCAAGAAGTTGCTGCTTGGCAAAAGGGCGACACGGAAATGAAATATTTTGTTCTTTTGATGTATTACAGTTTATTTTTTTGTGTGTGGGAGCGGATAAGGTGAAGCTTGAATTAAAACAGTTTGTTTGAAAATGCAGTACATGCTTGGCTAAGTCAGTCAATCTTCACGAGGTTGTAGGTTTCCTAAAGCCACATTGAAATGAATTAGGATGAACCTTAAACCGAAAACATGCAGAGTCTTGTAAATTTTTTGGTTTATTCACTTATTTTATTACAACCTGAAACACAAAACTAACTTCTTTCAGCATTCATCTCGTGAATCAAATCACTTTTTTAAAAAAACTTATCCCTGCCATAATAAGGCATAATATGGTAAACTGGTGTCTGTTCAAATAAAATTATGAATTTGCATTCTTTCAATACAAATCTAAAGCCAAGATTTCAATATATTTGAAGGATTTATTTAGTCAGATTTCCTTGCAGATTTGATGCAAATGCTCCAAAACATCTGTGTATTGAATTCCCATCAGACACAGGAGACAGCAAAAGTCCAACACTGAAATTGATAGAACTTTTTTTTATTGCTCTGTACAAAGCAAGCTGATGGATGGCATAACAATTTTCTTATGTTCACAATTCTTGTGGAGGAAGAGATCAACTTGGTGAGGATAATCCATTTCCGTGATGACAGGGATGCAGAGATGCAATGCGTGACTTTTATCAATCCATCTAAAATGGAGCGTATTTAAACAGCTGCAGCTCCTAGGAGAGAACATCAGTCGCCTTGACTGGTGCTGCAGTTATTGAAGAGCAAAGCCCTCTCTCTTTCTAACCTTCAAGATCTTTTACCCCTTTTACGTCGCCAAAATGATGCTGATTGGAAGTAAATACTACGCAAAGAGAGGAAGATCTCTGGACTCTGCCTTACTGGATGACCAGGTGAGTGGACAACCGAGGTTGACTAAAGTCCAGCATAATGTTAACAAATTGTATCAATTGTTTAAATGAAATTGGATAATAAGAGAAGTGACAACATGCAACTTTATTCCTATTTGGGGCACAATTGCACTGCACTGTCTGATGAATACTGTACTTTGTAAATTTAGGGATGGCACCGTTTACAGTAAATCAGTGCTAGTTATAGGTTTCTGGGGTTTTAGTTTCTTCTCACTTAATTCTTTTGAGGATTAACCAAATAAGTGTAAAATAACCCACGTTGAGAGTTTTACAGTGTAATGTTCACATTTCTAAAAAGCCAGCTTGTTGATTATATCTGTCATCAAAAGGTTTTCACTGAAACTTTGCAAAATTGACCTGTAATAGTTGGGAGTAACTTTCTCCCACTGAGAAAATTACAATATGTTTACCAATGGGTGCATATGTGTGTGTTAGAAATTGAATTATGAACGGTGATATGCAGTAATAACTTATGAAAAGTGTTATTATGGAGTGAAGCGAGAGAAGGATTTTTGGTTCATAATAGTAATAAAATAATAATATTGGTCATAATAATTTATGAGTTTATTATAGATTATTCACATTATTGGAAATGCCATTCATCACATTTGAACTCCCCAAAGAGAGAATTTGAACAAGAAGTAAATATGCTTTTTGTATACTGTACATGACTCAAGTGCATAAAAAGGTAAACAATTGCAGTCATTGATTCAAGGAGCTCTACCAAAACAGAGGCTATTGGAAAGAACTGAGATTTTAGAAAATATGACATTGGCTTGCAAGTGACAATGCAAGTGATCATCATAGAATCATAGAATTATACAGCACAGAAGGAGGCTATTTGGCCCATTGTGTCTGTGCGGGCTCTTTGAAAAGAGTTATTCAATCCCACTCCCCAGCTGTCTCCCCATAGCCCTGCAAACTTGTCCTCCCCAAATAATTATACGTTTTGATCAAAGTAAACACATAAACAAGTAAACAAGTTCAGAGCTCTGCCTGTGTATGCAGCAGGATGGAGTATAACTAGATACTGCCAGCTCGATTGGTACCTGGCCCTACACTGGGACATCATTGATATTATTAATAGTTTACATGGGGTAAAGTAACTTGATTTGATTTGCAATCAACCATTATTGAGATGCATACCAGCCTCCGTTCAGCCTTCTCGATCCTGCCTTTGTTTTGACTTGGGTATAACAACAACAACAACAAGATTCCATTTATTGAGCGCCTTTCACGTCGGGAGGACGTCCCAAGGCGCTGTACAGTTGGGTCAGGACCTGAGCATTGGGGGAAATGGTCAGGGTGAGGGGAGGGAAGGGAGGGAGCGAGGAGGGGGTAGAGAGTCGAGAGGAGAGCTGAAGGCACGGTCAAAGAGAAAGGTCTTGAGACCGGCCTTGAAGGAGGAAAGGGAGGAGGCAAGGCGAAGGCACTGGGGGATAGAGATATAAGTTCAATAGTCACACTCAAGCTCTTTTCATCTCCTACCTTCGACATCTTTTGTGCACAGTATTCATATTTCCTGGAACATTGTGCAAAAGCATGCATTTTTTAAAATCAAAAGACATCTGTCATCCCTCAACACACCCACTCAATTTAGATAGATCTCTTTGAATGCTATCAGTACACCAGTCACCTGGTCACACAGTTTGACATCTTCAGAAAAAATTGTTGCAGGAAGTTCACCCCCTCATTCCATTTAAAAATAGTTTGAACAGCAGACAAACCTTTCAGAAATCATCCCATTTTTGCTTCCCAAGAGATTTTTCCATTTATGATTAGCTTCTGTTTTCTATGAGAACATCCATTTTCAAACTAGTTCACAACATCAAAAGATTGGTTAGAACGAAGAAGGCACTTCAGCCAATTTGATCTCATCTTTTCAGAATATCCACCATACCATTTTTCCCATCACACCATGAAGCTATTTTTTTAGATGAGTTTAGCATCTCAGTCTTTACGAACATTCCTGACAATCTGTTCCAGTCGTGAATACCTCTGGGTAAAGAAATATTTTGAAGAGTTTGCCAGTAATGCTGTGAGCTTCAGACTTCCTTACAAGCCTCACATAGCAGAGCTTTATCAAAGATCTTCTAAAAATCCAATTAGTTGGATGCGTATCCTCTGCTTATTGCTTCCTCAAAACGTGTAGCTGATTTGAGAAGCAGGACTTTGTCCATGTTGGTTCCTCTGTGTGGTGTCTTTATTTAGTAGACAATCAGGCTACAATAAAATGCCCCCAATCATTTACTACCAATAATTTGAAGCCTGTTTGTAATTGTTGTTCCATACCTCACTCATTTAAATGTGGTATTATATTCATAATGTTAGTAATAGAGCAAGTCACACTAGATGTGAAATAATGGGTGTGTTTGTTAATCCTGAGTCAGATAGATAGAGACAAATGAGAAAACATTAGATAGCAACAAAAACAACTTGCATTTATATAGCGCCCTTCATGGAGGGTAGCATCCCGGAGCGCTTGACAGTGGCGAAGTCTGACCCTAAGCCAGGGAGAGAGGGAGGGGGGAGATGACCGAATAGATATAAACAAATATGTTTTGGGAAATTATATATAGATTTTTTTTAAAGCAGGACATTTCCTTTTATTCATCTAGCTACTCATCCAATCTCTCGTTTCTCAACATTTTCTTTTTAAAATAGATAAGTATATTATGACATAACTTTGCTGGCATTTTCAGACAAGCTGGAATAAAACTACTAAATATCTGGAGTTTATTCATTTGCTTCTGAGTTCATTCACAAATATATTGCAGTTAAATGTGTGGATTGTATTTTAAAGAGGCCTCTAAAATACTCTTATCACTACACTTTATACATTACACGGATAACACCCAACTCTATCTCTCTGCCTCCACCCTTGAGTCCAGGACCACTGCTGTCCCGACAGAATGTCTGTCAGACATCAAGTCCTGGATGAGAGCTAACTTTCTATATTTGAATGTCAACAAGATCAAGGCCCTCCTGATTGTCTCCTGTCAGCGCCTCCACACCTGCTCAGGTGCTGACAGCATTGCCATCCAAGGATGCACACTCCACCTCACTGAGCCAGTCTGGAACCTTGGTGTCTTGTTTGACCCGCAACTATCCTTTCTACCCCACACCCATGCCATGACCCTCTCTGCCTTCCCCCACCTCCACAACATTGCTCGGTTCCACCGTCTCACACCGCAGGCCACTGATACCCTCATACACGCATTCATAACATCCAGGCTTGACTATGCAAACTCCCTACTTGCCGGCCTCCCCAGCTATTCCCTCCATAGGCTGCAGATCTCTGGAACTCCATCCTGCAGTCCTTCCACCTCACCCCATCCCTTGCCTCCTTCAAGACCCATCGCAAGATCGTCCTCTTCGACCGTGCCTTCGATCACCTTCCTGCCCCCACTGCCCTCCACCCTTATTTACAATATAATTGATTGCTGCCTCAGACAGAGAGATGACAAGGAGAAGATCCAAATTTAATCCTCTGATTCCCGTCAATTTTTTGCAGGTGATGAAAGCATATTCCAGCAAATGTGAAGAGAAGAAAGTCAACAAGGAAAACTGCAGGAGTGAGACCTTCAGCGAAGGTGCAAGGACAACAATTGTGTTTGCCTTGAAGAATGAAGTTGGTGGACTAGTCAGAGCCCTCAAAATATTTCAAGTACGTATATCACTAACTCAGCTCTTCATACTATTTAGAAACTACAGACAAATGTTTTGCAGTATTGCAATTTGTGCCGCTGAAAGCAAAATTTTGTAACTAAGTGACAATAGCAACCAAGGGGATCTTTCAAATCTTTGCAGATTTCCACCCATCATAAGATACTTATGTCATAAATTTGAAGATTGTTTCAATACACAAATAAGAGTATGATTTTAAAGATAAAGCTTTAAACTGCTGTTGTTTCATTCCTACCAAAAGAGTTGGTGGATTATGCCTTTGATAAAAAGTTACCTTTTCAATTAAACTGTGTTTTCATCAGGAGAAAAATATCAATCTAGTTCATATAGAGTCCAGAAAGTCAAGGAAGAGGGATTCAGAAATTGAGATATTTGTGGACTGTATCAGCACAAAAGAAGAGTTCAGTGAACTCATCCAGTTGCTGAAGGCCCAGACAACCGTCATCTCCCTGAAACCACCAGTCTGCAGCTCGATAGAGGAGGAAGGTAAGGGCTCCTGCAGCAATGTACATAAAACTGATATGAATTCTTATGTTGGTCAGAAATAATAATAATAATCCTCGCAATTGATATAGCGCCTTGTCACCTTTTAGAGACGTCTCAAACCACTTCACAGAATATACTGTAAAGTGAATTGACTGTATACTTTGTGGGCAAAATGGACCAGCCAATTGTGTACAGCAGTGTCCCACAAACAGTCATGGATTGAAGTGACCAATTTTTTTTTGAAGGAATAATTACCCCTGGAAATGCGATCCCCCAACATACAGGTTCCTACTTACTTCTAGGTAAACAGAGGCATATGGAATAAGGCAACATGCCCAACATTTTGTCCTGCCATGAATTGAACCCAGGTCTCTTGCTTGTGAGGCGAGTGTCCTAACCACTAAGCAACAGGAGTCCACATATAATAGATAACACAAAAACTACAATCATGTCAATGTCAGTCATGATCAATCAGAACTTCACACTGTTGCATTTATGTTACTCATTGCAGTCATGTGTCTGTAATAAGCAAGAAGATATTATGCCTAATGTAATTGAAGGTAATAAAAATGGGTTGCAAAATTCCAAAATTCAAAGACTGTAGCTCGAGATGCAAGCAATAGCTGCAATAGGATTATTTCAAGGTTATTGGTTTGTGTAAAAACAAGTGAGTTTTACCAAAGATAATAGAAATGATAAAACTTCCCACGTTATCATCATAGCAAAAACAGCATCTTTTCATTTTGGTCAAAATCTATTTATTTTCCACGTTGAGCGGAAGTTCAATTGTATTTATAACTTGTCTCGTGTGCCACTATTTATTGGTACAATGACAGTGGAGTTCTGTAGCTGAGTGGTTAGAGCACTCGCCTTGCAAGCGAGACACCTGGGTTCAATTCCAGGCAGGGCGAAACCTTGGGCAAGTTTCCTTACTCCAAACGCCTGATAATAATCCCTCCAAAAAACGAAACAATAATAAATCGGTCATTTTCAATCCACGACTGTTTGTGGGACACTGCTGTGTGCAATTGGCTGCCACGTTTCGCCTACAAATATACAGCATACATATTCTGTGAAGCGCTTTGAGACGTCTAGAAGACATGAAAAGAGCTATATCAAATGCAAGGATTATTATTATTTATTTCACCTAGTGGGGGTAAGAAATGATCCTAAATCTATTTTCTCACACGATATATAAAATTCGAATGTTAGCTGACCTTGGGATTCCCAGAAATATACCCAACATCAGAACAGCCATATATATATATGTCTAATTTACATAAGGATTTTCTTTTGAACTTCAGTCACTTTTCACAGGGGAATAAAGATATTCTTAGGGGAATTTCGTAATTCAATAATAACTTATTTCTAATGGTTCTTTTGAAATGCACTGGCAGTTCATCTCTTTTATTTCTGTCAATGTATTGTGTAGGACCTGATGGTGTTCCCTGGTTTCCTAGAAAGATTGCTGAATTAGATAAAACTTCCCGGAGAGTCTTGATGTATGGCTCAGAATTGGATGCAGATCACCCAGTGAGTGACTCTTCAATTTAACAAAGGAAATATTGTCTAAGGTGCCAGCAGATAACAGCACTCCTCTCTGACACTGGTGTCACTTGGTCAGATCCAGGTTCAAATACAATCCTTAGTCAAACACCGCAGAAGACTTTCTTTGTTCCCTTTTGCAGAGAGAATGCATGGGTTATTGTTCTATAAATGCTAGATATTACAAGAACTTGCATTTATACAGAGCTCCTCATGTCGGGTAACATCTTGGAGATGTTCACAGCAATGGGGTTGATCACCATTTAGTGAGATAAGAAATGATCCAACCATATTTTTCTATATTTTCACAATATAAAATCCAAATGTTAGGTGACCTTGGGATTCCCAGAAATATACCCAAAACCAATACAAGGGGGAGAGAGAGAGAGGGGTAGCAATAGGTATATTCAAAGAGGTAGGATTTTGGGGGGGATTAAGAGGTGGAAAGAGAGATGGTGAGAAGGATTGGAAGAGGGAAGGAGTTCCAGAGTTTAGGGTTGGAGAAACCAAAGTCTTAGTCACTGATGGGAGTGCAGAGCGGGCTGGGGGGCTCAGCCAAGACTAAGTTAGTTTAGAACATTTATTGTTATAAATGAACAAAATGTTTAGCTGATGTGCAAACAGAATTTTTAACATTGCATTTTTAGAATCTGAGATAGTTCATCAGTTTGGTGCTTTAAATAAATTGACATTGCACAATGGATGTAATGAGACTGTACTCTGATGCATGAAAAATATAGAGTATCAGTTATTTCATCATTGCAATTCTGAACATCTGGCTTCTTCCCTCAGTGAATATAATTATTTCATGAAACAGTTACAATTTATTCATGTAACATTATAAATTCCTAATTTCTGTTGTTTTCATTTGGGTTTTATTGTACTCTGCTGGTAGCAAAGCATGTAATCCACTTCAGTGAATTGCTTTAATCTCTGTTTATTTGTAGGGCTTTAAGGACAATGTCTACAGAAGGAGAAGAAAGTATTTTGTGGATGTTGCAATGAATTACAAGTAGTAAGTAACAAAAACATTTTCTAATTTTTTTAATAAAATCTAGGATCTACCATTGTCATTAACATTATTCAGTGAGTAGCTACAGAGTACGGAGGGCCTAAGTTCAGTCTCTGTATTTTACTGACTCGGTCAGTAAGGGAACTGCGCTCCCACAGCTCATAAGTGATGAATAAGAATTTGATATAACGTCAAAGCTTTTTGCAGGGAATTATCATCAAATACAGTGACTGTTTTTTATAAGCATGAAGGCAGCCAGTTTGCTCACAGTAAGGTCCCACAAATAGCCATGAGTAAATGACCAATTTACCTGGATTGTTGGCCTAGACATTGGGAAAAACTTTCTTCTCTTTTCGAATAGTGTCATCAGATCATTAATGTCCATCTGAATAGGCAGACAGGATCTTGTTTTAACAACTCATTCAATGTATAGTACCGCTGATAATGCAGCACTCCCCCAGCAATGCACCAAGTCAGCCTAGACTATGAGCTCAAGTCCTCCTGTGGAGCTTGGACCCACAGGCTTCTTACGCAGAGGCGAGAGTTCTACCAACTGAGCTACTCTGATACAAAATGGGGGTGAAGTGGCAATATCAATGTAAAATACTGGATTAATAACAAAGAAACAAAGCTTAGTCACAATAACCAGCTGATAGAAATCAGGTGATGTCATGCCAATTCATAAAGCATGATGTTTCAACTGATAAAGCAATCTTTCCCTTTACTGCCATCCAGTGGTCAGCCCATTCCTAGAGTGGAATACATAGAAGAAGAAATTAAGACCTGGGGCACAGTATTCAGAGAACTGACAAAACTTTACCCAACTCATGCTTGCCAGGAGTACCTTAAGAATTTCCCTCTTCTAACGAAATATTGTGGCTACAGAGAGGATAATATCCCACAGCTGGAAGATGTTTCTGTATTTTTGAAAGGTATGGGTGACTGAATTTGAACGTCTTTCAGGGCATGCTAATACTTTTGTTTCCCTTTATTTTGGGGTTGAGTTTAAGCAAAGCTATATTTTTTCCATGTTTCAGATCGATCAGGCTTTACAGTAAGACCAGTGGCTGGATACCTGTCTCCAAGAGACTTTTTAGCAGGATTAGCTTTTCGAGTTTTCCACTGCACTCAATATGTACGGCACAGCTCAGATCCCTTTTACACACCAGAACCGTGAGTTCCTGATTATCATGGAATCCAAGCCATGTTGGTGCTGTTCAGATACATTCAATCAATATCTGATAGAGCATTCATGTTTTTCTAAGAAACTTTATTATGAATTTTCATTTGAATAACAGTCTAAAGCAATAGTTGAGTTATTCCTGTCAGAATTAATCTTTAAAACTGTTTCGGAATTAAATATTGTGGGTTGCTATGTATCGGTGCACAATATAACCCTTTTCCCAATACATCCCTCTCAGAGACACTTGCCATGAACTGCTGGGACATGTACCACTCCTGGCAGATCCAAAATTTGCACAGTTTTCACAAGAACTAGGTCTTGCCTCTCTTGCTGCATCCAACGAAGATGTTCACAAGTTAGCCACTGTAAGTCAGCTCTTATTTAATATCATCACTCACAAATTTGAATGAGCTACTTTATACAGTATTCATATGTGATACTCTTTTGATGAAAAAGCCAGTTGATAACAATGGCTGCAGGAATGAAACTCCCCTGTGTCCCACTCCGACTCAATGGTTGGGTCTGCAGCCACCAGAGCTCACAATTACACTTGCAGTGCTTGGGTCAACACATTGGAGCGTTGGTTTGCAGGATACCAGCATAAACCAGCATTTTTTTTGTTGAGTTGTCAACTGACCTTGTTGACTGCAATTATCAATAAGGTGGTAGTTATGACAAATGATAATTAACACACCCACTTTGCAAGTTTCTTTCTCGTTTCTCTGATATTTACAATACGTTCTGTTGGTGAGACTCTCTTTAACATATATTTTCTAGTGATTTCATATGGGCTGTGTGTTCTGGGAACTATGAGGATAGGACTTATTGTAACTGAGAGCTGGGAACGCTGCACGCTCATAGAGCAATTTCTATCACCATAAAAGTGTGACAATGGCTATAAGAAGTATTCAAGAACAAGTGAATTAATATGTCAGGGTTCTTCTTATAATGAAGCCCTTTTGAAGTCACCCTTCATAAGAACATTTCTTTGGAATCATCTTGAGCGCCTGTTCTCAAGTTTGGGTTTCTCTGTATTAAAAACCTATCTATAGAAGAAGAATATACTGTATATCACTGCTGGTAATGAGCAGATTCAGGTCTGGTGATTCAGAACAGTCTGTTTATGCAATGACAGAGGGAATGCTGTTGCCACAGTTACTGTTACCTAGCAGTGATAGTTGATGTACCTCAGAATGTGCTCAGAATTGTCACATGATTTCAGTCTAAATAACTATTTGATCGTCATATGCTATAATATATAAAACACTGAATTGCTTATGCTTTTGTTTGAAATATAATTGAATGCAAGAGCCTTCTTAGTTTTTCATAGAGAGTTAAGCACTGCCATAGTAACATGGAATTTCTTCATTCTGTAGTGTTACTTCTTCACAGTGGAGTTTGGGCTCTGTAAACAAGACGGGCAACTACGTGCTTATGGTGCAGGACTTTTATCTTCTATTGGAGAACTCAAGGCAAGTTCTGCTGTATTGAATTTTTCCCCATATAAAATATACTGTTCTTGCGTAGATGAGTAAGTGGTGCCCACCTTAGATGTAATTGTCTTTTCCAGCATGCTCTGTCCGACAAGGCGATTGTCAAACCTTTTGACCCAAAGACAACCAGTACTCAGGAATGCCTCATCACAACCTTCCAAGAAGCTTATTTTGTGTCAGAAAGTTTTGAGGAAGCCAAAGAGAAAATGAGGCAAGTTAATTTTTATTTCAAAAAAGTTCTCTATTTCTTTCAATTATTAGGTATTATCAGGGTAGAAACTGAACTGCAATTTGTAATCAAATAAACTAATAAATCATTTTCTCCTGACCTGAAAGGTTCTATACAAATGTAATTTTATATTGTATTGTATTTTGTATAAGCAACTTTTCATTGAAGTTGGTTGTACTATTAAAAGGCCCCTGTCTTCATGCGAAAAAGTACTTTGCAAATATATTTGATATTTGTTTGCATACCTGCAGTGCAATTGTGTAAACTACTTTGAAATGGATCATTGTGGATCTTGGGCATGTTGTCGCTATAATGACAAGCACATCATTCTATTTTTCTTGTTCTCTTTTCCAAACAAAAAAAACATTTTTTGCAAGTTGGTAGTGCCCCTTATTGGATAAGGTCACTTTCATTTCAGCCTTCAATACATTTTCTAATAATAGTAACTTAACTGTTAATGAATAGAGCCACAAATTGGTTTCTTTATTCAGGAATCCTTTGAAAAATAACTGCATATTAGATTGAATCTACTGTATCTACATTTTTTAAATAAAAAACAAATTGATAAAACAGCAACAAAAACAGAGATTCCTGGGAACACTCAGCAGGTCAGACAGACCTTCTGCCTGACTTCCTGAGTGTTGCCAGCGATCTCTGTTTTTGTTTCAAATTTCTAGCATCTGCAGTATTTTGCGTTTTATTTATAATAAAACAGCAAGACAGTTTAATGGTTAGTAACTGGGCCTCTCTCATGATCCGTGATCGTAATCAAAACCAATCAACAAACCGTTAAGATTTACCTGAAATTATAAAAATATTTTTTCAGCTTCTAACTAAACTCAATTACACCTCATACTTTTATTCTTGCAGGGAATTTGCAAAGTCAGTCAAACGTCCATTTTCTGTATATTACAACTCGTACACCCAAAGCATCGAGACACTGAAGGATTCCAGAAGCATTGAAATGCTTGTTCAAGACATCCGGAGCAATCTGTGCATTGTGTCAGATGCTTTAATGAAAATGGACAAACACATCGGAATTTGATAATGCGTCTGAAGCACTTGCAGTCATTTCAATGCTAAAGCTGCTGGCAACAATGTAACCACAAATTCAATGGAAGTAATTACTGTGCCATAGACATGTAGATGTCTTTAGATGTTTTAGTCTAGTTTCTACAATTGCTGGTTATGCTTTATAACCGAAAGGGACAAACGATTGTGGTGGAAAAATCAGTCTCATTTTCTCTTTCATAATATTCAACAATATTGGTCGTGCATTAATGTGAGAAAATTTGTCCTGAATGTTGAAAAAAATCCGCTGCTTTATGGGTGATCTCATAATATCAGTGTGTTTTAGTTTGTAAAGAGTCAGTGTGTGAGGAAACGTGATCCGTTACCTTGAGAACAGTGCATATTTAGCATGCATTATACATGCAGTCTTGGTCCAATATGCTTGTCGGATGAAATGTTTACATTGATGCCTGATGAACCAAAAATCGCATCTATTAATTCAGTGGTGTTGAACTACTACTATCACAAGTTAAGTATTATACATGCTGAAGCAAATAGGGTGAAATAAGGCCTTTTGATGCTCCTGGGGGAACAGCATCAAATGTGTCTTACTGTAAATTCATTGCAATTGTTAAACTGATAATTACATCATACAACAAACAGCATTATAAGGGCAGGTCAGACATATATTTCTTACCGGATTTCTTATGAGCAAAGATTAACAGTACGAGTAACAGGACAAATATCACAATAAACTCCAATTTAAATGTAGATGAGATCAGAGCGGGTTCCCTTGAGTTTGTATAGTATAATATATTTGTTTCTTTATTAAACAATCCCATGAGAAATTGTCATATGCTAGACTTTGTTACCAAGGTAAATTTTGACCATTTCTGAAATAGGGCATGTGAAGTTTAAAGCAAACTTTCAAAACTCAGCAACTTTCAGATAGATGGTTGCGATGTTCTGACTGTCAATTGTAGTCTCAAAATGTATTCGGGCAGGTGGAAAGGCACATCACAGAAGAAAACCCTTCACTTGTGAAATTACCTCTGGGAGAATTTTTGCTTCAGTCAAATTGTTGTTTCAACATTTGACAGATGAGAGAATATTATGCTTGTTAGAATGAAATGTGCTTTATTGGGGATGAAACACTGATATAATGTGATCACCCTGCAGTAATAATCATAAAATATTGTGTGTTAAACCATTATTGTGCAAGCAACATTGTTTTCTTTTTCTATTAATTTGTGTACTAAGGTTTTAGGTTGAAAAGAAGCACAGTGAGAGGAAGACTAATAGTTATAATTAAGATAAAAGTTGACCCTGGAAAATTGGTTCACAACTGCTCGATAAGGACTAGTAAAATCACTTAGATTTACAAGGAAGTCCAGCTTCTAACATGATGTGCAAGATGTTCTAGATCCTGAATTTCTTTGTGGCTTCCATCAGCAGATTCACTTTACAGGATGAGACATGTACTGTCTTATTAATTATTAGTGGTACAGTACTGTATTGCAATGCGTTAGCTGGGACCTCCATCTAGTGGCTGTAATCAGAACCAGCAAAGTGTCTGCAGATGACAACCAAGAGTGAGTAAACCTAGAGTTAAGGTTAACACTAACATTTAGACCTTCTGAATGGGAGTTCAGTAGAACACTACTGAAGCTGTGAGGTTACCTGATCAGATTTTCATACCATGTCTACTGTTTACACATGTGGAGTCCTGTAGCTCACTGGTTAGAGCACTCGCTTTGTAAGTGAGAGACCTGAGTTCAATTCCAGGCAGAGGGCGAAACCTTGGGCAAGTTTCCTTACTCCACACAGAGCCTAATAATAATCCCTCCAAAACCCAAAACAATAATAAATTGGTCATTTTCAATCTACGACTGTTTGTGGGACATTGCTGTGCGCAATTGGCTGCCGTGTTCGCCCACGAAGCCTTTTGGGACGTCCTACCGACGTGAAAAGCGCTATATCAAATGCAAGGATTATTATTATTATAGCATAAGGACAATTTTTTCTTGGTTGAGAATTTGAGACTGTCTGAAATGAAGGTCAAGGAACAGTGAAAATCGTAAGCCACAAAAAAACACCTAAATGTTAAAATGTGCAGCTTTTGGTTGGTTCTAATTGTGCAATCTAATTGTGGCATGTTTTTTCCAATCCATATGTTCCAATCCATATGTTCTTTCTCTTCAGAACACTCTATTACTCACATGATACTGTGTGCATCGTGAGTCTGCTTAGTGTGACTAGAACTCAAGTAATCAAACTACTGATGGAATGTTCTGCTGTACTCTCTGTGATAATGATTCACTTTCCAATATATCAACACATAACACAAAAGCTTAGCAGATCACTATTAAATTATTCGTGATGGTTTGTGATACATTTGTATCTAGTACTATAATAATGCAAGGATTCTTATTATTATAACATTTCTCCCAAATGAGGTCCTTGTCAATGACCCTATTAGTATAAAAGTTATTAATCAACACACCAAGTAAAAGTTATCATCTGTTTATTTTACTTCAGCCTGACCAAGCATGAGTGGCTCCCCCATTGTTTCCAGTTAGATAAATGGCATGGTCATGTGCAAAATCTTAAATGGTCCCCAAGTGCAACCACTACCACTGGGTGTTCCAGACTTTACCAATATTCCCACAAATTCAGGGGTCATTACAGTACATAAGTATTGGTAACCGGAATCACTTACAGAAACTTTGCCTGGCAAACACTCCCTATTTCCAGCAAGCACCATATAGCTTGGGAGCAGGACTTCTGAGACTCTGAATTCAGTTGCTTTGGCAATATAGCCCAGCATCCTGATTGTCTTGTTTATTGGTGAGGAAACAGGATGTTGAGCTATATCTCCAAATTAGTGAGTTCAGATTCTCAGAAATCATCCTCAAGCTATAAAGTGCTCTGTCAGGTCGCACCAGGAACACTATGTACAGTTCTGGTCACCATGACATAATGGGGTTGTGCAGACCCTGGAGCTAACACAGAGAACAACAAGGACGATCCTCAGTGATAGAGGAATCAGCTATGATCATCAATTAGGCAAGCAAGTTTCTTCTGCTTTGAAAAGAGACATCTCCAAGGGGACCTCTAGATTTGGATTAGATTTTAAATGGGATTTAGAAAGTAAAACCAGAGTAAAAGATTGAGATGCACCAAAACAGCATAATAAGATGACACAAGTTTTGGGTTGCAAAAGGTGATTTAAGGACAGACACTAAGAAGTATTTCTTTATCCAAAGGGTAATTAACCATTTAAACTAGTTGCTACGAATGGTGGTTTCATATGATCTTGTGAATTGGAAGTATATCAAGCAGACCCATGGGAACTCTATTCTGATGCAAGTTAACTGTGGAGCAGTATTCATATGAGTTAGTGTAATGCACTTTCAGTTACTGCAAGGAGCTACTCGTGATTCCTATTGTCAATTGCTACATATTAGTCCCCATTATGAATATTCTGTTTGCTATAAAATATGTTCTTTTCCTTCTAACCAGGTACGATTTTACAACAACAGCAACAGATTTTACAGACACTTTTGCCCTCCACAACCTTATACACCGGCCATACTTCATTATGTATGAGTGTTGTAAGAAAAAGCAGAATAATTGAGCGCAATGACTGGTAAATGAAGGACCTGAATATTTAGATAAGTGGGGAAATGTCATAAAATACTGATGGATAATGCACCTCACATAAATTTATAATGTGCTACAACAGCGCACAAAAAATATATCATAAAATTATATCCCTGTTTCATTAAATTAACATTTTTAAAACTGCACAAAGGCACATAAAATTTATATTGAAGTATGCAATTTAGGATTTATTTTCTAGCTTTCAGACTAGTGGGAGCTAGATTCAGCCTGAAAATGCAATGTTATTGTGATCTGCTCTTAATAAGCTATTTTTGGAAAACAGTTTGCATCACTAGTAAACTGCATATTCCTGATTTGCTATCCCTAAGAGAGGTCTAACTAGTTGTGAATGCCACCTGGTATCTGAGGTCTGTGATGAAATTGTCAGCAATTATTATTGTTCATTAGTGCATGCACCTTAGAAATTTACTAGTGTAAACAATAAACTGAATGCACCTCGTACTATCAATGTTGGTGCAAGTATTGGCCTATACATCGGTAATATAGTTGTCATTATTTAAAATATAATAATCTTTGCATTTTATATAGCGCCTCATCACGCCTTTGAGACATCTCAAAGCACTTCACAGAATATACTGTAAAGTGAATTGACTGTATATTTTGTGGGCGAAATATATAATATATGTGTGTGTGATTTACGAGAATTCTATCAGTGAATTATCCTGTTTGTTAATCAAGAATCCTACACAGTGTGTTAATCATGTTTGATATGCATTCGGACAAATGCTATTTAGAGTTCTGCCCCATGGTGGGAGGTATGTGTGTGTGTGTTGTGCAGAAATCAGAGCAAATTGCAAGAGCTGCTCTTATGCAGCCACAGTAGGCAGACTAGGCAGAGACTTGGGAATAGTTGACCATTTCAGCCACAGATGGTATGTGGGAACATGAGGAGAGGGGACATAAATATTGTACTGTCCTTACTGTAAGATAAATGCAAATGGATGGAGAATCAAATTGTTCGTTTCAAATTTACAAAAGGTACAGTTGAATGAAATGTCTAATGGAAGGTGATTAGGTGATCAGCCGTGTGCTCAGTTTGTAAGTGGAAATATACTGTTAAATCAAGACAAAACACTTCTTTTAATAAAGCATTGCATATCTATTCACCTTATGCTTTCCTGGGAATAATCATTGATTGACACTCCATAAATTATACCAGAATTTTTAATCCAGTAGGTACGTTTCGGGCATTAATGATATGGAATGTTCTGATCACACTACAGTTCTTACCCAATGTTTCTTATTTGCCTAAACAGCCCATTATCTACCTGTCAACCTTGAGAGAGCAATCAATAGCAGTCGTCGATTGATATTTTGGTGCCCTTATCAATCCAAGATTTTGCATAAATT